GTGGTTTATTGCCAATCGAAATGCCATCCATACAATCTTAGCACTGTGCCAAACCAATGAAGTCCGACCGGTACGGGCAGCCTAACTTCCTTATTGGTCGATTGTCCTCCTAACCTTTTCAGTGGAGTCCAGAACGCCAACAACAGCTTCGATTATACGAATCATCTATGGGCATCGATGAGTACTATGTTAATTGTCTAGATTTTAAGCGCCCGTCGTGAGACTTGAAGATCCTGTGCTCATTAAGCAGTAGATATTAGATACATAACATTTAGGGGTCAAGTACTAGAACGAGAGAACCGATCTCAAATTTTATTTGGTTTCTTATTGAACAAAATAAAGACGGTTCAGAGAAAACATTTTCCTGATAGTGTAATTTGCTTAACCTGTAGACTCGTATTTACAGTTAATTCTACACAGATAATAGATAATAGAGATGTTATGTTATTTAACAATTTGATAGAGTTTTCAAACTATGAATATAAATTACGAAACAGTTCTTCATACAATAAGAGACAATTGTTTGTATTTAAATATAAGAGATAATTTTTTACTTTATGAATATAAAGTGTGGTATAAGACAGTAATTGCCAGCTAACAATTTTTGTTAGTATTGCCGATCTGTGGAGATCATAGAATCTTCAGTTTTAAAGCACGAACTGATCTTAGCTAGAACACCACTGGAAACCAGGGTACACTGAACAGTTCTCTCGTCCTAGTACGGAGCTCCTCAGAAGTGCGCACCCAAGACTCCACAACCGGGTATCGGATACAGGACCTCAGTTTCGCACGCGAATTCGTACCCTCTAGACCTCTGAACCTGAATCCAGTGGTGTTAATAAAGTTAGACGAAATGAATTCAGTGGGAAATAATGGCACTATAGGTCTAATACTCTTTGTTCTTACAAATTCTTCTGGAATTTTCAAACTGATGAATAATATCTGTAAGAAAAGAATGACTAGGAATTTTGAAAAATTATCAGAATACTTGAATTCAGTGATTGTTCATAAACTTCAAAGGGACATGGACACCAAGAATGCAACATTTTGAATCAGAGAGAACATCGGCATTTATTGGAATGCAAGCATACTCTACCAATTAAAGTGCTTAGATGTGGCGGTGAGTCCATAAATCCAAATGATTTTTCTAAGTTAAAATATACACATTTTTATTTCTTTTTGTCCTGTGATCTGTAATGTTTGGGGACATACCCTTTATTGATGTGTATGAATCAACATCTTACGTGGAAATGTAAGCAGCCAGTCTAGTGGATTAGCGAACTTAGGTTATAACAACTATATATACCCTTAAAAAGACTTCTTATTTGTCACGATGCAGTTATTGCATTTCCAAGTCAGTTTTCTTAATAATTTTCAGAAGTCTCTGAAAATTATGCTTTTGATATCATTCATCATTAAACGTTTTATCATTTCTTCTTTGTCCTGTGATGTCAACCAGATGTTCCACTAATCAATCCATGGTTGGGTCCTTCTTAATTTTTAGTTAAATAGTGACAACTTAGAGACGATGCTTGGATCATATGCACAGACAATTTACCTTAATCCAGTTCGTAAGAAGTTATTCGGACAGAGAATTGAAGACTAGAAAACCCAAGTCACTCCATATGTTTAATATTTTCATAAACGTATTTGGTCTATTATTGTTCATCACAAAAATACTTGATAACTCAAATGGTGTATTTTGTGAACAAATCACAATATTCATTTTTTATTCTCTGGTAAATCTTCACTAAATATAGTTTATCGTTTGCTTTGCATGTCCTCTTCCCCAATTTATTTTGAACAATATTATTGTTTCTTTGCCGATAACTGACTGATCTCGCATAGGAATCTTTTAGCTCCCATACACTTCATATTTCAATTTATTAACTTTAAACATTATGTTATGGCTTTTTTAAAAAGTGTTTCAGGTTCAAATTCACGTGGTATTGTTTGTTTGAATCTTCCGATTGATGTTTAGGACTGCAATTGATCAGTCTCATATTGGCATATGTGCAAACTGTGCGTATTGCCTTAATTCACAGGCAGTATATGTGAACGGTACTGAGTTCGAATCCCAGAGTGACTATCAACTCTGAATGCAGGCATATCCGGCTGAAAAGTCCCATATAGGACGAAACGCGCGTCCTGGATTGCACTGCCAGCCACTATCCATCTTTACATATAATGTTTTAGGTTTATATTATTCTTCGCCATTGAGAGTTAGTTAATGCTTTAATGTCTGATGTCAACACAATTCAGTTCAGTATGAATTATTGTCAGAACAACCAACTTTTGGTTATTCAGTGTTGACTTATTCAGCAATACTAGTTCTTAAATTAGATGATACCATAAGTGTACTTGTCTCACGTTAAATTTATCTGTACATGTTATCGGTAATAGATTATTGGCTCATCGAATTCCGACACTCGTAAACATCCTATAAGCAAGCTAGTAAGAATAAGCCAAATATAACTTACGATTTTACTTCAAAGTATATCCAGTAATTTGCATATAAGTAACCTTAAGTTCCCGATTATCAGTAAAATAATTCTTAAAATAAACCGCCAATGGTGTATTATTCTAATCAGATTAGAAGAGGAGGTTAGTATTTCATTATGGAGGGATTTCCTGGAACCGAACAAAAACAATATCCGAACTATCTTCTTTATTCATTTGATATCATAATTAGATAATGACTAGAACATATAACAATGCATTGTTTCGTAAATTTTAAAATTTATTATGTTGGTCAGTTAACAGAGAATATTGAATTGACTAAATGTATAAGTGTTATTAGTTTTCTTAACAAACGTCTTGAATGTTACTTAAACTTGGATTTATTTTTATATAGAATTATGCTTCTTTACATAAGTATATTACTCTCTCTCTTTCTCTCTCTATATTATAACACCTTGAATTAAGCGCTACTTCACCACATATATTGATCAATGAAAATTCAATCAATGTGTTTAAAGTTTTACAAATATATGTATATGTATGGTTAAGTATGTTAATGGGCGGTCGATTATGTTTACCTTAGTTCTCTTTTTATTTTTCAACGAATATGGAGTTCGTATATTTTTTTTGTAAAATAAACAATACATGATTGCAATATTTCACCATCACCATTATCATCGTCGGTAGTAGTAGTAGTAATAACAATAATTGAGAAAGGAATCATTAGTCTATTAGGACTGTTTACAGTAAAACTACATAAAAGATTTAACTATTTTTTTATAGGATACAGTAAAGTATTGGATGTTTGCGATCAATAGTTAGAAATGTTCATGTATAACTTTGAAGAAATTTATAATCATGTTGAAAAATGAACACGTTTTCACAATGATGAACTTAACCAATAGGAATACATAGTAATAGGTATACTATATCATTAGTTACTGTATGACGAGATTTTCATTTACATTAACCTTAGAGTTAGTTACACTTTTAGAGATAATCGTATATTAATTTGAGAACTTCTTTAACACTAACGTTAAATAGATAAGCTATCAAATATAAACAATACTGACAAACATAAAATATAAGATAGCAAGTTATGTTTAACTGCTTACAAGTTATGTGGTTAGAAATCTAAAGAGTTACTCTGTATACATCAAATGCCTTTGTAAAATTTTGTAGGTTGATGTATTCTTTAAAGAACAAATGATAAGTGAAACATGGTAAACAAGGCACTGCATTGGAAGATCTCAGCCTATGTATCCTAGTTTGGATCAGGACAATCGTCTATCTACCTGTGATTTGCGTGAATTATAATTCGAATTGCCGTCAAAACTTTCCCACTGATTTGTTTTCACATTTGCAGTGGGCATGGGTACACCGCAGAATGTGCATATAGTAAATAAACTGGACCGCATAAAATAATTAACAATATGTAAGTATAAGTTTCAATAATAGAATTGAATAGCTGCAAACTAATACAGGGTTATGAATAAATTTCAAGGTAATAAAAACGGTATTTAAATAAATGACGGTTTCACAAATGTAAGATGTTTCTTTCAAATGTTATTACAATTTCCGGTCAGCATAAATTATACTATCGAATGATCATGAACTGCTCTAGCTAATCAGAAAATATGGATAATTAATTTTGTGGTAGAAAATGAGTGGAAATACTACTTAGTTTTATATGATTGATGAATATTTCTAGTTTGGAAATATGCCTTGAATGGTTACATTGTAAAGTCTGAATCAAGGTTGTTGCTTATGATTGAGGGTTAGTTTATGTATGTACTGTAACCCATATACTAATCCTAACATACGTTGAGGCGAGATATTGTTCTACTCCGTATTTCTCATTCATAATCACTTTATTTCCACTCTCAAGTGAATGTTGCTTGTTTTGTGGACAATTTAAAGCCTTGTGAGTACTAAATGATATTTTATACGTTAAACTTAATCATAATACAGTCGATATTCAGTATGTTAGTTTGATATTTACTATGAAACTTAAAGTCACTTTCTCGATCTTCATTAGTTTGGGACAATATTTGACTTGAAATAATTGTCTTTAAAAGAAGAGTAGTAGTGGTTGAGTTATAAATCATTTATTATTCAATAGTTTGAGAAAGTGTTAATTTTATCAACTGAAAAAAAGGATAAGCAAAAAATATTGGAATATGCACATACACACACATGCACGAGTTAGTATGGCGCATTCGTGTACTTCATTTATATGATCAGTCAAAAAGCTAAGAGAAATTTAAAAGGATCAGAAAAAGGACGAAGAGGAAGACAGCAACAAGAAATGTGAAAGGGACAATTCAAGGATAAAGTTTGTCAGTTTCTTTCCAATAGTTGTGAAATTAGTAGTAGTAATAGTAGTCCATACAAAAAGTGGAAACAATTCATTCATGACTTAGTCATTAGCAGTTAAATATCGATAGATAAATATGTGGTTTAAGTGTGATGAATAATAAATATTGAAATCACAAATACGCTTATTTAATAGTAAATAATTACTGGACACAACCAATTAATTAGCCTTGATTATGTTGTAGTTCTTTTAGAAATCTTAAAATATACATAAACAGATTTAATATATCCAAGTATAAATCAACGCATGCCATAATGTATTCTTCCGGTGAACAATGATGCATTATTCGCCAAGTATCATAAACTATGAATAAACTGAATAGGCAAGCACCACCGGCTGCCATACATAACTCCAATAATGATGAACCTAGAAATAACTGTAAAGAGTGTTTAACACAAAACAGCAAAAAACAATGGAAAAATACAGGGAATGGAGGAATAATATAAAACACAGCAAAATTAGAGAGTGAAATCAGTTATCAATTCTTATAGAATCAATGGATAGCAGTGAAACTCAGTAGGCGCACTTCATTTCATTTGGAACTTGACATAAAGATGTACCTACCTACTTGCCTAAATTTGAGTGTTAATGTTCACATCGGGACACAAATGCAATACCTATCACTTAAAACGCCAACGTGTCATCCACTGAGTCACCAAGTACGGACAATAGTCACAACCTTGTTCAATGCGTATGATTTTCATGTCACTATTGATAAATGTTTAGCTTAACACGTTGTTGATATTAAACGAAATGGTTATACATCTAGGCAATCTGAACATATGATAACACAGACTAATCGAAATTTAATCAAAAAATACAAACAATAGGGTAATCCAAAAGTTGATTGATAATGAGATGTCAACTATCAATGTTATTGCCATAATATAAATACAGCTTGATTGATTTGAAAATTCAACAAACTATCATTTAAAATTGCGCTGTACTGAAAAGCACTACGTAATTATTATAATATCACTAAGACAACGAATCAGAGATTATGTGGAGTATGGTTGCATTGAATATTCGCTGAGTAGTGGTAAATAATTTTATGTTAGTCTAGTCTTTAGTTTTGATTAAATTCTATCGATGAAGTTGCAATATGGTCACTACTACAAGTGACTCGAAATCTCAATGTGTTGCTCTGACGTCAGGTGGTTGGTGGTAATCGACAGGAAACTCTGGATCTAGGTTTTGAATTGGTACATATCAGCAAGGCATACCTGAACTCTTGAGTAGGACTCAAACTGATGTCCCTAGCTTAACAGTTTGAGACGTTACTGCTGAGTTATTCGGGCCACAAATAACCTGCTGTAGGATCGAGTAAATATGTTCGTATTGATAAACGATACTTTCGAACTCTAAACTAACGTAAAATCAATTTTAATACGAATGACTGATCTGACAATAGAATTTTAAGAAATCAGAAGCTTGATAACTAAGGAATCTTAGATAGTCTACAGTAGCTTAATAAATAAAACATCCATCTTACAACCAATAACTTGCTTAATGTACTTCAGTCTGTGCGTTTAAAGTGGTATCACTAGTCCTCACATGTACAAAGTGGAAAAAATTCAGTACATAAACATTATATATGATAAACGGGTTAGATTTACATAGGAACTATCATATTACAGTTGCGTTCCAGATTACAACTAATGTAAAAAAGCATCACCTTACAAATACTTATATACAATATTGTTAAGGTAGATTTTCTAAATGGAGATTTTAGTATATTTCAAAGGAGATTTCCATCACAGATTGACATCATCTAGAGAAAATGAGCTCGATAGCATGTGAGGCTGTGAGTGAACACTGATAACAAGTAATAAACCAAAATGAAATATCTATCTAGTATCCCTATATCTTAGCAGTTTTACAGTTGGGGCTAGTTTTTGTCCCAAACAGCTTCAAAGCGTTGATAGTATGGTGGAGGAATTAGTACAAATGGGCATTTTAATGATGGATTATGTTAAATAAACAATGGAAATGTCAACAATAATTACATCAACTTACGTTAATGGGTCCAACTAATAGTAAAATGAGAAAAGCAACTGATAATCCTACACCCCATTTACTGAAATCTTTCTTGGAATTCAGTGTGTACAACATCAAAGACATAACAACTAAGGTGGTTAATATAAATGCTTGAAGTACAACAGTTGCAGAATATGTAATCACTTGGAGAGTAAAATAAAACAATTAAAAAGTAAGTCATCGATAATAATTGTAATAATAATAATGACAATAATAATAGTAAACCAATAATTTATTTAATAAATGCTAAATATTTGTATACAGTAGGAGATTCCGGGGGAAACATAAATTAGTTAATATAAATATACATAAAGTCAGATTAAACAGATTGCAGGTCTACACGATTCCAAATAAAAAATACATAAGTCGCAAATTCCAGCTATGAAATTAAACTTTGGTTTTATTTGTCAATAAAAAGTGCCGAAATACCGGAGTTTGACCGATACGACCTCGGTGGTGGTTTTTAACAAATTAATTGTAAGAGCTATAGATATTATACATGGCATCAGTTCATGAAGACACTGATTATTGTACTGGGTCATGTAGGTGCAGATTACCTGGTTGGGAACCGCTTGATTATTGTAAACAACGGTTAGAGACTTTGCGTGACATTTGCGATGGCGCAGATGCATTAACTCTTGGTCTTCTCTTAGATCATAAGTGTCTAGATTCCTCGTGAAAGTTTTTTCTATCTCAGTAATTTAGATTCTCTAAAATCATATCTTTATTGCCTAATATATCCTATAATCCTTGATACAATTACCACCCTTACTACTCTAGGATTTGGCCTGACAATATCATGTCGTTATGGTAATGGGTTGTGATAACTTGCAGCGATGTGGACATGTACTAGGTCCTACGTTGCGTTAATCCAACGTCAATTCAAAAGTTGTTGAGAACTACTAGTCGCAGCAAGTAGTACTGAATAAATGATGAGAACAACAGAAATTTCGGAACCATGCGATTACGAGATCTCTTTAAAAACTATTTTAGATAATCAAACAGATTAAAATACTGGAATTATTGGAATTTTTAAAGACACAGAATTCTGGACTCTATTTCCAATCAGGCAAAACATAATAAACACGACATGAGCGTTACGAAAACTTGTATTTAACTAAATTAACATGATAGAATACTCAACTTGAGTACAATTTGCTACATGATATTATCAAGTATAAAGGTGATCGAAACATTGAACGTAACTACGGCAAACGGCTTAGTGAGCCACTGTGATATTAACAACTAATACCATGGGAGTTGGAAAACCCTGGTTCCAAACCAATGGCGTACATGGGCTCCAGGATCCTTAGGGAAAAATGGCGTATGAACCAATCGTTGGTCATCGGCTACCAAGGAACTGCATCTCCTGACGCTGCACCACTGCCTTGTGGATCAGACCTTTAGGTCAAACGCCCCGGATGCGGCCCCTAAGAACACTTGCTTCGATCTGGGCACCCGGGTAGTATCACAGCTCACTCATAAATCAAGTGACTTGTAAGGTGCATATGTATCAGGTGCCCCTTTGTGCCAATATTTGTGTTCAAATAAATAAATAAATGTAATAGGTTGGTGGGAGTCAATGGAATATTACATATTTGTGTAAAAGCCAGAAAGTTGACATGGCGTCTCGAGATCAAATGATAAATGGGAAATTATAAACGAGGAACGTTACCAAAGGAGGTCGGTTATGCACCTGGTCAAGACTACAGCCTACAAATCGCTATCTAGTTCAGGTAGGATAAATACATAGATACCGATGATTTAAGTACATTATTGAATGGTTTTGTCAAAGTTTCCTGGTAGTTTCTCAATCTTTTTACTGGAATCTATCATCGGTATAAAAAGCGTGAGCATTATGTAGCCAAAAATGGACGTTATGGATCGTATCCTTACTACAGTCGTCCTTCTAAGCTATATATCTTCTCCACTATCTTTAATAGATTACATTGGCATATGATTTAATGATAAAAATTGAAATCAATAAAACGCTGTTATATTAAGAATAAACAATCAATCGGTAAATTTAAAATACATGATAATTTTAAACGCTTGTCGTTAAGACTACCAACATAACCTTACATACCTGCATATCCGACGAGTATAGATTCACATATAGTCTAAACACAGGATAACCATATTTTTTAAATGGAAATTATTAAATATTTATGAACTTACAAATAAGTATAATAATATAAAATTAGTTGGTGTTTCCTGTCTTTTCCACATTAATCCCAATAGAATTCCGATTGTACTTATAATAAGTATAATTGGTAACCATGTACTAGAAAAATAAAAACGAGTAGTAAAAATTACCAGTTCACCAGAAAATAACAACGTACTTCTGTCGAAGGTTATCCAATAGAACAGGTTTTAAAATCATCATTGTTCCAGCACATAATGAAGTGAGTAAAAGTTGTGTGAATAGAATACCGTAGACTTTTCGTAAAAATCCTTAATTCAAAAAAGACAACAATAGACATTTTAAGTCGAAAGATTAATGGTTTCATAGTAATTATTAATGTCAACCAAACAGACGTTGAATGTTTGTAAGTTCAGAACATTGGTTACCAAGACATGTCAGGAGTATATGTATAAATAACGCACAGTGATCTACTCAAATTTCTGGGTTACCATTTTTCTAAAATTATGTTTATTGTCATAAATTTTCCTCATCGTGGGTTGCTCAAGTTAAATAATTATGCCCACTGCATGTGTTTCCGTAAACAATCAACAAACTGACTCTACAGTTCCTATATTCGTTTGAAAATCTGACATGGTTATCTCCAAGTTGATGAAGAACATGAGATCACAGATGTAATAATTATCCGAATACTCTCTCGTTCTTCAGCTTGCGTTGATAGATATTAACTTTTAATGGAATCAGTTTCACGAGAAACGTTAACGGAAAGAATTGTTTATTAAAACTATAAAACTGTAGATATACCGTCATATCCTTTATGGATGGACAGTGTAGCAAACTTACTTAGTCGAACTGTTACATGCGCATTAGCGACATTGTTATTGAAGGCGAAATCTTTTTCAATGGGATGTCCAGACTCTTGGCTGATAAGAAATGAATCCATATTTATGTAAGCACTGTAAAAACTGAAACGATCTAGTGATGTGTAAAGGTAAAACAAAAATAGATTAATTACTGGAAATATCACTTACTAAAAAAGCAACAGATAGACAAACATAATAGGAAAACATTCCCTCAGTTTAAGTAGTTGTAAGGAACGAATTCAAAAAATGAACAAGCATAACCGTGTGAATAAGAAATAGATGACTAGAATTATGATGGTCATAATAATAGTGAAGTGATGAAAGCATTCCAGTTAGTTGTCGTCAAATTTGGCACGGCTATATATTAGTTTAAATCGTTACACTTTACATTACATTGAGAAAAAAGTGAACAAGGTGAGAAGCGAAGACGAAATAACTTCAACTATAATGAAAATCTAAACGTGAGACAATTAGTTAGAAAACATGAATGGAATTCAAGAATGAAAAATCATTGACATGTGACTTTAGGTTTAAAAAAGATAAAAAGTGAATGGAACTGTACCACTGCAATGGAACCAATTTTAAACTCATTATTCCGAAATGAAAAAGTCATGAAGTCAGTTCTATCTGCCTGCTACGATTATTGTCCAGAAACCTTGAGACAATGTGGCAGTTGTATGTAACTGGATTACAAGCACTTGTTCATTTCAGAATAACGAATTAGCTCCACCTAAATCACTAGTTATAAAGGGAGAGATTGATGCGGCTTTAATGGAAATTATGGAAGGGAAGGTATTACACTCAGGAAAGCTTATTTTATCTTGAACACATTACAAAATTATATGCTTTAATTATCTGCAAGTGTCATGAGTGTTTTAAAAACATGCGGATATGTTGAGTCAAAGTTCATTGGGAGTGGAATTTACTACCATATCGGGCTAAAAACCAGTCTGTTAAGATATGCCCAAATTTGTTTGTCCGTTTTGAATCTTGAGTATACAGATTAGAGAACAAATGCAGATGGGCTGTCGTTGTATAATAGATCTAATCAACAATTATGGCCTATATCAGACCGCATTGTTGCTCCTAAAATTAGCGATGTCTTCTTGGTAGGCGCCTTTGATGAAAAACAAGACCTGCCATAATCAATACCCGTAACAACACACGAGACCAAGTTGATCACATTCAAATCTTCCCCACACCTAATACCTCTCTAATCTCCACGACAAACCTTTCTCACGTCCATTTATCACCTCGCACAGCTAGGGCAAACGATTCGAGTACGCGGAACGTTATTCCTGGTCTGAAACCGCGCTTTAAACTACACGTAGGAGCTTTTAACGTCCGAACCATTTCTGTAATAATGTGGTGTGGCAGCACGAACTGATGTACATACGTACGAAGTTCTACGTTGTTACTGACTGACAATCAGATTTCGGTCGACTTTATTTCCAAACTAAAAATAGGAAACCCTAGTTTAGACTGTTTAAAGCTTAATAGATAGGTAGCTGCAAAACTAATAGTCATACTTCTTTGCTTTAATTTTGAAAAATTAGAAACGTTAACTCATTTATTATTTAAACCCAAATTATGCGTCAGTCCCATTGAACTTGTGAGCAAGGATTTAAATAATTTTCCACGATATTGTGTTACGGTGCCGAACACAGCTTACAACAATCATTCATTAAAGCACATTGTTGATAACATCAACCTGAGTGATACTTTATATTGATACTCCTCATTTCCCTTTGATTCCTATAATAAAGGGATAAAAATGACAGTACACTACGGATACAATGCAGGGAAATAAGCTGTTTGGCGTTATACTGAAAAGATTTTCTCTGTAATCGGATGCAAGGGAGTATTTGTTGCTAATACCGAGAGTATAGTTAACTGAGGTTTTCAGAAACCGGTTGAAGTCGTTCAAACCCGATAACGTAGTAAGAGTTAAGTCGGACAAATTGTTGATAGCATGCCCTTATGTTAACCATAGATTTTTTCATGGGATTACTCCCTTTTTGTGATATAGAAATATTCACGTACTTACTAGGTAATCATGATCACATATGAGCACCTATTAATGCATCATGTGTATATAGCTACAAACTGTGTAGACCATGAAGTAATAGTTCTCCATTACACAGGTTTTTATAATGAAAATTTGCATTTCTGAACTATTTTGAACAAAATAAAGTTGAAATTTTTTCCAACTTAAATTCGAAAATCTCGCTGCAAACAATGTATTGATTGAGAGGCAAATTTTCTTTATAGCAAGTAAATGACTTGTTATTCCAAAACTGTGCATGAATGCGGATAACTTGGAGGATATCAGGTTAACAAACAACGTGGGTCCGGACGAGTTGGTCAACTATTACGTGTGTGGTTCTACAGTACTTCGATCATTTGCAAACACAAACGATTTTCCAACAGATGTTTTTCTCTACTGCGTCTCACTTGATTCAGTCACTTAACGATTTAGTTAGTCACTAACTTTCCCTTGCAAACAGAAAAACGCAAAACATTCAGCGTTTCTGTTAATTGTTTGGAGAAACGTGGTCAAGAGAGCGTCTGAGAACTTTTATAATGCTATAGACTTAGATATTGCAAAGTACGGCTGGATACAGTAGAGTTGAATATCTGAAATTTTGATTGTTACAAACGCTGACTTCAACTGCAAAGTAATTACTTTGCAGTTGACAAACCTAAATTTGTTACTGTCACAGATTGGTGCACATTCAACCAAAACACAAATGTTATTATCAGTCAGTACCTCAATGTTTGTTAATAGCCTAATTAAGGGTAAGTTAAATGTTAAACCGTCTCTGGTATCATGAATTAGGTTACTTGTGAGAGCGTTATGGCGTTCATTTCGAGGCAATCCCTCTAAAAGTGAGAAATCATGAGAAATGTCCTAATATTCATACCGATCTGAAAAGGTGATTATCTGATGCATTGCCACGCACATTATACTTCAGTTTGCCATTAATTTCCGTACCTCACCTAATCTGCAAACTTAAACTAATTGTTCGACTCAGATGTTTGTATGAAAATTTGTCCACAGAAAAGGAAGAAACCTTCCCCAAAACCACTTTTCCATTTGTTACCTTTTATTTCTCTTATTTTTTTATTTAGGATGTAATGAACAGTTTTGTATGGGACGGTCCAGAAGCCGAGACAGGCCAAACAGAATAAAGTACAGTGCTAAAGTGGTCCATATACACCGCAAATTATTCAAACTGACTTACGTTCAAAACTCGGCAAGGTAAAAACGGTAATCCCTTTCAAATCTGTCCGCCGTTTCGTTTCAACGACCTTGAACGCGCTGACTGGAAGCGGGCATTCCGTATTTCAATTGCCGTGTGTGTGTTGGGTCCTATGAGTATTAACTGTTTCCATATATAAGTCATCTTTTGATGCATAATAAACACTAAATAACTGCTAAGAGCATTAACTGAGTATTTTCTGTTTTGTAGTGCACACTTTAGCTCTGTTATTCCTTCGAAACTTGATCTGTGGTCCGAAGTGCTGTAGTGAAAGTCAACAGCTATATATAATTTGTTGATAAGGTCCAGAAAACAACGTAAGAAAGATAAAATAACGTAAAAGGTTATAGATCCGCATAGTTTTTGTGAGTTAAGACGAAATGTCAACTGAAGGGTAAGTCCTAAATATTTGTTGTTCTTCAGTTAGTTTTTTTCAAGGAATAACCTTTTTTTAATAGCTATTGTATGTTGTCTCTAGTGCTTCATGCTCAAGTGAAATTTCAGTGAACGTAAGCGACGCGTTCCAACGTATTATGCTGAATAAGAGATTCGGAAGCTGGATTGAATTAGATAATGCGCTAAAGGATTTCCATAAAGTATGATGGGATAAATCTATGTTTTCTCAGATGACCCATACACACTATGTTCACGCAGAAAGTAGATTGTTGAAGGATGTGAGATATAAATACTTGTTCGTAGTGTTTCGTTGCACGTTTGGTCGTAAACGTAAATCAGAAGGTCTGAATGTGAATAAAAAACCGTGAGGACTCTAACTAATGTGTTACCTTTAAGGTCTAAATTTTTAAATTGCCAATCGATGTTTCGCGTAAGATTGGAGGGTCAACAATACGTTATAAAATCTTACAACATGACTCACAACCATCCGTGTACTAGTTCGTGGATGGTTTGTGATCCGTTGAGTAGACGATTGTCATCAGAAGAAAAAGAAAACTTGAAACCAGTTATATTGCACTGTCAGTCGACGGACGAAGTTATCGAAAGTATTAAGGAAAGAACAGGTAAGCAGGTGACCGCTGCTGATGTCAAAAATATGAAAGCTGAACTCTCCACTGGTAAGTGTATATAAATATATTTCAGGTTGGACTCGGAAGCAGGTATTGCAGATGATGCGACAAAACGGTGAAGTTAGAGAGCATGCAGAAAATGGATGTATTACGGCGATATGCTTCAGCAGTTATGATCAGATATGGCTGTACAATCAATATCCCTAAGTCGTGTGTATTGATTCTACTTATAAAACTAATAATAAAAAGTGAATATGATTTTCGTTTTGTTCTACTATGTAGATATTCATTATTCCAGTTAGTGGTGACAGACAATTGGGGTCGAGGTCGAACTGTTATGTTTGCATGGACACAAAAAGAAAAGCGTGCCGATGTCGCAAAAGCGACAGCTTGCACAAATGCATGTACAAGGCTTTTAAGTGGAGTTCAATGACATTCTCTAGAAAAAGCATTGAAGACCAAATAATCAGTGGACGAACATACAATTATGATGCTCCACAGCGTTTTATACCCTTGCTGAACATGTTGACCCCGTTCGCAAGATCCAAAGTGTTAAATGAACTTAAAAAAATGCGTTTCGTTAACTTAGAATATGAAAGCGGCGAGTGGTTGTTTATGCTTGACCGCGGACAACATTACGAAGTGGATGTAAGTATTTGTGAATGCAATTGTAGTACTTTTAATATGTGTCGATATCCGTGCCGCCATCTCCTGCTGGCATATATTAAAAGACGAAATCTAACAGGTAAGCTATTTAAATTATAAAATATAAACTGCATAGCTCATCAACTTCTTAGGTGTTGCTGCAGATGGAAATTAGACGATACGCACAATTTACAAAACAACACAGGCATTTCATTACGGAGACGAAGTAAAGAATATATACAACTTCAACGGCTACAAAGAATGTGCAAACAACAAATTGTTGAGAAATATGGTGAACGCTTCGCGAATCAGGTGGAGAGAAAAGTCTACAATTTTTACTTAAGAATTATAAACAGCTAGACAGCAGGTTTACGATTAACAGTTCTTTGTGGCTTTATTTTATACCACTATTTATACAACTTGTAAACTTATCTTTCCACTTTAGTAGTCATGAAAAATCAATAAACTTTTTCTCATTTTTTATTTTCGTCTTCTTCATACTTTCATGGGGAGGTTTACCAATCGCTTTAACGAATAATTGTGTGTGAAAATTAAGAATTTGTACTACTGTATTAGTTACGAACTGTCGTTAGAACGTAGCGTTATATCGTTGTTCATTGTGAGGAATCAATGAGTCAAATAAAACAATAATGCGACTTCCACGTAAAACCTTACAGATTAGACAACCGCCTTACATATTTTCCGTTGTCAGATTACGTCCATTATCAAGTTAGTATTAGTATGGAACTAGACAATTTCATGCAGCTACTTCCTTGATAAGATGGATTACGTAGTCCTTAGACCACCCTTCCACTCACACTTCTTTGCTAAATTATGTTAACTCTTCAGATTGTCTTCACTTATCTTATTAGTTCTTAATTCACTGATTTATTCATTACATCTAGAATTATCACACAATTTATCTTATATGCTTCTGAGCTTCACTCGACTATTACACCACCCATCCTTTATGTTCCCTTAAGTCTAACACCAAATGACCTTTGACCTGTTCAAGCATATACATATGTATAGTTATTATTGATAACCTAGGTCATTCCAATTCTTTGCTTTCTATTATCTTTCATACTATTTCTTCCCTCAATCTTAAATTATAATGCATATTCAGTTGTATGCAACTTATGAGAAACCACGAAATGTAATGCAGTCACATGATTCTGCGTCAATATTTGTTTTGGCTTTATTTAGACCATAATTATACAAACTTACAGGATTTATAATATAAAACACTGCGTATGGTTGTTATATTTATATTTAAATAATTCATTAGATGAATGAGCATAGCAGTAGGCAATATAAAACAGTTATCGTAAACTTGTAAACCGGTTTTCCACACGATCTTCCGTAATCCTAAATTCCATAAGCTTCATACTATTCTGAAAAACAACAAATCCGTTTTGAGACAAACAATTAAACTTTGTTCTCAGTATCATATTCAATAAGTTATTCAAATAGCAAGTAACAGACTGTGCCTATAAGTCTTTTATTAACAAGTAGTGACATTCATTCATAACTTCCTAAGTAACACAACAACTGTATTACCGAAACGGAGTGAAGAGTATATAATATTTATTTTGTGAACCCTATAACAGACACGTCACAAATCAGTATTAACTAAAAAACATGGTTGTGTCACCATTCTCACAAGAAACACCGATCGTTTTATTCATGAAGATTTTGTTCCTACTTCATGTGGTGTTATACACTATTACTGCAGACGTTCAGAAAGCCGCTGGACAACACTATAAACGTCAATTGTTACTCACATATTTTTTTCTCAGATACGTTACATAATTATGTCACTTCAGTACAAAACAATGGTACCTCTAATGGATATAACTTTTTATGGCTAAATACAAACAAGTTATATAATATTCACAATTACGTTAACGCTTGATTGCTTCTACTTACATTTTATAAACAACTACCGACATCCATGTTCACCGTCACCGCAATCAAGGAGGTGAACCATATGTAAAAGATTTTACGGTTCATTTTCATGAAAACTCAATCTGTGATGTATTTTTTGACTAGAAACACGGTGAACTTTACTTGCTTGAGTTTGTATTGTTACAAATAACTATATTAAGCTAACTTCAGATTTACTTACGTGGTGAGCAAGAAATACGTCAAACTGCCAATAAATTGGAATAAAAACTATGTTACAAGCACTAGCAATACAGAAATTGATGTGTCATGCAAAAAAGCCTGTTAATAGCTGATAAATAACGACACAAAAAATCCACGACAATATGTAACGTGTGCGCGAAAATCCGTGGCTTACCCGCCAGTCCGTGCTTCAAAACTCAGATTACTGAACTAAAGTGGAACAAAAATTGACGTTGAGTGACCTTGATTAGAAACGTCAGATTTAGAAAACGGAGTTTCAATATGCAATATATTTAAACATATTCCTTTCTATTAGTTTTTTCCGGATTTTACATCTTAAACTTTTATTCATGCTGATGTTTCATCGTTGTTGAACATCAAGGTTAAGTTGCATCAAGGTGGATTGGTCTTCTTCCTCTCTGTAATCGTAAAGTTTAGTTCAACTGGTATGAGCAAAACTCCTCAAGACTCTGAGCTCGACATCTCTTTCGATCAGTTTTAACAGAATGCTACTAAAGTTAGATCATGGAACATGGCGTCCCGTTAGAAGATGTACGTTAGTTTTCCTTGACCTTCATCAGGATCGGTGAGTCGCCTGACGTTCGGTGATCCAACTGCTGGGCACAGTCAGGCTGTTACGCCATGGGTTTTCGCGCGCATGTAACATATTATAGAGGATTTTGAGATGTCGTTATTTGCCAGCTATAAAAAGTTTTTTCCGTCTCACGGTAATTTTTGTAATGTTTTTGCCTGTTACATGACATTTATTGCAGTTTAGAAGTAGTTTAATATATTTGTTGCTAACAACCTGCGGCAAAACATGACTTAAATATGAAAAAATTTGATACTCATGCAACCCAACAAACCCACGGCAATTGAAATACAGAATGACCGTCCCTTGCCAAGCCGTTCACGGTCGTTGAAACGAAAGGGCAGGCAGACTCAAAAGACTCTGACGTTTTTCCCGTGCCCAACTGCTCGTTTTAGCTAGAGGTCAGTGATATTTCATCGACCCTACAATATAAAAAGATGTGATTCCAGGTCATTTATTTAGATTCATTATGTAGGGGGTTTGCTTTTGTTAGTTTAGACTGAACCTCAGGCCAAGTGAATGTGCGTCTCAGTTATAAACAAAAACGTAATAATCACACAACCTAGTTTTTCAGATAACGTGAAATTTACTCATTATCTGAATTCTAGCATTCATTGTTTTTTAGTTTTGAGCAAAATACTCAAAACCTTTATACTTAAACTTATTCACTCAGCAGTGTGATACGGTTCAACCACGATTTATACTGATGAGATGTTTTGTATTGTAGCGGTAAATAAATCCGCACCAGATCACGTGTGGTAACGCCGTGCTCAACATCAACCGCAATCGCTAGCCAGATTAGATCAGAGAATTCCGATATATTGGTCATCGCCAAATATACTCTTCCGATCTCCTCGACTCTGTCTTTTGATTTCTCTGGGTGGGAACGAAATATATTAGAAGGTGTTACTGGTAGAAGCGTTGCCAAACACTGAATACCTGTGACATCATCAGTATCATGTATTCCAGGAATTTGTTAAGATGGAAATGAAAACGTACTAAAATTCCATGGAGAAAGGCAAAAACCTAAACACTACCGTTTTGGCAATCTGTGGTATACAAGCTGGACTGCGCCTTGAAGCAATATGTAGAAGTTACACAACTTAGACATATACACTCGGTAAAAAAAGACTTCACGTACTTATGGATAAAACAAAGTGTGAAGTTCTGAAGACACTATACAATAATCTGCACCACCTAATACATATATTTAGAGAATTATTCACGAAGTAGTTATGTTATAGCTATGTAGTGACTCACATCCATCACGAGAACACGACTGGTTTAAAAAAACAATTATTATTATAACCAACTGTACCAGTGTTTGTTTTAATGTGCTTTTCTTTGACTGTGCTAGTGACAGCTATTTTTGTGCTTCCATTCTTATACTCGCACTTTGATTGTAACTTCACGCGAATTCGGTTACGTTCTGTAACCAAACTTGTATCCTGGCACGATCTCGGTATCCTTTCGATACCACGAGATCGCCAGCAAATATATCTCGACTTGGTCCATTAACTGCCTTCTGATATTTGGCTTCCGGGGGATTTTATGAAGTTATTTGGCACGTGTTTCTCTGTAGCGGTGTTCATAGTCTATCGCGACTCGACACTCACGCTACAGCTATAATGGCACATACCTATCATCAATCCACTTAGACCTTGAAAACATTGTTATCAAACTATTGATAACTTTTAGTTCAGTTACAGTTGAGCTTATCTGCTAAAATCATCAACTGTAAAAAAGCAAAGGCATTCCAAAATGCTTATGTTTGTTGGTCACAGAGCAGTGACCGATGTCTTGCTCTTCGTATTATTGTAGTGTATAACGATAAAAAACTAATAAGTTACGGGAATTCGTTCCCTCGTATTGGACAAACGTAAACTGGCTGTTTTTCACTTTAAAGAATAGCAATGCATCATATAAGTACCGAGTTGATGTAGCTATTTTGCATACATTTTTATGGAGGAGCTCGATTGTAACTACAAACAGTATCGAAGATGCGCGTTTCGCACAGCTTTAAACTCGTCAGCTGCATATTGATGTCTAAACCACGGCTCAAAGGCACACATACTAACAACGATTGATCGAGATTCACCTAGTAAAATAAACAATGGGATAATCCAACCCCTTTTTGAGCATGGTGCAAGCATCACAGCGGTTAGGCAGGCGAGCAACTGTCTAGAATCTGTAGCTAAGAGCGTAACATGTCGGTATTTAGAGCGAAAGACACTGGATTTGAGGAGTGGTGCGAAGTATACTATCATTTGCTGTAGACCTATTTACATTCATATATAAATATCTCGAAAAGCTAATAATGCCTTTTGAATTATTCGACATCGAGTATTCTGTCCCATCGGACCTAACAAGTAGTACAGACTAGGTTATATCTGCAAAGTTGCAGTGTACACATTGTTCCAAGTAATCCGACATCGCCAGTACTGCCTTATATTGGGTACGTGAAAGTTATCGAAAGAAAACTATATTTGACTTCGTGACATTGTTTTAATAGCGACAAGAGGAAAACCTTAAGATAATAGACGTTCGTTCTAGGAAATAAATGGTATCTAACGCAATCGTAAAGTAACTGACAACAAAATCAAGGCGAACTAAGCAAAGACAACCTGTTGACGTTTGGTTTCACAAAAAAAAGCAATAGACAAATAAAGATTTGTTTGTATTTGTAATTATGCAATTAAAGATAACTACAGAACAAAAAACATACACACAGTTTGTCAAGGGATACTCCCCAAAGTAATTCGATTTACATCTATCTTCATGTGTGTAATATCAAGGAAATATTCCTTTTAAAGCTGTTGCTTTTGTTATAATGTAATATAAATAGCACGATAGAATCAAAGTAAAATATAAAGACTGCTAATAGGTGATTGTCACACAATAACATAGAAATATAAAATCAAAGAATAAAGGCTAAATATAGGTAATATTTTGAAATAAGTGAACAGTTTTATTCTATATCGAATAATAAATCATCACCAGATACTTTCATTCCACTGGAAACGTAAATCTTTTTAATACAACCTGAAACGGGTGCTGTTATGCTCATTTCCATTTTCATAGCTGACAATGTAGCTAATTTTTGACCTTTCTCTACAACGTCTCCGTCTTTCACATTGATTGTTACTAATTCACCAGGCATTGGTGAACCAACGGAGCCTTTGACACCTTTCAAAGCCTTCGGATGAAACGATATCGACTAGAAACAAAAAGAATAAATAAGATGAGGGGAGTTTGTGTGGGAGAGAATAAAATTTGTAAACGAATATTGTGTAGAGAACATCCCGAATTTGGATATCAACTCAGTGGTCTAAAGGTTAAATGCTCTTCAAGATATCCCGGGGTCCTGGACTCGGTTTCTAGCAAGGTCGTTGGTGAACACTGCTACTGAGGAGCTCCATGTTAGAACGGAGTGAACGTTTATTTATTCCTAGTTTTCAATGGTTATCTAATTTTAGTTTTTGATGTAAAAAACAAGAAAATCATCCCAACTTTGATGAATGAAGTGAGTTTCAGTAGGGTTCGCTGTGAAAGGAATATAAATTGTAATGTGTAAACCTTGATAAAATTTGAAGCACATCGCCAGGTCAAGATAGACGTTTTATATGCTGAAGGGATTTCATCACTTCAAGCAGCCGAATTTGTTCCTCTCCACACAATGTGATGCTCCATAGCGCAAATAAAGGTAGAAAAATACTCATCACATGACACCCTCGACTGCATATACCAACCTAAGTGTAGACGCCAAAGCATATACATTTGAAGGACAAAATGTTGAGGATTACACATTTTTGCGACCATATTTCCAAGAACCTATGTTTTCGACGAAAAAAGGTCTTCTGAGTTCTACTACACGCCAACTGTTAAATACGGTATACAAAGTGCGTGAAGAATCCATTCAAATTGTTTAACATAAAAGTCAATTATCTCGTAAAAATAGCAATTCGAAGGCTCATACCTGACCATTGTGTTCAGAAAGAGTCAGTGGTTAACCATCAACTGTCTTAGTAATACAAGTGAACTAAACATTTTGGCCTTTCTTCATCTTTTCCTTCAGTTAATCAGTCACAATCTAGTAAATTTAAGTCACGCGTCTTGTCTTCTACATCTCCTAAATTTGTGTTATGTTGTACAGCAGAAAAATAATCCTAAATTTAATAGGGGCATCCTCCTGTCGATTACTTCCAACCATCATATTATCTCAACATGGTGCACGTAATTTCGAGTCACCTAGACTAGTGGCCACATTGGGACTTGGTCGATAGAATTCGATCTGCACTAAGAAGGACCTGACACACATAACATTGATCACCACCCAGTGATCATCCAATTGTAAACGGATATCTTTTATAACCAAGATAAATACATCGACTGATCCCTGAATATACCGGGCAACGTCACGCTTCGTACTAGGTAGATTAGTTTGGAGGGATCAGTAAACATATCTTCAAACTTACCTTTGTGGCTTCTTTGTCACTAATCAAAATTGATCTAAGTTGGCCATTCATTTCGAAGAATACTTCACGTTCCCCGGCTTTGGTTAATTCACCGACAGCCAATGTTTTAATATGTAACATTTTACCGGTCTCCAAGTCGACCTGTTTAAGGAATAGTTTATCATATGTGAAACAAATATGCTAGCTTAACGTGTAGATAAAAAATACTTATTCTGAAGAGTGATAAAGGACTATCTGAACATATTCATATCAAAGGGAAATAATTTGCATCCTAGAATGTAAATTTTATGTAGCTTGTCTGTAACCAACGGTTCATTGTATAGGAACCAATTATAAAGTACTGAGAGAGAAGGTAGATAGATACACAAATATGAAACTAGAAATTCTCAGAACTTCAAATTATTTCTTCATAATATAACTCGCTAGTACAACATAGTTACCAGTTAGTTTTGTATCGACCCAATCTCCTAAGTTTGGGAAAACCCCAAAAGTCAAATGACCCTCACCAAAGTTCGGAGAAAAACCCAAAATGTAAGGGAATTTCGTAGAAATCCCCAAAGTCAAATGACCTTCACCAAGATTGAAGGGGAATCTTGGGGAATTTCCCCAAAGTTTACTATAGCGGCTTCCCGAAAATTGAGAGCTCAAGATATGTTTAGCTGGAGCAACACTATAGATATTATTCTAAAATGATGGTCAGTTGAAATATGATGATTAAGCGAGACATGGAAATAATTTAATTGCATGATATTGAAAGAACATTCGAACTGTGTAAGGAAATCACTGAATCAATTGTCAAAATTTTTAGTAGATGCATTAGATAGAATAGTAAATTTCGTAACTGACATCACAGGATGACTTTGGTAAGATAACAACTGAAAATCAGGAAGCAATGATTTCATGACCCTATAGGAGATGGAATCAACGACTTGGAGTTTTGTGTCAAGCGCCGAACGTTCAGATCATTATGCTGGCATCTAATAGTTTACATTTTCGACTTCAGTTAATTTGCAATACTGTGCAACTGGCGTCCAATGTCATCGGTGCTTAAGTGCATCACACTCAACATGTGAACCGTTGAACCGTTCCATGATAGAACCAAATAGCCGTCTGGTACTTCCTGATTCTCAATGGTTATTTAACTAAGGTCGATCCATGATGTAAACTACTAAGAGAAGGCATATTCAAACTATTATATTGAAAAGTAAAGAACAAATATAAACTGACGAGATGACATTTTACATATAGACAGTACATGTCATTCTATTGTGATGTATTTTTAAATAATGCTTAGGTGGTGAAGCTCATTTCACATTTTTCATGAGTCAGATGGATGTACATGCACACTATTTAGTTTGTATGTTAACAACGTTATGGTTCAGAGTAGTGTTATTCATCTCAAGAAGCACTTTCTTCTAAGCTTTTAAATACCAACAGACACCATTTGTTCAACATTCATGAACATCAACAACACCAGGGTACAAACCGTATATGGATGTTATTTTTTAAACTGTACAGATAGAAGAATTTTTTCGTGTACACACTAGTTGTTATCTACAATAAAAAAACACAGTACTTAAGATATTTTTAAAAATATGACAATCTAAAGGACGGAGTATCCTAAAACAGATATTGACATTCTAATAGTGTAGGGAGTGAGGAACAAAATGGAATAATGAAATTCTCTATCAAAAAAGAAATCAGCTCGCATGAATTACTTACTGGAAATTCTTCAGCAATCTTAGGTCCTACAAAAAACATACGAGTTGGTAGACGATCTACGGGACCATAGATTTTACGGAACTCTTCAAATTCATCAAATACCTGTTGCAATTAATTTATCAATGTGAATTTTAAAAAGGAATAGTATTCATTAAAAAGGATCAAAAATCAAGCTGAAAAATTATCTCAGAGTTTAGAGAAAAAATATAGGATCATAATTCCAGGAGTAATGACGACCTAGTAATTACTTGTTCAAACCACAATCGACTTGCTTTGGTTTAGGGAACTATATAGTACCACTAGCTCTTATATTTGGAATGTAACTTAAAGCTAAACTACACGAATCTGTTAACTGCAATATCTGCTTTCAGAGTACTATACTTATAAGGTACTTTTTGTAGAGACATAGTGTGCATTGGTTGGATCACACTGTTAAGGTTTCATGCTAGGATGAAGCGAGTGTTTAATGATCTTTAGTTTTCTTTAGTGATTCTTTGACGGTTGTCTATTTGTAGCATATAAAACTATATTTAAACCAATCAAAATTCTAAATATTATGAACTACCAGAAAGTTTCACACTGTCAAATTTAGGAAATTCTACTAAATATTAAAAATATAACCAAGAATTAGTGTGTAGGCACAGGAAAAATCAATTTACACCAAAAGGATCCAGGGTAGAAGTTGATTCAATTTAGAATATTTCTTTTCACAAGTTGAAAACAAAACAACAATGCTCCGTAATGAGAAGCAATATATACTTAGTAATGAATAATTTCGAGAGGTAATTCCCTGGGTATCAGTGGAATTCAGAATATTGTTACCAAAAATATTAGATGGTTACCGCGCTATGCCGAAAACTGGTTGAAATTGGAGTTGGATCACTGAACGCCAACCAAGTGGTTTTAGTAGGTAAGTATCGCCATGAGACACCAACGTCCTGTGCTCGATCAGTGGCGAATGCATAAGTGCACATAGCTGAGGGGTCGCAGACTACTGTCGAAAAGCTGTCAAATGACTTCTGGTTTTCATTGTTACTTCAAGTGATATCAGTCTGTGATGAATATATCCAACAAATGAGCTAACGACAATAATAATATAACTGATAATATGTAGTTAAATTATTTCTCCTTATTATTCAGTTCCCAACAATGATTTGATGTCTTTTGTTATGGTTTAAGATGCTAATCAATATCGCGTGCCAAACTCACCAATCGGAGTTTTGACTATATTATTCTATATCCTGCGTCTACTGTTCTATCTCAATGTAGCGTCCAAGACCTGACTAATTATACGTTCTGACATGTACTGTAAACTTTGAGCAAACACATAAGCTACACTCCTATTGGTCCTCTCTCCACAAATTTTCCTCTATCCTTAGTTCTGAGTCCGAAAAGAAGTCTGCAGCTAGCATCTACTAAATTATGTTTCAATCATCCAGATCAGTCAACAACTATCTCAAACATCCGTTATCTTACATACACGAATTATCAGATTGAATCGCATACCAAATGAGTAATAATACTTTAATCACTATCATGTCATAAGTAGCAGAGAGCAAAGCAAACAATACATGATTAAGTAGTAATAGTTAAAGAGTGGTAAAACGTACAGCGAGTCAATGGATCCACTGGAAGCTTACAATGAGGAAATATTGAAATACAATAAATAAAAATAAATAAATACATCATTACCTTAGGATATAGAGCTGCTGACAGTAGATCGCGTTCATCAAAATCTCTTTTGAATTTTTCCTTTAATTGCTTAGCTAATTTATCAAAATCAAACGGTTCCATATGTGAACCAACACGCTCGGTTTTAGCCTTTTGACCTCGCATAATCTGAGATTATTTTATTTTGTATTTTAAGATGGAAAAAAATGAATGAAAGTTGAATTATGAAAGAATGAAAAAAGGCTTATTCAAAATCTGAGTGATTGTTTTTAATATTACTTGATTATTAAGAATCAATATTTTTGACTAAATGCAAAAATATTCTCGCATATTTTATTTAAGCGTAATGTTAAGTGGTGTAGGAGTAGGTTGAAAGAAAGTTAAGGGTAGATAACTTAAGAATTGTCATCAGTCGAGGAAGTCATGCTGGTAGATCAAAGCTATTTGTTTGTGGTCAGCACGATAATTGTGATCAACGGTTGTAGACGTTTGAGGATATAGCTAAGAATCGTCCAGTGGCTCAAATGTGTTCACTCCTCTAAATGATGAATTTCATTATTCCATCATTTATACTTTACCACTGCCTTTTCAAACGATATTCTCGAAGTTTAGTCTTTCATATTGTCATGGCTACCACAGTTCGTTTGCTATTTAGCTCATTATTCTCAGTTTATTGTGCTAATGTTGTGTGAAAACTTGAGCTAAAGAGCAATTGTGAAAGGCTCGATGGTGACTATAAATGACTGTAAAAACGGTAATGTGAAGGATTAGTGATGATCGATTTTTTACATAATTACCAACTAATAGATAGTAAGTAATGCTGACCAGCGACGAAAACCACTTACAGATGAAATTAATCCTCAATAAAAACTCATCTATAGAGTTTAAGTGATATACAGGAGTGGGTTAAAGCTTATTTACTCCAATATTCAGGCAATGGATATCAGCTGTCATCATCAACATACATATATATTCTGTGTACCATTTATCTGATAAATAATTACATTTTCATGAGTTATTATTATTAGAAGGTCTACAGTTACTTATTTTAAGAATTGTTTTACACTGAATAGTCAACTGAGTACAAAACAATATCACATTTGTCCAGTCTTTATGCTGATCCAAATTTATTGATAAAGTTGGAGTGCGGTCACTAGCCTAAGTGACTTAATATTGTGTAGACTGTGTTTGAAGGTTAGATAATCAGAGGCAACCGTTAAGAATTTTGTGATACTGAGTAACAAGGGTTCAAACGTTTCAAAGAGCATTTGTTTGTTTGAAATTGGAGATATCTCATGATGATGAATAGTGGCTAGCATGGGAGCTAGCTACAGGGTTTCTTTTCAATAGCCTTGCATCACCTGAGTGTATAACAAGATATTTGTGTGTGATGACGCGTTAGATCTGAAAAAGATATGAGGTGGATTGATTAGTTAAAACTCCTTTAGTTTTATCTTTGGTCATCTAGTTGTATATATTTATCAAATAGATTACACGTGATCATATTAGTTTGTATTGTAATGTTTGTTTTCGATGTTCAGTTACCCACTTTTCAAATGAGTCCTAGGGGGTACACGTGTTAGTCAGTGTTTAGTGATATAAATTACCTACATATTAGGTCATTCTAGCATTTACAACTATACAGGTAAAGAATACCATTTTATACAATATCAGTCAACCATCTATCTTGCTTACTTACTTACCTTTGTTCTAAGTGGCTCGGGGAATCCACCATAAGGAAAACCAATTTCACCGCTGAAAAATTCAATCACTGACGACGGAAAAGATAACTCTTCAGCTCGATCTAATACTTGTTGAGCTGATAAATCATTTTGAACCATAAATTGAGCTAAATCTCCCACTATTTTTGATGATGGTGTTACCTATGGTATAATAATAGGATGCATAATAAATAAACAAAATTAAATAGTTTTGTGACATGATTAGGAAATTTTCGAAGTAGCAAACATAACAGAAAAAAGTGCCCGATAAATTCGCGAATTGAGATTACAAACAATTTTATCTATGGCATATCAATCCTATTCTCTTAAAAATACTACTCCATTTATGATAATGTACTCTCCTCATTTCAGCTTGCACTGTTCAGAAGAAATATGTCTGCTACTTGAAATCCCGATACTAGCTTCTTAGCCAGTTCCCAGATTCCCTTAAATACTCCCCGTACAAGCGAGCTCCAAATAGTAGAGAAAAGATTCAAAAGTAGGAATAAAAACTTTGCTTCATGGTTAGTTTAGATACAGAAAGCAAACTTATTTATGGTTTTACGTGTGGCCTTCATATTCTGGGAGCTACTGGAAATAGACTAAATTTTGTAACAAGATAAACAATCGTCCAATTAAAATATGACACATAATCCTTGGTCTTGCTAGATGTTTCTGGGGGTTTCCCATTCGATGCCGAATGAGCAACAGTTTTTAAACCTTTTACCAGCTTTTTTAAACTTTATTGAGGAATATCCAGAGGCACCTTAACAACAACATCAACTAGGAAAGGTCCCTAAAGGCTAGGCTCTTCAGCTGTTAACGCATTTTGTTTTTTAATTTTATACAGTTTTATTAACACCAAGGTTTTCGCTAGAAATGTGTATACAGACGCTTTCGTTGGTAAATATCTGGGCAGTAAGTCAATGACAAGAAAGCACAAAAAATATAGAAGGTCGACGGTCGTTCTGACTTTGTTTCAAATAAAAATACTTCCATTGCCCTAATTGAGCCGTTTTCTTCACTTGAAAAGAAGTGTTTTTTATTTAATATTGTATACTCATAAACAGCCTACAATATTTCACAAATTCCTTTCATAATTTTCCAATTTTCACCAGAAACCACAATGCTTAGTATATTCATTGATTCCACTATTTATATATAGCAAATTGACTAGGATTGAAACAATATGAGTCATTAAAATCCAGCCTTGTGGTTCACTGACATTGTAGTGGTCATGAAACCTGACTGTCCTGTTTCTAAACATTATTCAAGACTGATACAGCTTTATATCTCGTTCTCCCAGCTCTTCCATAACAGTTCGACAGTTGATATCAACTTATGATGGAAAATGCCACCAAATATTAATTATTTTACCAAACAAACAAATGAAAGATAGAATATGATATTAAATAAATGGGCTACCCTGAAACAAAATGATAATATTCAGAAGAAATAAAATTGAAAAAAATCACGTTATATATGACAAGAATAGCAATATTAAAAGATTCGATTCACAATCAAGATTAATTTCGTTCAGTTAAGAGATTCAATATGAAACTATAATAGAATAAAAGCTATCGATGATACTAAGCGATATTGAGTTACACCGATCTAGAGAGTCGTGCTCATAGGAATAGGATTATCAACTTCATACCATAGCTGACTGACAGGAGTGCAAGAATAAACTTTTGGTAGTTTTGTGAAAGCCATTTGCACTTCGAAAAGGTTAAGTGCACGCCATAATTACAAACCCCAAATCATGAAATGATGTTTCCTGAAGCTAATTTGTAATCATCTTACAGTGAGATGATAGATTATTCACACTCAAAAGCAAGAAGATTCTCCATCGATAACAGATTTCTACTATTACTCAAACGGAGAAGTATTTATTTCATATCTCTTTTCAGAATAAATTTTATAGAAATGTTCACCACACTTTACTTATAAGTGATGTATAAGAAGTCAAGTAGTATAATTAACTCTTACAAAACTTATATAACTCATATCCATACTTTCATATGAAATTATAAGTGACTTTCAAGATATACTGATTTATCTTATCCTTGAAAAATATGACTTCTTCTTTTTAAAAATGTTATTTATTTACAAAAAAAAAGGGACCAGAGAAAAATTGTATAAAAATATGTATGTTCACCTTAATTATATCACCTAAAAGTTTATTAGCTTCAGTATATTTACGTTTCACATTTTCAAATTGATCACCCAAACCAAGTGAATAAGATTGAAACTGTAAATTGGTATATTGACCACCAGGTATTTGATTTTCATATACATCGGCATTACCTGAACGCATAGTTGTGGTACATTCAAATGGTGCATATAAACTTCTCGTTTGTTCCCAATAAGCTGAATAAGTTGATACATCTTCGCTAGATAAACCAGTGTCACTGAAAATTAATAACGAAGCAACAAAACTTTATATACATATAAGCGCTAAGCGGTTAAAGATATAGTCTAGAGGGAACCCATTTCGATTCGGGCTTCATGTTAGTTGCCAACTGTTACCACGACATATCACTAGTCTCAAGGGAATTGATTACCCCAGTGGAGTTCGGACTTATGTTACCCGACTTTACTGTCTGAGACGGTAACACTGAAATATTGGCCCCGTGAGTAAATTGTTGTAGAACTGTAATGTTCATAATCAATTGATCGCTGAGTAGTAACCAATGTCTTGCTTGTTCAATTCGTTAGTGCTGGACGGAATCTATTGAATAAGTTGTAATGTGAGTTACTAGTACAAGTGACTTGATATCACAGTGCACTGTTTAGATATTAGACGGTTGGAAGTGTTCTTCATCAAACCCTGAAACTAAGCTTCGTGCTAGCAACGTATGTCAGCAATCTTATGGGAACTAATATTCGACAGAATTCTGTTAGCACTAAAGGATTATACGACCACTCTTCAGTGATCTATTTACTGTATATATATATATATATATATATATATATATATATATATATATATATATATATATATACGTATTTAACTTCACTTATTTGAAGAAATCATTTCAAAATGTATCTGGGAAGTGCATCATTTCTGAATAGCTAGAACCATTAAAGCTTCTCATTTTTACAATCTTTAGAACAATCACTATTTTCTATTAATGGTGTTCAGTGAAAATAAACCAGATGACTAAATCAAAAGCTCTTACTATGTAGCCTCAAGTTCGTAACAAGAACTAAAAATTTTAAGTTAGAAAATATAACAAGTTAGTACCATTCAGTGATGTCTTCAGGAGACGTTAGCTCATAATGTAAAGAAGAATGAAGGATTATTACGCACTTGACACTCAAATCAATTAACAATTAATAAATATATTGAAATCAAATTTTAAGAAATTATAAATAATTATAACATCAAGGAATGGCGAAGATAATCAAAATAAACGCGCAGACATTGTGATAGGACAAATGATAACAACAACCAATCAATCGTAAAATCAATCCGAAAAAGCTGCTAATCATTAATGGGGTAAATTTTCATGGCTCACTTCTATTTCAAATTTGTGCTGTTATCTGGATAGAAAATAGAAGTTTCGTGATTAAACCAGCCAGCCCCGAGAACATAATTCTAACAAAAAGATAAGGATATGAACTTGCCACTAGGCCTAACAATCCTAAGTTCAATACCTAGCCGGGTTATGAATATGTACTGCTTTAAAGTCTCATGTACTAGAATGAGAAAACTATTCACAAGCTCTCAGGGTTTATAAATGTCGATTACCTAGATTTACTTGATAATATATGGCGTTATATATTATTTACTCTTGTAATGAAAAATAGATATTTGAACAAACAAAACTAACATCTTCATAATGGATTAAATAAAAACGTTCACAAATATAGATTTATCAAAAAATCGAGTACTCCGAAGACAACTTAATTTTAACTTAATCAAATCTGAGTACAAAGGCAAATATTAAAAATTGATTTCAAAAAAATACATAACAAAACATTGAGACTAACGTGTCAGTATGTTTTAAACAAGCGACAAGAGCGCCCATACTTGGCTGACTAGTTAAACCAGACATACTATCCACAGCAACATCGACAATATCAACACCAGATTCGGCAGCTGCCAATAAACATGCTACACCAGCACCAGCTGTATCATGTGTATGCAAATGAATTGGTATATCAGGATAACGATCTCGTATGGCTGACAGAAGTATACGAGCAGCATTTGGCTTTAATAAACCTAAAATAAATTTTATTTAAAATATTGTAGAGAAAGAATTAGTTAAACTTGAGTATGAATCTTAAATGGAAGTTGACAATGTGTTGATGTGTGTTTCGCAGTCTCACCTTTACTATCAGAGATAAATATATAAAGGGTAAGCATAACTGAAATCAGTTGAAAATCATTCAAAGTATACTAGTTTCATTTCTTTACTGCAGTAGGCGAAAGCTAGAAGTAAGATGGGAGCGGCCAACCTAAAAAACAACATCAGTCTATAGTCGCTTACCGCTGGACTGAAATATGTATGTAGGTGCAAACTACGTAGATGGGCTCATAACCAATGGTTTGAGACGTTGTGAGGCAATTTCAACAAACAATTATTCGTGTTAATCAAAATAGTGACTATAACTGACAGTATTTCATAGATTCTATTATCATCTACACTAATTCATAAGTACAGTAAAAGAGACCTCACTGGGAACGGATCAAGATATAACATAAAACTATGATACATTCGATTGATAAAGCAATTGCAATGTATTTCTCAAACCATTCAACTCTCGACTATTATGAAATATGTGAATTATCCCATTGTTAATATTCAGTATTGAATTTTGGTCAATCATTGTCTACATATGTGTATTCTCAAAAGATCCCTTCGATAAAGTTATTTTGTTACAAGTTTTATAGAACAGATGGGTTGTAATATGGAATGGGATCCAAGAAACGCGTTTCTTTCCACTTAAAACTCATCAGATGAGTATGCTTGATATATCGAACGAATCCGTAAAGGACAAACACATGTCAACAAGAACATAGAAATTCAGTCCTGAATATCAATACAAAGTAAACCCTTAAAGTATAACGACCAAAACGTCGTCGCCATTAAACAAGTAGATAATTATATGAACTTAGAAGCTAAGTGGATAACGCGTTAGCGTTTGAAGCGAAAGATACTAAAATTGGGGTCTCAGTGTGAATATTAGCACTAAGATCCAGGTACATCCAGCCGACAAGTCCCAAACAGGACGAAATGCGTGTTCTGGATTTCACTCCCAACCACAATCGATCAACTTCAACTGTTAGATCTCAGGAGGTTTGAACCCTTTTCCAATTAATTCAGTTTGAGTAACTAAGTAAGTATATAACTAGTCTCTCACTCATCTATACATACAAACTCATTTATAAAAATCTATGCTTGAATTAATGAGTAAATATATATAAAGTTTGAATTGTTCTACTCACCTGCCATATCTTTAATTCCTAATATATGAGTCCCAGCTTTGACTAACTGATCAGTTAAATCCATATAATATTTTAAATTATATTTATCAAGTTTAGGATTTGAAAGATCACCGGAATAACATATGGAACCTTCAACAACTCCACCAGCTGTACCGACAGCATCCATCCCCATGAGTAAATTTGGCAAGTAATTTAAACTATCAAATATACGGAATATGTCGATGCCATTTTTTACAGCAACTTCACAAAATCTACCAAATAAAAGGATGATAATGTTAAGATCAAGGAAAATAAAGGTGAGGAAGCGAAAACCAAAATTGGTAAAAGCAACAACATGACTGCTGTTATAAAGTAAATTATTTCAAACATCAAAAGAGATTGACTGAAGTACTATCAGATGTTGAAATAAAATGAAGATCGTTAGTAGTTTACCTGTTCAGTAATTGACTAAAGTATCAGATTACTGAATGACTTGAATTTGATATTGAATGAGGCTTTTGGTGTCTTCTCTTAACTAAGAAATCATAAACCAAAATGAAACATAAGTCTATTACTTTCTGAATTTGAGTCGTCCTCGTTACGAACTGTAGATACGGTCCAGTCATGACATATGGGTTTTCTAGAGTTTGACGGAATCAGCTATGCAATCACTTGATGAATATTTATTACTTACTAACCAACTAGCCAGCTTCACTAAATACATTGCAAATACCTGCTTATTCGAAAGTCCAGTAAAACTTGTAATCTACGCATATCCTTTATTTTTAAAAGTCAGATTTCATATCCGTTAAGTGGAACAGAACGAACCAGCATACCTACCCTTTGGTTGTTATTCTGACATCTTTCCCACTCCATGGGTGATGTATTTTAATAAAAGTCAAGTGGTCTATCCAGATGCATATCGAGATATCGACAGAAATCAAAATCCCTATTCAAAGTGAGTAGGTTAAGAATATGTAGGAAGTTTCATGTTATAGGACTAGAGAATATGTACATAAATCATGCGTATACGATTTAAGTAATGTTATGTAAGCGGTAACATTAGTTAGGCAAATGATTCGTTTGCCTACATAACAGACTTCCTACGCTTAGATTTCTGGCTTCCGTGTAATATTAAGATGATCTATCTGGACTATCATTTTTTCAAACTGATCTCAATCCTTAATCAATAAGTGAATAAATAAAGCGAAAATTAGTGTTGGATTGTATTTGGGATTTATATGGATAGTAGTTTGATACTTCGGTAAAAAATTGGAAAACTCTATAAGTAAAAATTTAGAGTCAATAGCTACTTCATTAAAAACAAGAATGAAACTGTTAAAATAAGGGACAAAGTGAAGGATCTTTTTAGTGATCAATAAAAATATTACACAGATCAATTCGCATGATTTATGAATGAATAATATTCTGATATAATTCAATTTGAAATGGTTTATATTATCTCGTTGTTGATATTTTTGTCTGGATTCTACTGCTCGTCATATTCTATCTGTCCTATATCAACTAGTGACATCATGTCCATATACCAATCAAAGATGATCATATTTCAGTCAAAAAAATACCAAAAATGGGATAATTCAAGTCATTTAAAATTGAATTAAATCTTATACCCGTTGCACAAGTGAGTGACTACCTGAACTCAGTAGCTAAGTGGATGACACGATGGCATTTGAGGTAAACGGTAGTGAGTCCGAGTCCAAGAGTAAACATCAACTCTGGGATGCAGGTACATCCAGCTGACGAGTCCCGAATAAGACAGCATGTCCGAAATTCTACTGCTAGCTATATTCTATCTATTCTGTATAATGCTGAGAGATAAACCTTAGAAAATAAGGTAAACTGGCATTTCAACTTACGAATTGTTTTCCAAATCCCCCAGAATGATATAAATACATAAAAAGTTACAACTGTTTCTTTGTTATAGATGTTAGAGATATTTTCTAGAATAGCATTGAAAATCTTACAACTCGACCGGAACTAGGATGAGGGATCACGCTCAACACTACAAATGCATTTGCTTGAGGACTACACAGTTTTTTTCTCTTTCGTCTCAATAATTTATAATCTTTACACACGCACGCACACATACACACTGACCATTATTATTTAATGACAAAAATTGAATAACTCCTTGATATATGAAGAGATCAATATCCAACTATCTATTGGAATAGATCCAAACAAAATTGTGAAAATAACAAAAACCCAACAATTTCCATGAGAAACAGGATGAGATTGTGATCTCTGAATCACATACTGTCATTCAGTATGCAAAATAATGTTATGATTTTTGTTGATTACACATTCAAAGCATTGGGTACTCGATTTGATTTGAAAAATAGAATATTTTTGGTTACAAGTTTCAATAAAGATGGATTGTGATTACTAGTGGAATTCAAGATAAGAGAGCTATCAGATTTTAGACTTATCAGTTGGATATACCTACAATCAAAACAACAGATATTTGGTTCCATTTTTGATGTGAATATCAACACTGATATCCAGGTATGTCTATATGACAAATCCCAAATAAAGTGAAACACCTATCATAGATTTCATTGTTGGCTACTGTAATCTATCTTTACTAAAAAAAGTAATATGTACTTTTTACTAACTCTGACCCTATTTTAATATATAAATAAATCATTTTAACTGTTATCATGTGCTGATATATTATTGTTGTCTTCATTATGGAACAAAACACTAAAACATTCATATAAACAACATTAGAAATCACTGAAAAGTGAATGCCTTAATCAATATCAATTATACCGTGAAATATAAAAGTACAATGTAAAAATAAGGATAATCATGAGAGATAATATGATATAAGTAGATTTTAAGAAATCTAGGTATTTTTAAAATGGAACTTAATGAAAAAAAGTAGTAATAAACTCACAATCTTATAGACTTCATTTTTAATGAATGTTCACAGAGTGAAAGAGAGAGAAAGAAAGAAAGTGAAGCGAAACGATAATCTCTGTTTCAATGATTCAATTAATTTATTAAAGCTGAAAATGTTTTCGCGGTTTCAATGTTTGTTGTGATAAATTTCAAAGTATCTTGAACACGATATCGAGTCGTTTAGACTAACGGCTACATTGTAACTTCATTGATAGAACTTAATCAGTACTAAATAATTAGATAAATATGATGTTAATCACTTTTAATCCCAATTGGCGTTATTTTCACCAAGTTCTTTTCTACGGGATAGGTTTGCTGACCCTATGCCCAGCCCTCCCCTTCCATTCGGGCTTGGAACTGGCAGTAACAATAGAAGAGCTATAGGTGGACTAATTAATTGCTGATTATCTAATGGAACTGAATCTTGATTTTATGCATAATTATAATAACATTATATAGGTAAAAAGATGTGTAGATGAGACTGTCATGCTTTTTGAATACTTATACGTAACAATAATGCATTTCTTAAAGCGTGAGGGAACTAATACTTTCATAGAGATCTGAACTCTATTAAACTAATTTTATGTGTAAAATAACTTGGAATTGGTTTTTTCCAGCAATGAGGAATTGACTTTCGGATTGGAATTGATTATAATAATCGGTCAGTGTAAAGCACACGACATTACACTGAAAACAAATAGCTTGCATATAAAGTTTTCGATTTGCAAAACTGATCGAGAACAGGTTGAATATATAGTAATAGTAAATGTAAATTCCCTAAATAATCAATGAAAATCAATGATAAGCATAGGGTAAACCAATTTTCTAAAGACTTTGCTCACTTGTATATTATATTATCAGGATAGTTTTTATAACCAACTGCATTTGCACCACGTAGAAGCATTTGAAATGGGATATTTGGAATAACGTTGCGAAGTTGTTCTAAACGTTCCCAAGGACATTCATGAAGGAAACGCATGCTGACATCGAATGTAGCACCTAGATTGGATCGTTTTTAAATTGATGAATAAAGATTTAAGATACTAATTGTGTTCACGAGAAAAACTTACCATTTTGTCAAAGTGTACACAAACGTTTTATAATTAGATATTTTAATACTGTGTCATTAAAAATTTCTGGAACTAGGTAGTCTGGTTATTGATAGTTACTAACACGATATATTCTTAAAAATACAAATTATCGTAGAACGATATACTTCAGCTTGGTTATCATAGGAAGGCTTGAACTATAACTGATTAAAATCAACCGAAAACATGGTCATACATCTGTTGTAAAACGGCTATCAATACTCCAGTTTCTTCTGCGAGTTCTGTAGTTTATAACATGAGTTGAACTTGATTAGGCAATCGCTGAAAGCAAAAACAGCTAGACAGCCATTTCGTCCTGCTTTATAACTCCTCGAAGGACCCACTCACGACACCACCGGGGATCGGAACCAGGACCTTCAGGTCTTGCCACAAACACTTAACCTTCATACCACTGAGTTAGCATCCAATGGTTTACATTTCTAACGCCATTCAAATTGCGATACTGTGCGACTCACTTCTAATGCTATTGATGGATGACGACTCTTACATCCGTTGAGGTTGAACTACACTAACCACAGTTTCTCACTAAAACCTCGGAAATTATCGCTTGAACTTGGCCACTAGTATAGACGATTGTAATTTGTAACTTACATCAATGATTGTTCTTGGTTACATAACCATCGAAAACTAGGAAACACCTGACAGTTATCGTTAACGAGCACTGTTGAGGTATCCTATAATTGGACAAAACAGGCCTCCAATGTTCTGTGGCTTTCGATTCTTGTGAGTTCTTGCTGTAAACTACGAAAATTTACCTTATTAGTATTGACTACGATATGTCGAAGAAGCCTACGAACAGTTCAATGAAAGGAAGTGGCAAAAGATAGAATCATATCAGCAATCTATACTCGTCTATAACTACATCTACTCAGTAGTAAATGAGTTACATGTCAATCTATAACAAACTGACTGGATTTACCCTGTTTTAATGTATGTGTGTTTACATTACAGATTGATAGCATAATCTATTGGCCTGATAATAATGCTCATCTAACTTTAAATAGAATTTTAAAAAGAACTCGAATTACGAGACAGTGAGTAAAGTATTTATACGAAATATTCTTGTCCTAACTAATCTAATTGAGTATTCCGGTTGAAAAAAATTTATAAAGTATTGACGACTTCAGCTTCTATCGATTTCTAGTTTAAATGTACATGAAGACATTGACTGTTTGTCTGAGTTATTTTGGAAGGTGAAAAATTCCTCTCACTGGAATGACTTGAGGTGTAATAAATACGATAGTTATACATTCGTGTTCAATCCCACGTTAATAACAACTGTATGAAACTAACTCATCTACTGTTTGAGGATTTGCGCACTTATTTTAAGCATGATAGCGAGTGATACCATACGTTTTTGCAAGCCAAAATAGATACGTGCGGGGTTCGGACTCGCGACTTGATGGCTGGAAATCGACTTGCTTAACCATTGACCCATAGTTCAACATAGCTGTGAGACTTCTTCACTTATTAATCTAGCTCAAGAAACAACAGAATGTTCATTTTATTATCAAAACCGATAGGGTGTTTAAGTATATTAATCCATAAATAACCTATTCCAGTTATGGTTAATGAATGACATCTATGCTACAAACCTGAGTTATGATATAGATAAACAAAATAATAAGTGAAATGATTCCCTTCCAATTATATTATTGCTAAAATCTATGAAATAAGTCATAAAAATAATAAGCTGAATAACATAATACAAATTTATTGAACTCTACAGATCCCTTAACATTTTCATCAATCATCCGGAGCGAAATGGAATACGGATTATACAAAAAGTTAATATTGGTTAGTCAACAGTTTACATATCATAGTTTAGAAATTTTGAACAAAACCATCATACACCTGTTCTAGACAACTGTTAATTAATTTACTCATCAAATATCCTTCAAAAGAGTAATGAATGAGTTCATATAAAGTATACATAAATCTTTCTTCAAAATAAAGTAAATAATAAATTTAGTTATTAGTCGCTTGGATATGAGCCGAACTAAATGTGAGGCCTAGTAGTAGTACTACTACTACCAGTTTCCCCATACCGAAGTAGGCTGAGTAGGGTTCAAACCAGGGACTTAAAGACTGAAAGTTTAATGCCTTAACCATTAGGCTTCCACTCAAAATCGCTGATAATCTTCTTAGCAAAGTTCATTGAGAAGCATATCATGCAAGTAAATTTTAATTCCATTTGTACATCTCTACATAGCTCAACATTATATCAAATTTTTATTCCTCAATACTTATAATATTGGATAAAATTTATGACAATTTTAATTCACTACTAACACAGGAAATTTTTACAATAACATTTCCCACTTTCTAGAATAAAGTTTATGAAGGAAAATACTAGTAAACTGAAGCTGAGAGAATTTATAAAATATACAAAAATATATTTATTACTAAATAACAGAATGTTGTATTTATTCCGTTCAAAGAAAAGTACTCTCTAGCTGAAATAAGCCCAAATTCATTTTAAAAAGTTTGGAATATATCAATCATTCTCCTTTTCAAAATACTTCTTATGTATGGTAATACACTTGTGCAATCTCTGTTTCGGTTATTCAAGACAACCATAGAAGTTCATGGAAATCACCCTCGATAGTGTACTTACAGGATTATCATTTATCGTTAATGTTGAGAATTCCAAAGAAATTGGAGGATTAAGCGGTGACTTTTGCAGTTAAACCAGTATTTTTTGTTTCTCTCAGCTTTTACCCAGGTGTTAACAGCTTTAGGACAATCTCTATATATAACTTTTCCAACTTCAAATGTTTAGCTAAGAATGGATACATAGACAAATTTTCTAAGTACAAGTTATTAACAATCATCGTGGTAATGTATTTGGCGATCAGAAAGCACAAAAGATTGTTGGTACATGAACATAGTATAGGAGGTCTATGGTTTTTCATAACTAACAACCTTAGTAGTTCAGTTCGCACTTCTATTGAGCAGTTCATATATAAGAAAAAAATGCTAATATAGCAAAATACCATACCTCCCCAATTTTCTATACTGAATAACTGTGGCATCTGATAAGCCAAATATGGTCCAATACGTAGAAGATCAAAAGTACGTACTCGTGTTGCTAAAAGTGATTGATGTGCATCACGCATAGTGGTATCTGTAATTAGAAGATGTGGATGTGATCTGATAGCTTTGGAAAATTCAACCGGTCCTTTTTCTAGTAGTATATTACGCCAACCACGTGGAATACTATTGGCTACAACAAAAGAAAGACAATACCATACAAAAGAGCATACTGTACAAGTTTGTTATATCGTCAGTGAATATGCATAAAACGTTTACCTACTGCTATATGAAAGGTAACAATATCTCCTTTTGGGTAAACGAAAATCTATGAGCGTATTTACCAACAATTTTTACCTACCTCATGTATTTGAAACAAGTCAATAGGAAACTCGCTAAACCATAGCTCGAGCACAGCCCACTATACAATATAAATTTAGTTCAGTCAACATAGCCAGATTAATATATTACAGTGAGCTGTGGTGGAGTCATGGCTTAAAGTATTCCCCGTCAACTACCTCCAACCACTATCTTACATCTCAAAATAGTGCACGAGATGTCGAGTTACTTAGACTAGTGGATGTATTGCGACTTGATTGATAGGATTCGATCAACACTAAAAAAGACTAGGCAAACATAATTTTGGTTATTACCCAGCGATCAATCAATTATAGTTTGTACTTAAACTAAATCTATTCTGGTTATATTTACTAATTATCAAGCGTAGTGTGATTCAATTGTGTTTTTCCCCTATTATCTTTATCTTATTTACCAATTTGTCTAGTTTCTTTTTCAATCATAATACATAAATACTTTCAGAAGGGGTTTTGTGGAGATTTTAGAAATTTCACTGGTTGAAATCATGAGTCAATTGAAGCTAGACCACCATGGAAAACCTGGAAGCACTGGACGGCCGTTTCGTTCTAGTATGGGACTCCTCAGCAGTGCACATCCACGATCCCGAGTAAATATGTGACTCATTGCATGAACATACATTAAATTACTTCTGAAAATCTTGGTCTTCCAATCGCATGATCCAAACATTAAATAATTCCAATTAACGAATGAAAAGGATCATTTTAACTACTCTTGAACTACAGAAAAACAAATGTTAAGTAGAGTTGAATGGTGTTTAACAGTGGAGTTCATGATACACGTCTCGACATTAACATCAACGACGGGAGTATACAAACCGTTTCACATAATTATTAAAATGACAATTGGTTAAGAAACGATATGATTCACAGTTGAGGTCAAGGTTACCACAACTAACCAGCTGATAACAAATCAATAATTTAATGCTTTTAGATAAGGTCAACTTAAAAAAAAACGAATGATACACAAATGTTCCATAACAAACCAAATACAATAAAAATAATGTTCAAATAAATATTTCATATAGTTCCATGTAGGAGTGAGTTTATTATTATTTCTAGTTGTTGGGGATGTTAGATCCCCAGAACTCATTTGGTAAATATCTTATTTTTGCAATTTTATTCTGGAGATTTGAATTTCTTATTTCCGCGCCAAACGTGCCCATTTCCTACTTGAGGAGGGGGACCTTAGATGTCATTGGTTCATTGTCTCTTTTAATATGCTATTTTGTAACTTTTCCCAAGGACATTTTCGTGCTGCATATATACGCTTGAATTGTATTTGTGGTTGTTGTTCGTGCTTCTGGCTGCTTGTGGAATACACTCCCCTCTTCTGAACCTGGGACTTCTCTCTCTAGTTAGAGGGGTTGGGACGCATTGGAATAGTTAGCTTATTTGGTCATTGGGTCACTGGGTCTTCGTTTTATTCGCAGATCAGGTGAACTCGTAATCTCTTCAAACATAACACTATTATTATTGTAAACATAAATATCGCTCGAAAATCACTAGAGATCCAGTTCAGTTCTCTTTATGGATCAACATTATTTAAAGAATTATCACCAAAACCTACATAGGGACGGATTAATTTGGTATATTACTAGCAGCATAATGTTATTTTATGTGGTTGTCCGAGTCTGATACTGGCAGTACAAACTTACTATCTGCATCTCCAAACAAGCTACAGTAGTGAGAAAACCAAGAGTGAACAGGGAGCTTTAACCGTCTACTCTAAATAGAAAATATATTTACACACAATTCATAAATATATATCTTTTTCTATACAGAAAATCAAGTCATATTTTCTATCAATAGCCAGTAGAGTGCATCTATCGTCGTCTCATGCTTATCATTTAGCTGTTTTTTGATTAGCCTAGTTTATCAAGTTTTCAAAGAATTATCTGTATGTTATATATGTTAAAGTTTTTAGATATTTTTCGGTCCTTTCTAATTAAGAAATTAGGACGAAAAAACTGATTCTATCACATGTAATAATTTAACAAGAGAAAGCTTTTTTTAAAAAATCATTCATCACTTACCATAAGAAATTTTTGGTACCTTTGGTTCAATGTCAGATGGTGGAAGTTTTGTAGCCAAAAGAGTAGATGGCCCATTAACCATTGTATTACCTATTAAGAAAAAAGAAGTAAATACAAAGTATGTTGATTAACACAACACTATAGTTCTGTGAACAAATCATCTGTTCATTTAAAATAGTGATTGACTCTTTCACTGTAGGCTAATTATATAAATTCTTATAAAAATTGGATAGTGACTAGCAGCTGAACTCAGGGAGTGTGTTTCGCCCTATGTGTGACTCTTCAGCTAGATGGTTTAAGGCACCTCATTTTCAGTCATCCTGTCGTACATAGTTTTAAACACTTTTCTTCTGATCAACTTTAGTTTAGGCAGACTGATATAATTTAAAACTGAGTACAAAATCTTTTAAACGATCACTTAATTTTACTAAATTGAGAAATACCTAGAGTTGTATACACTGAAAACTAGACTAAAATTTAAATACTTATTTATTCGCAACAGAATTACTTCTCATTGATAGCGCGTCTACAAACACAATAGGATGCGACAGTCAATCAGTGACACGAGTTTTTTAGATAATAAAGCCTGCTGTATGATTTGATATAATGTTCTACTATTGAAAGCTCTGACACGTAGTTTAGAGTGCAATTTCAGGAAACTAGGAATAACATTTTTAAGCTTGATTTGTACATTTTGGTGCTCATATTTAATGTAAAACTGGAATTAAGCTTCTTACTAATTTAAAGTTTAAGAATAGGCTGAGGGTGTTTTCTCCCCAATGCTTCTGATCATTCGCTATAACTTATAAAACTGTTTATTTCTAAGACAAGTTATTGTATAGACTTTAACTGTATATTTATTAAATGTTTGGTTTGTGATATTTTCATATTGCTTTGACTGTAAGCTTTCGGAAAACCCATTGGTTGGTAATATATGTCTTACGGTTCATAAATTACCGTTAATTAAGCACCTATTACCCAGTTTTGTATCACTTACATCTTAGTTATGTACAAATTGTGACCTCTTATTTGTAGTAAGTTATGGTCGTGTAAATGATACATAAAATCATGAGTCGTAATAATATAAAGTAGGTCGACTGGCTATGTTCGTATTCCGAATAGCCATTAGGGATAGAAAAAGCTGAATGGACCAGTAAGCGTTAAGACGTCTGGTTGTTGTTACAGATCATTTATGTTATTGGTTGACGCGAAGATCATTGGTTTGATTAGAGTGAAGGAAATTCGTTGGAATTGATATAACAGTAAAATAGTGACTAACAATAATGCTTCATTGAAGTTACTTACCGATATAACGTAATAATTTTTGGGCACGTTGTTTAGCTGGAGGTAAATCAAACAGATCAGGATGTTCATCAATAAAATTAGTATCGACAATGCCAGATAAAAATTGTTCATGTTTAATTACATTCATAAGAAATGGAATGTTTGTCTAGTAGGGGGAAATAAACAAGGGAAAAGAAATAGTTTGAGGAGGGATCTTGTGGATACTGATCTAAACTAAAGTTAATTTCCATAAAAGTTATGACATCAGCTTGGGAGAAGTTAGAACTCAAGAAATCTAGAAACATTTTGATCATTGCGAAACCTGAAGGGCTTCTGTTATACATAATGTTGCATTGTATGTTGTTGACGATGAATCTCAAGCTAGGATCAAATAATTACCCAGTACCGATTCAGTTTTAAGTGTTTCTCTAAATGACTGCAGTTTTTAGTGTTTACGTTGACAATCAACAAATGTTTACTAAGTCGAATCAGAAAAATTTCCAGTTTAAAATGATATCCAAATAATGAACCCGAAATAAACGAACACAAAAATACTGAGGATCTAGAATTTCTCGTGAGAAATCGTGACATGTCTAGAGGGAAACAGTTGTAACCGATCCCATCAAATGATCATTGAGCTATATCGTAAGTTGATTGCAGCTGAAAGGGTTTCTGTGGAAACTGACTGAGTAGTTCTAATGGTTGAGCAGCTAATCACGAGGCCTGAAGGTCTTAGTTGCTACTTCTGGCAAATACACATGTACATTGCTAAGGTGTCCCATACTACGATGAAAAAGTCATTCAGTACTCCGTGGTTCTCCTCAATGGTACTCGAACTGGGATCAATCCGTGACGAATATAACCTCCACAAACAGTGAGGGCAGAGAGTTCACCTTAAAACCCGAAAGTCCTAAGTTCAATCGCTAGTGAGTGCACGTACTCACACTGCTGAGGAGTCCTATACCAAGGTAAAAATAATTGTCTAGTTCTACTTACTTTTCAGTAGTTATGTAGTTAAAGTTAGTCTGTGATACAAATCTACAAAAAATCCTTACTATTAATCTGATAACTAATAAACAAGCATAACCATGTTAAACAAATCATTAAAACCTTATATTTAAAAACATATACTCTGAATAACTATTATTCACTTACTTTAACACCATGTATACGAAATTCCGCCAATGAACGTAACATTTTCTTGGCAGCTAAACGAAAATTACTTGCCCGTGCAATTATTTTAACCAATAATGAATCATAATACGGAGAAATAATTGCACCGGCAAAAGCTGAAGCTGAATCTACACGAATACCCATTCCTTCACCACTTTGAAATACCTAAACGGGAAAGTTTAATTTTTTTAGAAGAACGAAAAAATAGGGAAAATGCTTTTTTTCCAAATACACAGAACCAATTCGTACTAAGAGTTTATTTTACAATTTGAATAGATCAGTTTAGAGTTTATGAAAAGTTAGTACCCTTATAGTGCTTATTCTCAAGATCAGTTCTCCAATTTTTAAGATTTATTCCACTTTTTAATCAGATAAGCATATCGATACTTGACTGATTATGTCGTCGGTTATCATGATGCTTCAGTGATAAGCGATATACACAGGTGTGATCAAAGATCGTAAATGTGCTGAGAACAAATTTTATTTATTTATTTGAACACGAAAATATTGGTATAAAGGAGTACCGTATACATATGCGCCACACAAGTCACTTCATTTGTGTGTGGGCTGTGATACTGTCCGGGTACCCAGACCGAAGCAGTTGAGAACTAATTAACTAAATGTAACGCAACTTTTTAAATAGATAAATTTATGTCCACGTTTAATGGTTCCACTCTTTTTAAGGCAGCGGTTGGAGGTTTTTGGTAGGAAAACTTGGACCTGGATTTCGTACTATGTGGCACTAGTCAGAAAGGTGCACCTGATGATGCCCCCTTTTTATTCTTACACTTAAATATCACTAAAAATCAGTTCATCAGTATTGGATTACATTCGACATGTATGAAACATATGCTTGATATTCTGACGTTTTTCATCAATGTTCAGAAAACCTTGCATAATGTGTCAATCACGCAATTGTAATCATAGGATAATGTAATTTCGAAAACTAAATGCATACCTTGTTTTAAATGATCATGACATTATCTTAATCATATTCAAGATGTTTGTAGTTCTGTACACCAAAAAATTCTAGAGCATACTGCTATCAATAATCACCATCTGTCTCCAATCATTGCTAGTGATTTCAGTCTATTGACAACCTTATCATAGAATTGATTCTCAACAAGTATTCACCCAATAATTGTATTAGATAATGTTACATAAAGTTATATAACGGATAAGTTCACAATACTTTGAAAATTTTAACACTTATCGAAGAAATAAATATTTCAAGATAAAATTAACTAAAATAGTCCCTATATATATACCATTAAAAGTATGATGGCATTATATCATTATTAATAACGATTTGAACGATCGCAACGCGTTATTCACTTAGTGACAAATGAGCTGGAATATGAAATGAAAGATTCTGGTTCTACTGTGAATAACAACATTGAGACATAAGTACACGCAGCTGACGAGCCCTAAATAGGACGAGACGAGTGTTTTATATCCCACATCTATCCATAACCTATCTATTTTGTTCTGTTATTAATTACATAAATATTTATGTTACATCCCAATGAGTAGAAAAATTGTATTTCTGATGTTTCACGACTTAATGTATATATATGATATTAACTTTCTACTCAATGCTCAATTTATTTAAAACTATCAAGTCCAACCTCGGTATTGATAGCTACATATTCTGTCGTTACTTTTAGATAAATCAAATTATTCTAGTTTTGGAAATCGAATGATATCATCAAATCTTGAATTATATATTCTCATTATTACCATTTATTCACGAAATTTACAATAGCCGACTGAAATGTCCACTAATAGGTACGATCATGTGTTGTTTAGTTCGAATAATAAATTGCCCAATCAATTTAGTGAAAGATGAACACACATACACACACACACAAAATTGTTTACAATAACTAAGGTGATTTAAAGTTAGTCTTAGATTTATGTGTGTTTTGTATTGATTCTAGTTTACACACCTGCGTTTCTATCTTGACAATTAATTCGAACAAAAAAAGCGCTCAAGAACAAAGAACGTTAGAACACAAACAATTGTGTTCGACATCTTTTTCACCATCAGACTCTTTAGTTATAAATTGATAATGTTGAATTTCACATGGATTAAGTATTATATACTAGAAATTACTAATAAATCAAAAGAATCCCAATGGTAATGTTGAGAAAAAGTTATATATGAAGGGTAAGAAAAAACTGTATGCCTCAAAGTGACGATTGAGTTTTAATCAATAAATTAATATCGTATATTCAGAAAAATAATTTTGATATAAAATAGGAGTTCAACCGCGTTGAGTGTGCGGTAGCTACCCATCAAAGATAATTGAAAATGATCGAGCAATATTATGAATTGACTGAAGTTAGATATATACATCAGTGGATTCCGGATAAATAGTTTAGAGATTAGGCCGTTCGAGCACGAGATCGAAGATTGTGTGTTCGATTCACATGTGAAGTCGTAGATGGTCACTATTGATGAATTTCCATTTTAGGACAAAACAGCTGTCCACTGCTTACCGCTTTCTCATGATTATTTAACTAAGGATAATCTGTGATACAAGTTATAAAACAAGTTCTATTCTTTCTAAGAGAGACCTACATAAGATATAAGAATTTTAGGGAAGCAACATTGTTGAAATCATTACTACATAATCTTTACGAAATAAACGTGTTTCAGTAATTCCAAGCTTTTTCCATATTTTGTTCGTCACAACTTACTTCAATACGTCCAGAATCAGGTTGAAATTGTTTTGCTGGATCTTCAGTAGTAATACGACATTGTATAGCAAAACCATGTGGTTCAATTTTATCTTGACATAAATTAAGATCACTTAATGAACGACCTTCAGCTAGACGAATTTGTGATCGAACAAGATCTACACTACAATTGAAAATAAAAATTAAGGTGATGAACAAAATACAAATCTCCATTATTGTGGTACAAAGCATTTTTCTATACATGTGATCAGCTTTCATCTTGCCCAGTCAATACTTTGGATACAATTGATTGGCCTTTGATTAGTGACTAACATTATGTTTGTTTGGTTCTTTATGGTGCCGATTGACTTCTACATATATGACCACTAGTCTAAGTGACTTAACATCGTATTTACTGTTTCTAAGTTTGATGGTTAGAAGCAGTCGACAGAGGGCCTTAAACCTAGATTTTATGGTAAGTTTAACTCTGCAATCAGATACGTCTCCGATCTTGAGAACTGATGATCTCTATGGGATTTGAACCCACCTCACCTGCGACACTACTGAGCTATTCGAGCCACAATTAACCTCCTGTAGGAGTGAGACGTATTTGCAACTGACTGGTCACTGAGCATTAACTAATGTCCTATTTGCCTGGTCTTTTAGTGCTTATAGAATTCTACAGATCAAGTTATCAACAAAAAACACAGGAATCATTACTCGATTACAGCCTATAATCTTAGATACACCTGTGGTCTAAAGAATGAAATCAAATGTTCTTGCTAACCGTACAGTGAATAAATTTTTAGAATCATTCATTCCTCTAATGTCAATAATCATCCCATTATTTATCAATCAGTCAATAATATGGACGGCTCATAACCAGTGCACTAAATAATTGTTTTGTAGTGTACATGTTATTATTATTACTTGACGCTGATTTGGTGGTTGTTTCGGTGGATTTTTTTCAAATAGACTATTTTTGTGGTTACTTTCATTATTGCTATCCATATTGTTATTGATTAATTCCAGATTATAATGTTCGGAAGTGAGATTATGTGAATAAATGAATTATTATTTAAGTAAATTAATTTAAAAACATAATTATTTAAACAATGAAAAATTATATTGCTAAGATAAATATCGTTTCGTAGGTTGTATTTATCGTAGATCGATTTCGAATGGGGTACCACTGAAAGAAACCAGGGAGGATAAGACAGTTGTTTTTTTTAGATAAAATTGGTTCAGCAAAGAGTTCCCTTTTCAGAGAATCCATTTTCAAAGTTGTACAATCGCAAATATATATAATTTTTTTCAGGATGATAATAGTTACAATAATAATGATAATAAACTTCTGTTAGACATGGTGACAGTGAGACAGAATAAACAAAGGTATTAAAAAAAATTTAAAAAGGGAAACTAATAATCATTATATATGAAAATTATATTTGAAATAATCTCAGCGATTGAAATTTAAAATAATTCCAACGTTTTGTCCAGCTAACTTGTTTCGACTTCTTCAGGGTAACAATCGAGATCAAAATCATCAAAGCAATATATGGCGTTTAATAATCAAATCAGATCAAATCTATACTGTATTAATCCAATCATATTTGAATGTTGACTTTAGTAAATAGGATAACATGAGTTCACGATGTGAAAATCTGTGAGGGCGGTCCACCCGTGAACTGGAGGAAGCTCTAATAAGCTCAGAAAGAGCCCAAGATATTTCATCCAGCCATCTTTTGGAAGAATATTCCAGAATCCCTACATGTAGCTTCCCTATTGGACAATGCTAATAACCTCTTGTGTGCGGATCGGATAACTATAATGATGATTTCGTTTTTACTAAAAACTATAAATACCTGATAGTTTTGCACCATAATTGACACCGTTTGGAATAACATTCCTCTCACTTGTCTTCTGTCCTCTCATTTGCAACTTGGGAGGGTTCTAGTGATCGAATGCTCAAGTTATAAGCGGCATATTAATAATCTAAGCTCTAGATCTAACAAAAGCAATGATTGAACGAATTGTGTGTGTGTATTTTTAAGATTGAATTATTAGTTATTGATATTCGGTGTTAATATGTTTTATATGAAGGAATAAATAAATAAAATAAAAGTGCAGGTTGAAGGTTGAAAATTGCTTCTGAACCATTGATAGGCATGTAAAAAGAGAACCATCAAATACATAATTGTATTGCTTAAAATAAATCACATTAATTTTCGTCAATACAACGATGCATATGAAAAAAAAAACGGGTTGGATAAAGGGTCCAATTACTTGTTAACGAAAATTTGACAAGTATTTGCTAGGTGAATACCATCCTTTCGGTTCAAGATGTTCTTGTTCGCCCATATATACAGCGCTTCTGCTGCCAATCTTTCTTTATGAGTGTTAAAACCTTTCAGAAGTATTTTAGTCCCTCTAAAATTAATCTTGTTTCCAACGAATGTAACGTTATCGCAGACTTATTATTAGTAACTCAATCATCACATACATACACACACAATTCGTTCAGTCATTTATTTTCACATCGTGAACTTCTCACATGATTCACATTTAACCGACTCATGTTATCCTATTTACTAAAGTCAACATTCAAATATGATTGGATTAATACAGTATAGATTTGATCTGATTTGATTATTAAACGCCATATATTGCTTTGATGATTTTGATCTCGATTGTTACCCTGAAGAAGTCGAAACAAGTTAGCTGGACAAAACGTTGGAATTATTTTAAATTTCAATCGCTGAGATTAATTCAAATATAATTTTCACATATAATGACTTCTCTATACTCGGTGCCTAATTTTTATCAACCTATTCGTTGTAATATTTACGAATATTCGTATAAATTATTTTCCAATTGAAACTAAAAATCGCCACCATCCATCTTTGCTTAAGGCGATCTCGAAGCCATCCACACAGGATGCACACATACCGCTATCATAAAATTATTTTAACACAATAATAAAAGGTGATTAAAACGATTGAAAATGAAAACATTACATTCACTTCAAACTAACCCTGTAATTTCTTCAGTAACAGTATGTTCAACTTGAAGACGAGCATTGACTTCAATGAAATAATAATGTCCAGTTGTTTGATCATATAGAAATTCAACTGTACCAGCATTTTCATAACTAAAAGATTAAAAAAATAGTAATAATCAGAAAAATAGATCTAAAACAGTTTTAAAAATGCCCATGAGTATTACATTTAATAGGTTATCATACAACAAACTAGCCATAGCTTATTGATAAACTTATCGATTAGAGTTTCGAGTAAGGCATCGCAATATTAATGATTTCCATATACATACCATCGTGACATTAGCATATGGAACAAGTATCTGCTATGATGTGAGTTGTTCGAATTCGATACAGATACACAAACTTTATGTACTCTAGTTGGAGTCAGCTAGTTGAATGGGAAAACCGAGACTGAAACCGAAAAGTAAACTTTATTGACCAAAATCGAATAAAGAATATATATGTATACTCATGTATAGATGTATATCTTTCTCTTTTGAAAAATAAAGTTATATTTTCAATCAGTATGGTATGCCTCTCACTTTAGAAATTAAGACTGAATCTCGGTTAATGACCTGTGTTTATCTTTTGGCTTATGTGTGGTTGGTTCAATTTACCAGCAATCTTTTAATTTACTTTTTAAAACCAAGTTAGTTTAGATTTGAATAGTAGTTAGAATTTTAATCGAAAATATTACTGTGATTTGAGTAATTTCTATATAAGATAATCGATCCTAACTTTCGACAAAGCTTTGGTTGCAAAAGAATCATGTTTTATAATCCGGATGATAACATTTAAGAATCAGTGAATGACAGAATTCTAACTGGAACTAAATTGTGCACCAATTGACTACCACCATATTCTAAGGCTAGTGTATCTCCATATTCATCATATAAATCTCATTAAGGGAATTAGGGCCAAGGAAGGATGAGAGGTTGGACGAATCGTTTCTGCACACAAAGTTCAGGCTTGAGTTCGTGGATTGCTAATGCCTCAGCAGTGCATGAAATATTGATTTGACACCCCTTCGATCCAGTTCCTTTGACTCTGTAGATCACTTAATGGGATTTATATGATGAACATGGAGACACACTAGCCTTATAATATGGCGGTAGTCAATTAGTGCACAATATAAATACTTGTGGAACTAAATTATTTCTGAAATTCAGATTCATTATTTTTTGTACAATGAATATGAAAAACAAATCGTTAACACCAAAGTTGATAATATGAATCAGTCTAATTATTAAGTTAATCTTTCACAAACAAAATTTAGCATTACATTGATCTAAATTAAAAATTTAAACCGTTAAATCGTTTGTTCTGAAGTTTAAGAATAAGTATAGTACTATCGAAATTTATTTCTAATATTTACACCACCACATCTTCAATGTAAACATTTACGTACTTTCTCCCCATAATATTGATGATTTGAAGAATGATATCATTGGTTACTGTTACCTTAGGGTGGATATAAAATATCAAAACTCTGTGGAAGAACTGGTTCCTTCATAACAACGAGCTATAACAATCAGTCTGACACTATTCTACATTCTAGTATCAATGTGGTCACAATCACGAAGAACGGATTCTTGAATATTTTGTTCCTAATGGCATTTCCCTCACTATAAGCGTTAAAGTACTTATTTAGAGAATTTGAAATAAGCAATATAACTGTCGTTTCACAATTCGTGAATGGAGTCCTCTATCATTTAAAATCAAAAATCATACTTGAAGTTTGTTTGCTGGTAAAGTAATTGGAGAGTGTTAAGTCACTTCATGTTTTTGGTACGACTATATTCAAGACTATGGATTTTGTGTACATTTTAATATACATGCGGCTGTACCCAAAGGACATCTTTAATATGTAGTAAAAATGTGTTCTATCAGTCAACTCTTCCAGGTAAAAAAAGACATACATTCGTCTAAATCGATGAAATGAAGAGAACTATGAAAAAACTTAGAAGTTGTATGAATATCAGCAGGATGAAAAGAATAATTTCCTTAAGTTCACTTGAAGGCTGAATATCGACTGTGAGGACTCTGCAAACACCAAACAAATAGAGCACGAAATCAGTTCTCTTAACAGCCATCTATCTTTTGATTCTATATATTATCAAATTGTATTCAGATTTACCTCATATTGAGAATTGAACAAGTAAATTCCCCTTTTATTTCATATTACGTTTATTTTTTGTATCTTTATCCATGAAAAGAATACGCGTACTGTGTGCTGCTTTGCTTTGATTCCCTAATCATATTTAATATTGATTGCTTGATGATGAAATATATTTAACGAAGAGTGCATACGTTATAAAGCAAAATATACTATTTCACGGATTAATCGAATAAACAATTAAATGAACAAGTCTAGGTAAATCGAAATTTCTATAAGGTAAGGTATTTCTTTTTTTACAACATAGCATTTGACTGATAGATTTCATTATCAATTTAACATGATTTGTGCAAACTATCACTTATTTTACACACATAGAACCCTTAGAGCTACTAGTAGTTATAAGCAATTTGACGGAACAGACTTAGCACAGCATTTATAGTCAGTCAGTCAGTCAGCCAGTCAGTTACAACGTAGAACCAGGCACATATATGCATCGGTCCAAGTTGCCATACTTCATCAGCACAACAAGATAAACACCGAATTCATAGAAGTAGGTAATTTAATGGTGGTAATATATAAAAGAAAGATTGCATATAAGGATATAGTACAGGAAACAGAATTTATAACCATCGGTTTGACATGATTTTCATTTAGAAGTAGGAAACCTTTTAGAGAGCAATATTATGATTTTATTAAGAATACAATAATATTGAAAGATAATTTTATAAATAAACATAAATAGTAGTACAAATTACAAATATCCTATAGTTTAATACATCATGTTTCTTGTTACAATTACTGACTGGTTGAATAACAATCTCAAGATATAGAGAATCGTTAACCAGTGTTTATTGTAATCTGTTGAGTCGGCTTTCGAAGAACTTCAACGGAGCCTCCAGAAGCCCAAAAGGAGCCGAAGAGTCCTAGTCAATCACAACACGATGGAGCATTCTAGAATTCTAACGTGGCGTGCTACTATTGGTCAGTAGCATAATATGTCACTAAAGGATTGGCTGAAATATTATGTTGATTTAACAAACGTTAACATCTATAAATACCCATGCTTTTCTGTACAAGAATGAACCTTGGAGTAAAGTATTTTCTCTCATACTTACGTCTTCTCTCTGGTGTTCAAGTCGCTGTGTAGTTCTAGCGTGCGGGTTACCAGAATAGCTTAGGAAAACGAATATAGCGTTCAATCGACAAGACTTATCATAATCATTTATACTTTCTATTAATTCTAGTTACTGATATCACGAACCAACTTAAGTCAAACATTCAGTAAAAACGGGAAGCACTGGACAGCTGTTTCGTCCCAGCAGTACACATTCACGACTCTATCATGGACTGAATGCAGGACCTACGGTCTCGCATTCAAATACTTAATGTCTAAACCGCTGAATTGATATCTCGTGGTGTACATGTTTAGATTCAGTCGGTTCGTATGGTTGTGTAACCATCTACCATTGTGTTCGGTGGGGAATTGTGTCATACTTAATACGTTTGAACTCCACTGACCACGTCTCAGGGGTCTATAGGTTAAGTGCTTGAGCGTGAGACCAAAGATCCAGGGTTAGATCTTCGATGAAACAAGGACATATAGTAATTCATTTATTTACCCACTAATTATTTACAGACATCAAAAACATATCATTGCAACTTTTATTCACTGGTATAGAGTCATGTGTTAAATCCTCACATTTAAGTATGAGATAATATTTATATCTTGATACACTGATCTAACCAGAAGTCGCCTAAATGATAAATGCACGTAATTGACCAGGAAATGGTTTTTATTTCTAAGGTATAAGACACTGATAGCTCAATTATCTAAGGGATATGTATGAATGAATACATGGACATGTGACTCGATTTTGCCAATAAACTTCTTATCCTACTCCCAGTTTTTTTTCACTCGAGTACTAAAACTGGCCTTTATAGAGTTCTACCTGTTGGTTAATGACTGGTCTAAGATCAATTAAAATACTACTATTTTAAACAGTAGAACTGATGATTTTTTTAATCATATGATTTTAAAAGGTAAACATCATAGGCATTTATACAACCAGATCCTTTGATAAATTTAGACGTAGCAAGAACAAAAAGGTTTGCACACTTTGTTTAAACATTTAACATTCAATCAAGAAAGAATTGGCTCCATTTTATTTGACCAATCATAATGTACATAAAAACCATTTACAATTGGTCAGATAATTATTTCAATAAATGGGAAGTGTGCATCCGGACATAATGAGCACCAGTTTTGATAACAATTATATCAAACTCTATTTTCCGATTATCTATAATCGTTCTCATAAAACTTACCGGCAGGGAAAAAGAATTGAGTCTCTGTTGTTTCATTATTAACCGGAGGTTATGAGCTTATTCCGAGACCTGAAGGTGCCCGATAAAAAGGGGTGTAGTATCCCACCCCTGAACAATCCTATACTAGAGACGAAACGGCTGTTCACTGTTTCCAGGTTTTAATAGATGTCTAACTATGGTTAATCTGTTATGTAAAACCACAAGATCTAACGATCTCCATAACTCTCCCTACAGTAAAAATAATTACTAATGACAGTAGTATAAGTCTAATAACAAAAATATCATATGATCAGAAGCACATAAACATAGATATAAACTAGGTAACGAAGTTATCATAATTGAGGTCAGTTACATTTTTCTTTTGTTTTGAATACAGAAACGTTAAGTGACACAGTGAAAAATTTATTTGTAAATAAACAAACTCATTTATTATGTACAGGTGGTTCTTGATGTAATTACCTGTGAGCCACACACGTCTTTTTTAATTAAATGTTAATGGCATGTAACCCGGCTGTACAAGTAGTAGTAGGTGGGCAGGAGTCGAACAAGCAGCCAGCTTTGTTGAAAGTCAAGTGATTTATAATCGAATTGCAGTTTAATAAATATAGTATAAAAAGCTTTTATATATTACACACGAAAAATATAGTTGCAATTTTGAACATACTCAACAGAAGAAGCTAATCGTACCGCATCGTTTAATAATGATTTACGAATAGTTGGATCTAGACTAGGCGCCGGTGCAATTTCGACTAATTTTTGATGTCTACGTTGAACAGAACAATCTCTTTCATACAAATGTACAACATTCCCATATTTGTCACCTAAAAAAAAGCAAAATTTCCAAAAGTAGCGGAAAAACATACTTCCAGAAAAATGAAGATTCTTGATGATAAACAGGATGAAATTTATTAAATTTTTATGTATTGGATAGATGCATCTCACTAACTTACTCCTGACTTGTTCAGTTTCATAGGTTACTATTACTTACTGTGACTTTTAAGAATAAACAATTAGTACTAAAGTTCAACGGTTTGTTAAAGTTACTTTTTCCGAATTTAAAATAGATGGTAGTTCTCATTGTGGATCAAAATCAGTTAAGACCTAGTTTATAACTCTTCAGCAGTAAGTGCCACTGGACCACACACTAAATCAAACTTGAAACTTCCCAGTTACTCTATAGGCGCAAAAGCATTTAGTCATTTAGTTGTAACCTAATGGGCAGTTTATAATGAGAAATATTTATTTAAACAAGCTATTTCATTCGATAAGCAAATATGCGAGTGGTTTACGTAGTGTGCGAGTGGTTTTCATTCTCTGGTTGCTCAAATTGTCGAAGGATACTCATTCTTGAGGGACCGAGAAAGAACCCGGACTAGTAGTGGCCTTAGCCATATAGTAGTATGATCTTAGAGCACAAGGGATAACTATCTGGGCCAGCTTCACATGGAATTTTCGTGGGTTGTTCTTGAAGTGTTAGACTTTTTTTAAAGACCTTACCATCGATGACGGTAGTTCATGATGGAAAGTGAGCTACGTTATTTTTGGGCCCAACCTCTTTTAGCTTTTTTCTTTTGCTGTGAGAAATTGGAACCACTGCAGATCCTGGTTGTGTTAGGGAAGTACCTCACTGCTGTCAAATCCCCCATACGGTCAGCAGTACAAATTTGCCCTTCTCAGGCCTTAAGTTTCCCTTTTTAGTCCTGACGTTCTCCAAACGACCTGCCTAGAGCAGTAGGACCTAAAGCGATGAGCATCCTCGTCAATGTAGATTGACTAGGTCATCAAAATATGCAAGCCCGTCCACTAAGCTAGGGTAACAGCTACGGTTAGGAAGTAATTATTTAATTCACCTTAAGATAATTTAAATGTGTACACATGGGCAATTTGGTTTCAGAAAGTTGTAAAAAGCATATCAGATGGGTTAAAAGCTTTCAGTATGCACAGCAAAATCATTGTTAGAATGAAATCCAATGACAACAACAACGCTGGTATGGCGAAAAGATTCAATATGTAAATAAACTAACCTAAAATCTGGACTTCGATATGTCTAGGTCGTTCAATAAATTTCTCAATGAACATTGCACCATTTCCAAAAGCTGCTAACGCTTCTGATGAGGCTAATTCAAAATTTTGTTTTATATCCTACCATAAAACAAGGTTAAGCATGAAAAAGAGATAAGCACATCAAAATTGAGATATAGAAAATATACTACCGAAATGTTTTTATTAATAATAGTAATAATAAAAACAATAATAATAATAAAGGTCGAGGTAACTATAACGATAAGACGTGCTTCTTTGGTACACACAATCCTGGCTTGAGCTCATTGGTGGCAAAAGCTTCTGCTGTTTTAAGAAGTTGGATACGAAGAAATCAGGTAGATTCGGAAGAACTGTATAAACACCATATAAACTTGTTTTATGTACCCGCAAAAGATAAGCTTCCCCGTCTGGTGTCTTCCATGTGCATCTACTAGTTCACCTGCTCTTGTAGAGCAAAGTACATAAGCCTTAGCCAGTGCTTGCTTTCAACTTGGATACGAGAACATGCCCCAGTAAGGTTGTATAAGGGTAAGAGGAAAGCAGTTAGAAGTTCCATTCCTGAACATCTAATCGCCTCTAATCATTCTATCGATACACAGGTTAGTTTTAAGGTTTTATCAGTTGAATTCACGAGTCGATCTAAGCTACACCACCATTGAAAACCTGGAAGCACTCGACGGCCGTCTCGTACTAACATGGGACTTCTCCACAGGTGGGACTGAAACCCAGGACCTTCTGTCTCGCGTGCGAAGGCTTAACTTCTAAACCACTGAGCACACTAATGAGGGGTCCCATACTAGGACGAAACGACCGTCCAGTGCTTCCAGGTTTTCAATGATGGTCTAGCTTTAATCGACTCATGAATTCAACTTTTAAATTACTACAACCTCCACAAACCTCCATTCTGACAAAAACATTTTAATGACCTTCATTCACATCATAATCTGTTGCTGACTTATTAATCTTACAAGACTTTCTATTTGCACGCAAATATTTTATTATTATTATCTACATTCTATAACCTAGTATTATCACCTATCTATTACATCATCATGTATATTGATTGATCTATTGCCCTCACAGAATTAGCACTTACAAAATTTTGTATTCAAAAAAGATTTTTAACAGTTACAATATGTCACAAGTCTTTAGAGACAAGCTTTTCTACCAGTTCATTTGGCATATCTACTTTTTTCATCCATAATAAAGAAGAGATGCATGAATCCTAGTATATTATTCTCCTTATTTTCCCTAAAGGGTAGATAGGGAGAAGAATATGTCAGCAAGTTTAATCTTTCAATATGAAATTTCCGATATTTAGCATTTCACTAATTTGTAAGGCTTTTCTGATGGCTGATAAGTATTCGCGGCTCGTGATGAAGATGTTTGAGGTATTATGTTCACTAAGCTCGGATAGTTTAATTATTAAGCTTTCATAGTTCTTTTAAGCATTATCAGAACATACGTTAAATACTTTACAACGAAACTATCTAGCTCAAAAAGCAGAACACAGCTAAAAAATATAGACACAATGTTTGAACAGATAACACATTGAAGAAAGTAGCACAAAGTTATTTCCTTTATACCCTTTTTTACGGAAAGCTGGATTGCTTTTAAAGAAGATAACTTGATTAACTGAGATAAACTTTGTTTGAACAAAATGAATCCCATGTAAAGTAGTAAATGGGAGAGACGGGGAGAGAGAGTAACAACCTTTATTCCTCTTAAACCAGTGTCATAGTTTTGATACATTGTAAAAGTTATAATAACATTATAACTAAATATATACGCAGTATTTGGTTTGTCTGATCAAATTTCTTCGTTATTAGGATTAGATTGAGCTGGGAATACGAATTAGAATAAGGAGTGTGTCTAAAATCATTGTTCAATGAGATATCAATGATAGAATTATTTATCTTTTATCAAATTGTCATATTTTCTGCGGTTATTTTAACAAAACCATCTTATAAATAAATTTCAACAGTATATGGTATTACATGACTTGGCGTCCGAAAAAAGTTACACCTCCACTAATGTGAAGTGGAAGTCACTTTTATTTCATTTAACTGGTAAACAAACATCAAACTCTTATTTTTCTTCAAATTAATAGACAAAATGTTTCTCAAATTACCTTGAAAGTTGTTTCAACAGTTGATCGACTAATGATGATTATCTAGTAACAAAGTCACCTTAACATCCTTTAGCATCTAGCGTTAAACGTTCAAATGAAAATGAGGTTTAGTAATTTAGACGAATTATTACCTCACTTTGAATGTTTAGATAGTATTATAAATACATACATTTGTATACGGTATGAATAAAGTTGTTTTCTTAGGTAGTTGAAGGTAGCTTGGAAAGAAACCCTACTTTACTCAGGTTTCATAATAATCTGGACTTGTCAGCAGGATGGATCTGCGATTTCAAGAGAACCGATGGTTTCTGTCGGGTTCAAATCCACCTCACCCAGTTTTACAAACTGAGTTGGTAACATTGAATTATTCCGGTCCTGATTGATATTCAATAGGACTGAGATACTTACGATCAAAGTCTACCGACACATTTGAAATATGGTCACTAGTCTAAGTGATTCGACATCACATGCATTGTGATATCAAAATGTCAGGTAGTGTAAGAGATATGTAGTTTATTTACACTAGTGACCACACTGCAACTTGATCGAGAGAATTCGATCAGTACTTACTTGACTAAACAATAATGGCATTACTCACTAGTCGATGATCAATTAATTGCAAATAAAGACATTATTTGCAGAGTGATTGTATCTTCATGTATACAAACAGAAAAGATTACAAGTATTTAAAATAAACAGTTTTAGTTATAGTAAATTAAATTGTCAACCTTGAAGCAGACTGCTATACACTGATATAATGGTCAAGGTATAGATTTCCTCCAATTGCCAATGATATATAATCATACGTATATTTCTGTAAATATTTTATTAAGAAAAAAGTCTATTCTGCAGGGCAACTGTATTGTCTTTTGAGATTAGTTTGATTGTTGGTTTACCTCTATAATTCAGTCTCGTACGCATCCATCACCTCTGGCCACTTCATATTATTGCATGTCATTTATCGATCGGCATTCCTTTTTTTATTTTAACAAATGGAAATCTGTTTGTAAAATCATCAAAATCCTACTTCATAACACACGTATTGTATAATTCACTCTCAGTTGTTTGAATCACGAATTATATTTTCACTTTACATTCTATGCAGTTTGATTCCTAAAAGGATAAGTATTGGTCACTGTTAACTGTATTACTACTACATCAAGTTCAAACTTGAAGTAAAACATTTTAAGCTTTTGAAACCTTGGAATGTTTGTACGTTTTAAGCTGCATTTACTAAAAAAACACTTTTTAAACATGGAAATCCTTGAATTTCTCCTAAGAGTATAATGTGAGATGGGATGATTATAGAGAGGTGGGTTGGTGATTAGGGAGTTCAACTACCAAACACTTAGTACTGGGTTCGAACCCTGCCCCATCCACTTCGGTTTGGACAACCGAAACTCTAATTGTTTTATTTCCCTATCTCTGTAATTCGCATTTATTGCAGTAAATATTGTTCCCTCTCAAATCTTACCATGATTTGGGAAGAATTTAATAAAGTATACCTCTCAATAAATACTAGAAGATAGAAATAAAAATGACACGGCAATTTGTGACTTAATTAATTGAAGTGTGATTAATATGTAAAATTGATCGTCTGTGACATGTAGTTCCATTTTGTGAAGGAGCAATTAGATAGCTTGGTCGATTGTATATCTGTTGGTTATACATGCTTAATTGTATATTATGAGTTCACACAGTAAGTTATTGACTAATTAATGTTAGATACTAATGAATTAAATTTATATAAATCTGACTGTAAGTATATCACAAAAAGTAGTATATTCATAGATCATTTTGGTTTATCTTCGGAGTCAAACAAACCCTTTTCTTTTCGTGTTCCTTATTTTTATCATTCAATTCATGGTTTTCCAGTACCAAGCCAGATAACCATTTCCATGGAAATAATAAAGAACTTAACAACAACTAACATATATATTTACATCTACACAAAAACGTACTTCAAGTCTTCGAACTACACGCATACCACGACCACCGCCACCATAAGCTGCTTTGAGTATAACTGGTAATCCATACTGTTTACAGAATTCCATAGCTTCTTCAGAAGAGGTAATCGGTCCAGGACTTCCAGGAACAACCTGAATAGAAATTATTATAAGAAGTTGATAGTGAGAAATTGAACATTTTTGTTGAAATGGAGAATAAAGTAAGTAATGATAGAATTAAATGGTGTGAATCTAGTCATCATTGTTGGTTTCTTTTCTGCTTCCAGTATTTAGAAAAAGTTTACATTGTATGTTAAGTCTGTTGTGACTTAGATTATATATATATATATATATATATATATATATATATATGGCTAGCAGTGGAAGCTTGGCTGGGTGTTTTGTCCTATTTAAAAATCGCTAGTTGGATGTATCCGTATTTCAGTGTTAATATTGATAACTTATGTCAGAATAGCTGTATATCGAGGCGAACCGCACACGATATTCATATGTTAACACAAAATGATCAAAATTCAGTCCTGAATATTATAAAAGAGATACCTCGAATGCTTACCAATAATGTTAAATATTAGTTTCAAACTTATCATTAACAGTGCACATTAACGACTGCACACGAGATTAATCCTGAGATCTTTAAATCCTTACGGTGAGCACGATACCTTTAGATACACTGAGTTGAAATTATGTAATAACCAATGATTAGTTTTAAGATAAATTCGTTGAAGTTCTGGGAAGAGGATGTAATCTATGAGGTCTGGGAAGCTCCTAATGATCGATCCTATCAGTTGGTAATTGTGCTAGGTCATAAACTGACTGAAGTTGAAAGTATTAGGAATTTGTGGAGATTGTGGTGTTATCAGTTTCAATCACGAGCTGATTTTAGATAGATCACCATTGAAAACCCGGAGGTACTGAACGACCGTTTCTTTTTGGTATGGGACTACCCCAGAAATGTCCATTCATGACCATGGATGAGGGTTGTGCAGTATCGTGGATTGGTTGAATCCAGACATTAACACCGTTGAATGCTGGCTAAGCGGTCTAGAGGTTTAGTGTTCGAGCGCAAGATCAAAGGTCCTAGGTTTCGATCCTGAGTGTAGGGTCATGGATCCACCATGATAGGGGGACCCATACCAAGATGAAACAGCCTCCCAGGGCTTCCTGGCTTTTACTAACGATTGAGCTAAGATGAGCTTGTGATTTAAACTTAGAAAATAAAACTGAAAGTATAGATTGATTGGATTTCGGTCAATCGCCTTAAAGGAATTATGCTCACAGTGAGACCTAAGGGTCATAGACTTAATTCCATATAAGCTTCGTGATTGAGCACTATTGGCAGGTCCTCAATCAGAACAAAATAGTTGTTCTTATTTGATCCCCCCCCCAAGTGATTTCAGTTAGTGAAGACTATTTACTGGAAACTTATTCTATGACTATGGAAATACTTACTTCCTGTCCGGCCAAATACAGTTCTATCTGAATATTCCTAATACTCATTCGTAAATGCTTTAATCTTACTCGCTATTCTTAATAGATTAAGGGGATTTATGTAAGAAATTATATGAAATTGATCATTATAATAACTTCAAAATTAAACGTCCAAATATTTTGAACAGCAAACAATCTTCTTTTCATAGTAAGTAGAAAGTTTTCTACACAAATCTTCGTTTAAATTCGGAAAAAATATTTAATTACTATTTTTAATCAGTGATTTTCAATATGATCACCTAATTATGTTGTGTTTATCGGAGCTTATTGAGTAACAGTAGCAATCATTGATTGTGTAACTTCTCGACACGAATGTTTCAACTGTTGCGTTGTCTTTCTTGACATTACTTGTTCTCTTTATTTACAAGTAATGAATTTGTTAATTTGATTATTTTATCCGTATGAAATTCCAATTCAATTTTCAATCAGTTTAACACCTCTCCTTTTCTTTAACTTCGTATCAATTAAACTGTCAAATAAGTACAGTGTTATGATGTATAGTGGAGAATACCTGTAGCTTATGAGGAGGATTTTCGTGGAGCATTAATTGTTCTCATAGCTGGAGATGACTTATTTGCGAAGCTTTCACCGTCTTTCTAGGTAACATTATTGATGCAAACTTTGGATAGAATTGTAGATGGAGTTGTCCAGGAAAAGAAAATGGAAGCTTCACAACTGAATTACCCAGGTCGAAGAAATAGATTCTAAGAAAATACACAATATTTGTCCAAGTAAACTTTTCTCTATAGACTAAACATGGTTCGCAGCAAGCGATAAATTATTGTAACATAATACATATTATTTTTCAAAATAACATCTACATATTCTTACTGAAACATTTGCATTAATAGCAGCTTGTCGAGCTTCGACTTTATCACCCATACGTTTTACAACTTTAGCCGGTGGTCCAATAAATATAATGCCAGCATCAGTGCAAGCTTGTGCGAATTCCGATCGTTCACTAAGAAATCCATAACCAGGATGAATAGCTTCTACATTATGTCTCTATGGTTGTCATAATAAGACAAAAAAGAACAATAGAAACAGAAAATGATTGTTTTTTAAAGAGAAAAGATGAAAGATAGGTATTGCGGTAGTCAAATTGTAGGAATAGAGAAAGAGCGTAACATCTATATACACACATATAATGTTACTTGTAATGATTCATTGATGAAGTGAACAAAAGAACAAACATGTATGCTGTGGCGAATTCTATTCATAAACATATGAGAGGTAGATGACAAATGCATTGATGAAGGTTGGAATAATCACTTTTCTCACAAAATAAACACAAATTATCTTTGTAAGTATACACAATACTAGTGACCTAACTTTATATATATATATATATATAGATCGTGCTTTAATAATAACCTGACAATAGGATGTAATTCAGAAAACACACATACATAGTTGTATACTAGATTATCAACTATACTGACCATGTGATAGTTGATGATACTATATTGCTATGCATAAATTTCTTTAGATGAAATGATCTTTGGATGGTAACAAGTGGTTTGAAGTTGAATACCTTACACTACTAAATCACAGTATAATTCTACTGACAAATAGGACTGTGTACATTTGTAGTTGAAGTAGTACAATTAAGTTAAAACGCACTAGTATATATCCATAAAATTTCTACGGCTAAAATCAAGATATAGTTTTTTGAGTGTATGAAATCCTAAACTATGAAAATATATTCAAATTAAAGATACTTTGTACTGACGAAAGTAACATAAGACTTGAAACAAATGAACACAAGTCCAGTGGATGACAGATCATGATTACACAGTGAGAAAAATATTATTATTATCGTAGTGGGAAACTAAGTTCATGTTCAGTGTTTAGAATGGTACGAGTGAAAGTGAAAGGGGAAAACTTCAGAACAAAAATATATTGAAGATCTAAAGAAATAAATGCATTATCGATATCGGCAGATTTTTATTCATACCAGCTAAAATCACTTCATGACCATGAGCTTTCATTCATTGACACCTTAATTAACTCACAACGTTTGTGTTATACTTGTATTCCGTTTAGGAGTGGAATGTATAAAGTACGTTTAGTCTCATTTACGACTCATCAGTTGAACTTATCTTAATCTCGGTGTTAATATTCACATTTGAACTCGCGTTATATACTGGGTAGTGCATCAGGAACTGAAACGATAGGTAGTGGTTTCGATTCTCAGGGCGAACATCAACACTAGAATGTTGGATACAATCAACTGGTGATTACTAAACAAGACGAAACACAAATCCTAGATGCTACTTCTAACTACAATTCAGACATGCTAAAACTTGTGACAAAATATTATATCGAGGGTATTAGCTGAAGATATGAAAATGAAGACTGATCGATTGAAGTGTTAAATTTCAACAACGGGAAATTACAAACCATTAGCAATTTAATATAAAAAGTCAATTCAATGATAATCTTCAGTTATAATATAAAATGCCTAAGAATTAATTATCGATGGATGGATTGAACATTTCCAAAATGCGGTTAGTTGATGCATATGAGAGTAAACTGTATGAACTCAAGTATAGAAATAAAAAGAATTTAATCGATATGTAAATAAAACAATAATCTAAGGTCTATCAATACTACATAACCTTCAGAGATATTTAGTAGGATAAGTTTCATTCCTTGAATAGTTTTATTTGACTACTATTTTACATTAGATGTGTCTATGATTCATTTTACAAAACTGTTAAGTGATAAAATATCTCTTATCAAACTCAAAATAATATACAACTTATTTATACATCCTAGTAGTCTTTTTTGAAGATTTATAAGAATGATTATGGAATTTAGAAAAATTAGTTAGGAAATCAAGTAATATAACTAGGTAAGCAACAAGAAGTCCATGTACTTGACTATAATTTCAAAAAAGTTATACGAAGGATGGCGATAATGTTCATCTACTCAAAACAAAGTAGAAGTATGGTTCGAATATGTGATCTTGTGGTCAGAATCATCAAGATGGTAAACTTTAGTGAAAGATAGGACATTAAGGACAGTCAGTTAACATACGCTGATTCATATACCAATGGTCGTCTGAAATATAATTGTTTAATAATCATGGTAATTCTCGGAATAAAACAAATGCAAATTCGATAAAACGACAAGAATTAGGCCTAAGAGTTAAGTCTTTATTGAACAAAGAATGACCAAACTACAAACTGATTTACTTCAATAGCTTACGAAATTTTATTACGCTATTTTTGTGTTGATATTAGTATACAACCATATCTTTTTAATGTAGAAAAAACGCTATTCTGTCCAACGGTCTTGTTTTTAGTTTAAAATCATTCAGGCGCTTGCGTCGATGATTTAATTTCGTGAACACCCATAACACGACCACATCATGTTATAGCAGTGTTCATTCATCGATCAGCATTCTTTTCTTACATTTTGATACTCAAAACTCCCCTCTTCGAATAATAAAATCCTAATTGGATAAAACAAAAGTGAATACATGTGTATTGAATAGTTGTTGAACGTACTAGAGCTAGCTGTATGATTTCTGGAATATTAAGATAAGCAGCTACCGGTGGTAAACTTTTCCCAATCAAGTATGATTCATCAGCTTTTTGACGATGCATCTGCATTTTATCTTGCTCACTATAAATAGCCACAGTTCGAATATTCATTTCAGTGCATGCACGAAAAATACGGATCGCGATTTCACCTTTACAATAAAAAAGAGGTTAGGGTGAAAATGAGACTTGTTGAATAGAATAAAGTGGGGGAAGGAAATGAAAAAATGTGCATGTTATTTCACAATAACAATGGCAAAACTAGAATTGTTATTGTTACAGATAAAATTTGTACCTACAATTTCTTACCATCTTATGCTATCAACTAAAACAAAGGAGAAATATTAGATATCAGATGATCTAATTTATAGTCTCTGATAACTGGTCATAAGTTCTAAAATGAACAGTCAATTATTTAGAAATGTTAAAAAATAACAATCGAATAAAAAAGAAATGAGACTGGAAATAACTATCCCCAATGGTTGTTCATGTTTCCTGATATTTTATCTATATGACTAATGAATAAGTGAATATTTTCCACTAACTCCTCACCTCGTTCCTTTTTGCAATTGTGATGAATAATTTATGTGGCTCATTTACCAAGTTGCAGGGTTTATACTCAGAACTGAACTATGCCTTTATTGTAAGGCAGTAATTATACCATATGGATGTTAAAGTTCTCAGTGGATGAAGTGAAGTTAGAATCTGAAGTTGAATGGACAAAATGCAAGTGTTCCAAATACTGAGCTATCGATTTCCCTAAATCCTTATTACTACATTCTGGTCCCGTTTTAATAAAAAAGCAACAAATACTGAGGAATGATTTGAATTCACTTCATATCATGTGCTCTAGATTTTCCAGATATATACTGATTTTCTTAAAGATAAGGTGTAGCAAAAATGCAACGTTGTGTGGAAAACGCATTAAATTTTTTAAAAAATAGTGCATATTTGGAACATTTAAAATACACAATAAAAAATAAGTTCACGTCATCAGACATACTGATATTATCAACATAGAAACCGGCACAGATGTGTATTGGTAAAAGTTACCATGCTATATTAGCAAGATAAGATGAAATTAAAAAGACGAGTAACAAAAGAGATCGAAATCATCTAGTAGTAACGCTAATAAGAAAGATTAAACATTGGGAGTATGGTTTGAAGACTGAGTGAAAAGATATATGTGAAGGAATACTGGAATTCGAAGTCGAGAGTAAGACGAAGAACGAGATAATCTACTCTATTGTGGACAGTTCAAAACCTTATCGCTCAAAACCATGACCCCAGCTTATCTCCAACCTACTTTTACATCAGGAAACATTTACCATTAGGGTAGGTGGTAGCTTTGCATAATAACACATTTTCCAATCACTTCAGTTATTGAAAATTCATATTTTCATCAACCGATTTGCTACTTTTCTTGAGTACCTTGTACCTAACCTTAGCGTTGCTCACTTGGTCGTTCCACAGAATTCAAGTAATACTTTAAAGACACATATGATCAAAAGTCTACAACCTAAGCATGTCTTCTACTGTCATAGACAATGCTTCACTATCATAAAGTAGAACATAAAGGACTGTTATGTAGTATATACGCCTTTTGGTTGGCAAACAGACATCTCGCCTATGAGGCAAGTAACGTAAGTTGGCGAAAAACAACTGGGCTTCCCGAATTCATGCTAGGATTTCCTCAGACACTGACCCATCAGGCCTGACTAAACTTTCAAGATAAGTGAAGTAGTCGACGCGCTTAATCATTGCACTTTCTATCATTAGTCCAGGCGTTGACAAAGTCGGTCACTAAGTAAAATTTTCATTTAAAAGGAGAGAAACGCAGTCTAAACATGCTACCATTGTTGTTAAAGGCCGTCAGAAGACTCTGCATCTATTCGTTTCCATCAAATGAAACTGTAATTTATAAATTATAAGTCGCTAAGTGAACATCCTTAAACGAGATAAAGTGAAAAGTTAGATAAGGAGTTCTATTTTTAGGAAGATATATGTTCCAAAATCAACTAAAAAAGCAATTAGTGGGAAACCCTAACGCATACAACTTGAGGTTGATAGTTCTGGTGAGTCTGCCGTAATCTCTGGATTGACCAACGGTACCTGAGTAGAGCGTAAGTAAGTAAGTAACCTGAGTAGAAAAACTCTACAAATTTTATGTACTTCTTTGGTACGCTCCTCGAAAATCAACATTGCCACAAAACCTCCCGGTTAACAGATTTGAATGCTACTTCGAAGTCGAGATATACCATTATCATTGGACTTCAACAAGTGTGCGCGTGCTGTGAGACCTGATGAAAAGTGAATATTTGGTCAACACAGACACTTTCAGGTCTCACACTAGCCTGTTTCCCCAGGTTCGCTCTTTACGAGCTAGAATTAGGCGTTGGATGACTATTCAGGCTAATGTTTCAGATACTGTATTAGTCAAACCGATTTCTCTGTATTTATCAGAAAATATTTGCCTTTCCTTATGAACCGCAATAACCAACGATCAGGATCAGTCAGATGGGATTATGTCCAGTTCTTAATCAACTTAACTGCTAGAACAGGAATATCATTCCCAAAGATCTCTGAAGTTAGGACATAAGGGCCTGCTGCTCCTCTTAGTTGTAGATAAGCTCTACCTTTCTCAACCTTATCAACTTTCGGTGAACTTGTGTCAGGTCAACTGAGGATGTTTATCGTGCTTCATAAAAGTTACTCAGGAGTGACTAACTTGTTTCATGTTAGTCCGCTTTCGACACGTTGCTGATGTGTAGTAACCATAGTCAAATCATTGTTTTATTAGGTTCTGATATGCTTGTTATAATTTACTCGTCACTAGTGCTCATAACAGTTTACTAGTTCAGAAACCAATAAACTTAGAAAAACTAGAAATCAGATGGAATAAGCAAATTTTGTTTCCAATCACTTCACGATAATGTTCGGCAAATCTGTCGCACATTTTGAATATATTTAAATGGAATATAGGAACCTGAAACATCACAAAGTTATAAACAATAATACGGTTTGACATACATCTATATGAAAACCTGGTCAATCAGTCAGTAGTCTTCAACATAGAGCATGGGGGTGGATATGGATTGGCAAACAATTCTGAGCTACTAACTCAGTCACCGACCACTGGTCGTAGTGATTCCTAAATTGTTAAGTTAGTCGTGCTAGCAGTTAACGGGAAGGTAAAGACATAGGAAAATAAAGAGAATAGAAGAAATAAGGGTAAATTATTAACAATTGAGTCTCAGTTAATTTAAACAGTGAGCCTGTTATACGAATGTCGTCGGACGACAGAAGTGGATAGGGTGTAAAAACACTCCTTGTAGTAACATCTCATTCCAGTTTTCCAAGCGAAACAGACAGTGAACCTCTATAATGAGATTATATAGCTCTAACTGATAATTACTACTTGTTCAAAATCGCTAAGCAAAGAGCACTTTAATCGAGTTCAAAAGCACCCCATATATTTTGTGAAACTCAGTAGAAACATGCCTTCAGTGGACCAGTAGGAAAGCTCGGAAACTAAAATTGCTATATATTGGGATTCAAAAAGTCTAAGAATTAATGATGACCTTTCGCAGTTAATTATCGAAACACACGAATTTATGGACACTGGTAAAAACATATTGACAAAATCAAGCAATCAATAACAAAAGTTACAAAACCTAAGTGTTTAAAGAGTTATATAATAAAATCTACCTCGATTAGCAACCATGAGTTTCTTGATTTTTCTCCCGGAAGTATTTTGAGTTGCACCGGTATCCGTTTTTAAATAGTACCGTAATAAAGGGAAGTTCTGCGATGTCCTCAAAAGCGGCGTTAAACGCCTAGAAGCCAGAAGCATAGTTGACGACATTTTAACGGACAGTAGATTTTTGAGTAATATCAGTAGACAAACAGATTATGTAGACGTTTCAAATTTCCTCGAAGGCCATCAATGAACTCGCAAAGCCTCAATGATCAGCGTTGACGCATTTAAACAACTCTCCGTTTAGACAAAAGATCATTTCGGTTTTGCACATAATAATTATGATTACTGCACACACAAACGTGTACGATTTCGATATGTTCACAATTGTTGCTGGTTAATACAGGTTGGAGTTATATGAGATGATGGAGAATCAATATCATATCCAAGAAGAAAGCTATTGTGTAAACATAGTTATCGCCTCCGTCATTCTGTCCATTTAATTGACAGAAGTATAATGCTAAAGGATTTTTTTAAATGAGGTGTAAATTCTTCCCCTCAAAGTTCATATTGGTCATATTAATTATCGCGCTTCCATAACTCCGACGCCACACGTGATTGAAGATACCGTGGGTAACTTTCGATTTTTCAGGCTATAAAATGTGTACAGAATGGCTTAAAGATACGTTTTTATATCTAAAAAGCATATTATAAAGTTATAAAGCTATGTTTCGTCCATGTAATCTTATGCAACTTATGTATTTAACGGAATGATTCTTCAGCGGTAACATTAAAATTTTCTTATGCTATTTGTTTTTTATTTGGCTGTAGAACGGATCACTAGATAAAATACCTTGCGATCAGACAAATGGAAAGTTAGGATTGGGGATCAAAGTGCTACTATGCAACCACTTCAAATAAAATGCTCCTACCCAGACAAGTTTAATGCAAGGAATAAAAATGCAGTGAGTTACGTGTTTGTTAACTTATACGTTTTGTCAAGCACCTTTCAGGTAAGTTGTCATGCCACGCTTGTGACCAGAAACTCGGTCGTTACAATACACGGGCATTCAGACATACAAATGTGTGATGAATTTTAGGTCAACCACAGATATACGCCGATCTGAAAATGACTTGTTACGATGGTTCGAAACTTTTCATTCAAGAATCTGTACTTGATGTCAAAATCTTTAAATGAATTGTATCACTAATAAAAACCGTTCATCAACACTACGGAATTCGCATAAGTTGAAAAATATCTGCATACCAGAGCACCGAAAGTTTCAACGAAACCATAAAGTAAACGAGAGATCACCCATAGTGGGTTACAGAGATCTCAGAAATGGATCGCACCCTGCCACTATATCAACATAAACACGCACTTTGTGGGTGTGACATAACTTCAGCACTCATACAAGATCGTGTATAACGGTTTTTTCAAGAAAATATCCAGTAACACAAATTCGGCATGAAATAAGAGTGGGAGAATATGGTTCTTCAGGAGCACCGGTATCAAAAGATAAGGATATTTTATAGAATGACGTTTTGGGAGATTGAAAAAGGTCTTGTGTTTGTCACTGCATAAATGCACATCAGAAAAATTGCTGAACAGACTATGGTGAACAAAGGTTTATCATGAAACTGGACACTCTTCAAGGCAAAGTTCGGCGAAGTTATAGAAAACGACTGTGAAAGGGGCACATGACAGATATATTAACGTTCATTGCACAACTGAGATACAAGTAAAAGTGAGTTTCAAAAATTGCGATGAATGCAAAGAACGGTTATAACGTACGACGTAGCAGGCGCCGGCTGATAGATTGGTTTAATGTTAACAAAAATTTAAAGGCACAAATTGGAAATCACCAGCACACAGGAGTGGATGATTAAAAAGTGCTATGAAGCAATATTAAAAAATGAGTCGAACGGGGAGAGAAATAGACAAAGCAAACGAACAAAACAGCATTTCCTACCTGTTTAAAAAGCTGTTCATGTTGATTACAGAATCACTGTTCTGAACCAAGCCAATTAAGAATTTTCAAAAATAGATTCCATTACGTTCTGGAAGATGAATTTCGGAAAAAAATGTGGACCGAAAAATAATCTAGGTTGTTTGGAGGTAATGATTATCACTTCAACGCACAGATGCACATACATATCTTCCCAGCTTTCCTGTTATACCAAATTGTTCATTAAAATGTGTTCACTCTATGGAGAAATTAGTGCAAAAGAAATGTTTCCGAGCAAACAATAAGTGGAAACACTTAATGTTTTTTATTACAAACCGTTCTCTCCTGAGAATCCTACATACTACATGATTCTTCAAATTTTTTACCAGAAAATGTGTCCAAGAGCCGGAATTTGTGAAAGATCTCCCAGTGTGTTCATAGATATCAATTCATAGTTTTAAACATCGTGTTAAGAAAAACGTTCTTTCAGTCATCACGTCATTTGTAAACACGTCTGAGTGCACAACACATTTCCTTATTTCCTGATTTGTCTTTTGGTGTAAAGTTTTTTCTGCTAAATATAAGTTGATCGAGACGTTAGGAAACCTAGGTCTTTTTAGTAGTGTACATTTCCACAATGGTCATAAACCTTTTGTAAATGGCACTGAAAGCGCTGTAAGATGAACAATCTCGAGAAACACAAATAATGTGAATTGGATTATGATGTTATAGGTTATATTCTATCTGTCTGATGATTTCCAAATTGGACGACATATGTGTCCTCAATTCCATTGCTAACCACCATCAATCTCGGCCTTTCCGACGGTTGTTTTATAACAATCATAAACTTATAAAACACTTGCGTTGCATCGACACTTATCAGTATCACAGTTCTTTCACGCAAATGATACGTTTCGGCCAAATAAATAAAAAGTTGCTAATTGTAGTACCAGATTTACTCCCATGTACATAATAGAAGCACAGCTTAACAATATGTTGTGGTTTACTTCCAAATGTGTATCCACAAAATAAATTAAAACTTATATAGTTGAATAATAGTTTTTCCTGATTCACTGAGGGTAGGTATCGCCATTTTGAACTATATTTCTCAGTTCACCCAGTTCCATCTAGAATATGTCCAAAGGGGGAGTTGTAGCTAAGTTGCTTTCGTCGTTAATAGCTTGACGCAGATATCAGTTGACCCATGATTGTTTGGTGCATGGAATTCTGAATTTGGTGTCCTAAAATACAGGAAGCTAACATTTAATGAACTTATTAGTGATCATCTTAAACAGTAGCCGAAAAAGCACGGGATTTCCAAGTAAGATTGAGTCAATATTAAACCTAAGCCATCTGAAGATAAGCTGGTGTTCTTGGTGTCTGTCCTACTGGCACACTTATCCACGGTGAATTAGACACCGTTAAAGCCACCTACAGTATTTCATAACATGAATTAAAGCACACTTGGGCGCCGCAGAAAAAGCTGTTAGTACCACAAGTAACTAGAGTTTTCTAGTGACGCTGAGTGATTCTAGATCAATACGACCCATGACTCTTTGACAGGATTATCAGCTTCGCGCACCTTAATATAACCTTTGAGGTAGTCTGAACATTTCCTTAAACTGAAACCACCGTAAAACTGAAGGAGTTTCTTAATAATCTTGTTTCATTAATTTGACGCATACAAGTAGATCTCGCGAATAGTGCAAGTTTCTTCAGCAACCCGCATGATACATTTACCACTCAACTCCAAAAAATCAGAAGTCCGGTATCGCGCAGTTCATGCTGCATTCACAACACACTAGTGCACCGAATAGCAGTTGTCAAAAAAACTTGTTGACAAAATTAGTCATGAGGATCTGAGACAAACACTAATAAAGGTGACCTCTCAACCTGGAGCAGCTCGATCTATTGCTGGGGATCAGCAATAATTATGATAGCAGAGTGATACAACATCATGGAAAATTAACTTTTAGGACAGTGAATTTACCCTTTGGTGTTTAAAAAAACAGAAATTTACAACACAGCCGAATCAGTACATTCCTTCATAGTGGATAACGATGAAAAATTTATTCCGACCAGTATTAAGTCGAACAAACGACAAAGCCCAATAGAAGGGAGTAAAGTTATAACATTTTGAAAAGTAGCAGCTCTAACGAAACTAAACGCTCAACATAGCAAAACTCAAAATGGGACACGACATCTAAATTAGTTAACAGTACGCCGGAAACGACGCATATCCGTTAGTGCATGGATCTGATCGTTTACCAACACTGATGGTGGAGAAATGTGATAACTTTCCTGTAACGTTAGAAACGTGATAGGGTAGAAACGACCCTTGATTTAAAATTATTGGTCGCTTGGTTGGTTGGATCAATACATTTAATTGAGCAGTTTCAGCTAGTTGTAAGCATACAGTCGGAAGATTTACTCCAATCGTATTTCTAGCCATCTGATTGAGGTGCTCATCAAATTCTGCTTTAATATCCAGATTATTTTTTGTTTTAAATATTCAGTCTGTAGGTCATTATGATAACAAACTTTAGCAACTGAAACGCGCCTAGGCAGAAATGACAGTAATTACAAGACTATTTCAGGCTGAATTCTCTTGAAACTACGCTAAAGAAAATTTCATACTCTAAAACAGTTGGCAATAGGAGTAATGGGGGATTATCTTCCACCTAATCCCTTGACAAAAGACAAAGGTTAACTAACAAATAATTAATGTTACATATATATTTTAGGTGGTATATGGGCTCGAAGGGTCAAAGATGGTTTAATCACTTTGGGTTCTAATGAGGAGCCTTCATTTAGCGACTTTTCTTCAAGTTCAGATGCACCCAACATAACTCTAACGAGTGAATTACTTGTGAGGTCTTTTTGTGATGTTTATTATACCAGTTGAAACGTGGTTTATTTAAAGATCAATCATGTATATGCGAAGTTGATGTGTCTTGTCTGGGTTTGGAGGGCATGGAGCCCGATCTACATCTAAAACTCACCTCCCTAAAAAAACTAGTTGCTGCTGATAATACTCTTTCTTTAGGTATTTCAAGTATTGTTATTATGTAAAATTTTGTAGAATGTTTTGAGAAATTTAATAGTTTAGTGGAACTGGATCTTTCGCTGAACCAAATCAACTCACTATCGAGCTATTCACATGGATTTAACAGTTTACATGTAAGCTTGTGTATATTTTATAGTCGTCTGTGAACTTAACAAATGTCTGTCTTTGTCCACAACTTCAGTTGAATACACTTTCAGTGGTAACTGAAAGCCGCATATGTATTTGAATCAGGATAATCAGCAAGGCTGATCTGTAGACTGGTTATGAGAACACTAGATTGATAATTACTTTTAAAAAAATAAGTTACACTTTGAAATTCTAATTATCATGCTTTGTAAAGTGTGGGATATTGACCTCATATATTTCGCAAAGTTCACCTGCTCCGTGTTCATAACTACCCAGATCTGTTGATCTGTTCATTTCTGTGCATGTCGAATTTCAGCAAATGAAAAGGAACTTTTCGAACATCTTAATTTAAGACTGATCTTTGTGCCAAATACGGTGAACTTGTAGTGTGGAGTCGAGTCGCGATTGACTATGAACACCACTACAAGCAGACTACGTGCCAGTTAACCGATAAAATCCCCCGTAAGCCAAATATCAGAAAGCAGTTGATGGCTGTAGTCGAGATGTATTTGTTGGCGATCTCGTGGTATCGAAAGGATACCCAGATCGTGCCAAAGGAGTACAAGCGTGGTTACCGAGCGTAACCGAACCCGTGCAAGGTCACAATCCGCGGAAAAGTAATGGAGAGTAGTGGAGGAGTAATATGGCTATCTTTAGCACAGTTAAACAAACGAGCACAGTAAAACAATCACTGGTACAATTGGTTATAATGATTGTTTCCGTTAAATCATTCGCGTTCTCTTGGTAAAAGTAGGTCACTACAAACTAATATGAAGAACAGTTAATTGACACCTTTTAATGGGCTTGATTAAGCTTATAAGTTGAATTCGCCCTATACCATTTATAAATGTTCGTGTGTAGGTCATGCCAAATTAATGTTCTTATTTAAGTTTAAGTTGTGATTTACTTTGTAATGATTCATTCATTTTAAGTGTACCACAGTAAGCACTGAGATAAGTTTTTCTTTTTGTCGAAATTGATTGAGGTTTGTATTTATTGTTGTTGTGAGCTACCAAGCCTTTATTTTGAAAAAGAACTGGGGATGACCGATATTTAAGCTTTGCCTTCATTCAAATAAGAGGTATGCAAAACTTTAACTGCAATGTAGGTCAAAAAACAGATTAAAAATTTATTCTAGTAATGTCATTGTTACTTTAAAAACGGAAGTACGGTTTCCAATAAAACCCATAATCTATTTGTTTCATTCAATTTAGTTGGTAACAGTCTAACAGAATACATATCATAAGTTTGGTGGATCTTCAAGTTAGTATTTGCACATATACATGAAACCTTTAGCATGGGATGAAGAAATTATGTTAAAGAAAAAAGTGTGTTTTTCAAACTTAAAATCTTTTGTGTACCAAGTAAACGTCCAAAACGTTTCTTTTAAAGTAAAGTTGGATTAATCCCGATAAGCAAACGGGGCTTAATAAGGAAATATGTAACACTTAACAACCAACATTACATACAACTTACACTACCTCGTTGATTCAGGGAGCACTTTAATGTTTCCATATTAGATTTTGAACCGTTTAAATTTTTCACCGTATACTATGACTTGTAATTCAAATAAATCGGTAGACCTTATGTCACAAAAACCTGAAATCAAGCAATTTAACCCTAAGTAATTGAGGTTCTAGCCCGTACTCATTAGGTATCAGCTAAAATGAAAGACTCATCTTACAAAAAAATATTCTATAGTGAATTTCGTCACTGTCGACAGACTATGAGATTTTAAGACCAAACACAGACTTAAGTCAACCAATTGGTCTATGTAGTTATTTTTATTAAGATGCTTAAATCATATTTTAAGCAGAAATAGGACATTGTTGACGAATATAATATAGTGAATAGACAGCAACAAGGCACCAATCCGTGTAGATATTCGCTGGATAATGGTCTAATTCATATAGGACGTTGTAATATTTTGTAGTCGAGTGCTAAGAACAGCAAAAATGCATGCTTAAAAATTATAAAGGTGATAGAATTAAAAGTATATTTGAATAATGAAATTATACCTAATTTTTATTTCCTTTTAGATGATAAACATCTTGTCACACTTAATTCACTTTCTCATTCTCAATATTGATTCTTCCACCATCTACCAATTTCTGTTGAATTCACTTTTTTATGACACCATAAACTGTAGCAAATTTGTCCACTTGTGTTCAAGATCATAAGATGTTATGTTTCTATTTTTAGCAGATGAGAAAAACAGAAATTGATATTTTACTATTTATAAATATGATCGACTTCAACAACAAATCATTTTTATTTTAGTATCTCAATTTATCATATAATTTTCTCCAATCTGCGGATATTGAAAAACTTGGTTATTTGCCATCTTTACGGATTTTGTATTTAAGTGGAAATGATCTTCGTAGATTACCACCGGACTTTTCAGAAACAAGTTCAACCTTGGATGAGTAAGTTTTAAATAGTTAATGAAGTATGTGAGGATGTTTAATCAATTTATCAAAGTATAAGTTGTAAAATAAAAGGGACGAAATAAATGTGTGGCGTTTGATATATAATAAACCGTTAAATTTTTAAAATAAATTGTGCTACGAAGAGCTACTGAACTTAGTGATTTTAAAATTAACGTGGATATATATACATTTTCTTAAAGCTCTTGATAATTGGATCGGTAAGAAATCTGTTTACGTTTTAGCGGTACTAAGCAGCTGAGCTTTCCCATATGCCTGCTTTCATTTTTAATGATGCCATTACACAAAACGAGGAATAGTTACTAGTATAATCCTAGCGCTATAGAATATATTTTTAATGTTTTCTTACCAAAAATGGTCAGAAGATTATTCTTAAAACGAGCCCTTTATCATTTGAGACATTTTACAGAGTTATACGTTTGAATGAATATAATCTGAAAGTTGGAAATTTGCACAAGATGTGAATGGCCTAATAATTACACTTTGTGCGCAGCTTATAATAAAAACTTATAATTAGGGTATGTTTTTGAAGACGACTATCAGTGGGATTAAATATATAGTTATCGTCTTTTTGAAACTGACTAAATGCATGTACTGATATACAAATGTTGACGCCCCTACTGAGACTTGAACTCACTACCGCATACCATGGCGACCAAAAAATTTGGGGGAAAGTAAGCCGAAATTTCAAACAATCTACACTGACTTCGAGATTCAGCTGGGATATTAACTTTCATCCGAGAAGTTCAAAGTACAGAGTAGTGCGCGTCTATTAGAAGCTATTTAGCTTGTAGGTTTACGTTATATCTAGTTCAAACTGCTTGATATAAACAAATTGGGTTCAGCTTCTGTTGAAATTGAATATCAAGCCAAGTACAGCTATGGATTAGCTACTCAGTAACCGGAAAGTGTCGATAATCAGTTTCTGCTTTTGAATAGTGCCATAAAAACGGGAAGTGAAGTAGTTTACGGCTTAGCAAAAGATGCCTCGTCTAGAGACCGGGTTTCTCATGGGTCTCTAAAACTCCTGAAGGTAAACCTCTGGGTTCGGTTACCATTGTATACGAGCGATTGTTGACATTCAGTGACAAGACCACGTTAGTAATGCAGAGGTTCGGCAAAGTTTGCATTGGCCTAGTGGTGACAATTCAATTAATTTCATTATCTTGAAGCACTGGAATCGATTGTTTATACTCGGTCCGCAAATATCATCTTACTAGCTCCCACATTGTACTTCAACTGTCAACGCTGCGACTAGGTGGAAAAAGCGGAGTTGTCAGTTGTTTGTATGGCTCAGTATTATACAAAAGCCTCATGGGAAGTAATCTATCTGCCGTCACAACGCTCTGACTGGTTTTCAAGAGATTGTCAGACCCGTCACCAAACATGACTAGGAATAAAAGCTAGTAGCGATCCTGTTGTAGTTCTCTTTTACAGTCTTTATCAGGATTTTATTCTTGTTTTTTTAAATCATCAACCCAATGACATATATATATAGGCCATTTTTTACTTGATACTGTTTTTCTTTACAAACATTTTTTAGACGCATTGTGTTCAAGTTTGCGAAATTAGAAATCCTCTATTTGGATGATAATAAACTTTCAGATGCACAGGATTTTGCCAGTTTAGGCACTCTCCCAAGGTATGTGTGCTTCTGTGAAATCATTTTTGTTTTTACCTAATTCATAATACAAAATTATCTATACGTTAATCTTGAAGGTAAGTTATTGAACTATTATCAAATCTAGTGTTACAATCTACGTTTGGTATACGAAGAGACAGTGGGCAGCTGTTTATCCTAGCATGGAACTTATCAGAAGTGCTCATCCGCCACTTCACTGAGGATTAAATGTGAAAGCTTAGGGTCCCACGACGAGAGATCAGCATTTAGACAACCACGTTGGCATCCGGTGATTTACATGTCTAAATTTAACCGACTCGCGATACTGAGCAATAATTTTCTAATGCAACTGGTGGGTGATTGCCTCACACTCGATTTAGTCGGTTGACTAACTAGTGTTTTATTCAAGAATAATCGTTAGATGAAAAACAAAAATTCTTTGGTTTTCAATTTTCGTTTAGTTAAAGTCAGTCTGTTATGTAAACTGTTGTTAGGTTGAAAAATCTCACATAAGTTCTTCATCTTAATTAATTTGTACAGCTTAAATATACTGTAGAAAGTCTCAAGAATTTCAGAAATGAATTACACGGAAATGAATTGTTGAAACCGACTACAGTTTGGCACCAGTCAGTCATATCCGATGTAAAACCTGGCGCCTTTGTGCATCGGTTAAAGTATCTACCTCACAAAATAGATGGTTATAACTTAGACGAAGAGGATCACAGTAATCGAAGGTCTTGAAGACAGAAGAAGAGTAGGATAGGTATGAGCATTTTAATCTGACACTCCTGGATAGTGTACGATCTAGTATGAATATGTATCATTATAAGTTGCTAAAATTCATGTCAGCAAAATAGGAGAAATTTCAGAGACGAGAAGCGGGGAGATCAGAACGAAATTAAGTACATAAAAAGCAAAGCGTGAGCGAAAAACATAGAAAGAAGTGAGTTTAGTGGAATTATTGTAATTATGAGGTGACAAGCACTTACGTTTGGCTTAAGGTAAATAGTAAATAAATTAACAATCTATTTTGCGGTGTAGTACTCAATCTATCAAGCTGTTGATCACAGTTATTTGGTAAATTTTAGTCTTGAAGATTTTACTTCCTGGAACTACTTAAAGTAACGGTCAGTTTGGTTTTATGTACTGACTACTTGTATCAGGTAAGGGTCTAACTTAAACAATTTAATATGACTAAGATAATAATTTTAATGTACAATGTTATGTGCTCTGAGATAGTCAATAGGAAACCATGGACAAATGTTGTGTGGTATTCGATATTTTTCAGCAAGATATGCTATTAACGTTGGGGGATCTGATATCATCTTGGATTAGAACCCATATCACAGCTTCACAGTCTGAAATGTTGGAATACTCTACCCATCTCCAATAGTCAGGTGGCAAAGTCTCGGACTTTAAAGCTGTGTGACATGGGTTCGAATCAGACATAAAGCACTAATCATCTCAAAAGTGAAGGTATGCCTTCCTGACGAGTGCCAAATAACACGAAACCTAGGTTCAGGTTTTCCTGTGGACCACCTCCAACCACCTTACATCAAGGTGTAGAGTAGTTACTTAGACTAATAGCCACTTTGTGACTTCACTGATTGAATTCGGTCAACACTAGTAACCAGATAAGCATTACACTAGCTACCACTCAATGATATATCAATGTATTTTTAAATTGTAATATAATATTTCTGAATCTTTAGGAATTCAAAATATATTTTTTGTTATTTTTTCAGGTTGACATATTTAAATTTGGCAAATAACAGATTTACTACTGTACCATTGTTAAAGTCAACACCGCTAAAAAGACATCAGATTACTAAATCTCAGAATAATTCTACAATTGAAAATATACCGTTTTCAAAATCTCCCACCAGTCTAAATGAAACTATTCAACATGATAGCTTGTTAATTGGTTATAATGAAAAGGATGAAGATAATAAGTAGGTTTTATCTGATAGTACATAGTATCAATCTAAAAGTTAGTGACTTAGATCAAAAATAGGTTGAACCATAAAAATGGATCATTTGAGAAATATTCAACATATACTTCATTGATAACGTGGAATTGTATGTACCATACCACCACTTATTCTGAAAATATTTTCTAACTAGTATAAAAGTATGTTTGAAGAGGACTAGTAGTGGATGTACCAAGTTAGGGTGTTATTGTATAAAGTCATTTACTGTTGATTTAAACAGTACGGAATTGTCCAAACTTCATAATTGTCATCCACCAGATAATCGTATTCAGTGATTAAAGACATGAAACGACTCAGAGTAAATTGAAACGATACATTTGTTTTTAATTATTATTTTCTTCTAAATCTTTAGCTCTAATAGTACTTTAGATTTTTCACTTCATAGCTTTTTTCACTACTTTTTCAATAAAGTCTACTTGTTCACCCTTATGACTAACGTTATTTATATAATTATTCCTCTCTATCTTGTCAATTTGTCCCAGTATAACTCGCATGTTCTATAGAAACGTTTTTGGATGGACACTTTCAGTAAGCTCCATGCTCCATATAAGTAGCTAAGGAAATTGTCGAGTTTCATAGTTTAAATTGAGAAGTGACAACCAAGAAAAACTGGATAGCTGTTTTATACTACAATGGGAAATCTCGTCAGTGAGCACCCGACTCAGTGATCTGAAGTTTAAGAACTCAAATATGGTTTAGCCGAATCAATTAGTGATTCCAACTATTTTCTTAGCTGTCTAGTTTTAATCGTAGAATAAAACTCACAGATGGTGTTGTCCCTCTAAAGATTGAAAGTACTCGCATTTGATGAGTTTTCACTAGCAAGAAGGTTCATTTCAGAGCATCCCTGAAATAGTCTCCAAACTTTTAACAGTAAAACAAAATTCACTACAGTATGAAGCCTTTTAGACTAATAACCACATTTCAACTTGATCGATAGGATTTTATTGGGAAAGGAAGATTAGGCATTCATGAAGTTGGTTACTACTCAGTGATCAATAAGTGTAAATATATCTATCATGTAGGAATTCGTTCACATTTGAACCAACTCAGTGATAACATCTCTTTGATGTAATAATGAGTGAGGTGAGTTGAAATACCACAAAGTAAATCTACTTTGAAGGCTTTGAAATTCCAGACTATTAAATTGAACTTCCACTCAGTGATATATACTTCTAAGTAAGGAATTTGAAGGTTTTGGATTAGGGTTCGTGTGGCGCTGTGAGTGTATGTACTTACTGCCGAAGATTAGCTCAATCTAATGAAACTACTATAGAGTGTACCTTGATTTCTACTGATTCATCTCTTAGTATCAGCTAGTAATGAAAGCAACCTTAAACTTATCTTAATCAGAACAAGAGTTGGCAGAAGAAAGCTGTAGGTACGAGTTTCTGATGAGTGCCAACGAGCGCGAACTCTGGGTCGACTAAGGTTTCCTAATGGTTACGTGATGTATAGAGTTCAACCACCATCAAGGGTTAGACAAACGTGATAATGGTTATCACTCAGTGGTTAATCATTTGTAACTATCTCAGTCTTACAGGAGGTCAATTGCTGCTCATTTAGACCAAAGTCCTGGGTGGGGTGGATTCGAATCTCAGAGGTAGTATCAGTTTTCTCAAGATTGCAGGTACGCTTTGTTGACGAAACCAAGGTCCCGGATTTCCTTCCTACTACCCTCAACCACCAAACAAATAGATAGGTAAATTCAACACCGTGACCGAAATTCTCCACTCTTTTAAAATTTATTTTAAGCCATTTAGTGAGTGTAAATGTCATGTTAGCAACCAGTGTATTTACTACTTTTGTGTATACTATCAATCTACTTTAATCATTTTCAAGTAGCATATTTTATAATACAAGTTTTTTTAAATGTTTTCTTTCTACCATTGTCATTTTCATTATTGTTTGACTAATTGTAATTTTTGAGGAGTTTAGTGATAAATGGGAGATCCATGAAGACTTCACATCATTACAAATGGAGTTCTGATGATTCTTCTGGTTCCAACAAAAAACAATTGACAAACAATTTGTGTAAGATAATGAACAAACAGTCTTTGGAAAAAACAAATAATTTATCTTCTCTCACAAGAAAGGAGCCTCGGGAACAACAACAAAATATAAAAAGTACTGATATTTTAATACTATTTCAAGTTTTTTATAGGATATCTGTTTAACTGTATTCCACTGTTTAAACTCCTGATATGCATAAATAATTCATTGATCCTTTTTCTTTGGGGACCGCGAGATGATAGCAACCGATGGTTAGAGACCCTGAATGACATGGCTCAAAATCGTTTGCAATGGCGCAGGTGCATCCACTCTCTGTGTTCTCTCAAATTCTAATCTTCTGAATTCTTCATGTCCCTTTTTTCCTTTTTCCAAATTTATTTCACTGGATTATACTCTATAAATAACATCTCCAAACCCTAATCTTCCCGATTACTGCTTATACTCTTGCTACCTCTACCACTATGGGATTTGAATCGACAACTGCATCTCTGTGCTAATGTGGTGTGGCAACTCGAACTGATGTACGTACGTACGAAGTTCTTCGTTGTTACTGACTGACTGACTGATCCTTTTTCTGGAAGTAAATGTACTCTGAGTAAAGAAGTGTGATAAACTTCTGTAGTAAGTTCAGCTGAAGTTTAGATAAGTAGAATTATGGATGTCGACTTAGATATTATTACCAGTGAATAAGAATATACTTGTTTTTATCATCTCTGAACTACAAATATTCTTTATCATCTCAATATACGTGATCATTTGCGTTTAGTCGCAAATGACTTTTGTCTACGCTACATGAATACTTATCTATATTAGACTTGAAGAAGGGAAATTAGCCAGCCCGATTGATCGAAAAATACACTTCCTTCAAATTCATTCCTTTCAAACTTGATGAGTACGTATTCTGATTCATGTTACTTAACTAGTCGAGTTAATAATGGCGGCGATGATTATTATATATACGTAGCCCAACGACGAAATACTAACTACAAGTTAACATCGAATAACATAGTTTAATTCTGGTGTTTTTCCCTCATTCGCTTTAGACTTTTCTCACAACTTGTTAATAATAAACACTTATTCTTTAAATTGTAAATATACATTAATTTTGTATCTATTCTTCTTTTCAGACTGTTCTCTATCACTAGACGAACATAGAAATCCAAATGCTCCACGTGTATGCATAGTGGACGAATTTATTGGTTTATATAATTTGAAGAAGTTATTTCCTTTAATTCATGATAAGCAAACAAAATGTAATCATCAAGGTGATTGTAAGTCTATTCAATTAGATTCTGACTTTCATATGCACAAATCAAATTCAGGATTACTATTAACAGCTAAAGAAAGATCTACACCTGATCGAACTTTTACAACAGATGAATTGGTCTCATTGGACAATGAAGAAAAATGTGATATTCAATCGAAAATTGTACCACCACCATTTCAATCTCTTCAGTCTATTGATTTATCCCATAATAGGGTAAGTTACAATACCGCCCTAATTAAAGTTTAATCGGATAGGATATTTCAGAAGAAAATAATCCAGGGTTATTAATTCGATGAACCATAATTTTCGATCATTCATTTACTGTTGGTGAAATTCCAGTTGGCAAATTATTTTAGCTTCCCTGGTTAGACCGCAGAACTGTATAATGATAAACTGAATAGTTTATACCACTGACTGACTATAATTAGACAATAATTAAAAACCATGAAACACTGGGTAGCTAGCTGTTTCATCCAGACATGGGACTCCTCGGAAGTGCACATATATAATCTTATCAGGGGTTGAACCCAGGACCTTCAGGTCACACGAAGGGCGCTTAACTTCCAGACCACTTAGTTGACATTCAGTGGTTGACGTTTCTAACTCCAATCAATGTGCAACATCACCTATCCATCCGTTAGTATCATTGGGGAGTAACTCTTCATTGGACACCGATTTAATAGTCACAATGTTAGGTGCATTTCGCAATACTTAAAGGTCATGGGTTCAAGCCCTGATAAGATCGTGTATGTACACTCTTGAGGAGTCCCGTTCTATGATGAGAAAGCTAGCTTTTAGTCAATGTCTAACTAAGGTCGGTTCATCATGTGAATGCTAGAAATAAAGTAGTTGTCGATTGCATATCTAAAAAATAAGGATGAACTGGTGAAAACAATGACTGGTCTATTGATGAAACATTCTTCACTTGGAAGCTACCTCTCAAAAATTAATTTATCTAAATCAATAAAGTATATAATAATAATAAATCTTAATTTTTCCATAATCCTTAAAAATTATTTCATAGATATCCTGCGAAGAACACCTATTGCCTATTGCTGTATGGCCAAAATTGAAAGAATGTATCATCTATGCCAATCCTATCATAAGTAAATCATCTAGAATTCCCCCATTACTTGAACGTTTATTAATACAACAATTACATATTAATCTATGTCGAAATCCAATTGATAATCCAAATTTATTTGAAATCAAGAATACCAGTTTATTGGAAAGAAATGAATTAAATAGCTGTTTGCAACATATATCACCTGCACAAAATCAAAATTTTGGGAATAACGATATCACTACTGTTAGTAGTGGTACTAATACAATGAACAGGTTATCTCATAAAAATATTCCAAAATATAAAATGGCATTGAATAAAGATAAGCAGGGTAAATCATATAATTCCAGTATGAAACCAGTTGTTATTCGATATAAGTAAGTGTAATACTACGACAATTTTTTGTTGTTGTCAATTGTAAATAAAGTAATGACAGTTTCTAAATGTTCTTTACAGATCAATTTTTAACTTGTTAAATATCTTATTAATAATCAGAAAATAGTTAGTAAGGGGTTATGTAGATTCATGGCTTGTATTGAAATCCCAAATCGATCTAAGACAACTGTTGAAGACTGCGTCGGGCAATGGGAAATGGTCACACGATATCATACATTGATTAAAGTTACGCATATACACCAATGGATCTCTACTCAATGTTCTAGAGTTTAAGTGTTGACTCGTAATACCGAAGGTCCTATGTTCGATTCTTAGTTCTGGGTCGTGGATGCCCACTGCTGAGGAGTCACATACTAGGACGAAATGACCTCCCAGTGCTTCCAGGTTTTTAAAAGTTGTCTAATTTAGATCGGTTCGATGAAACTGAAAAGTGTTATTACAACCAATCTTAAGTTTTCTCGGTTGCACGAGCAAATCAGTATTGAGAGGAACTTAAAATGTAATGCTACGTAACATGGATGACTTATACACAACGTTCTCAGTATAGCGTGAAACATGTCGAGATAAAAATACATCCATAGGAACATTTAATTCTTGAAATGGAATCTTTGGTGAAAACCAAATTTCAGTATCCACTTCTTCCTTACTAAATGAAAGAGAAAATAGACAAAAATTTCAGATTAAATACAATTATTTAACATTGAAAAAGTTGCGAATAACCTAAGACCCCAGTATTCAATTTATAAAATGTCTCATTAAAGCTACTTATCAGTGGTGATTGAACCTTCTAGGATTAGTGTAAAAAAAAACTCATTCATCATATAGTGAAAATAACAGTGTGAAAGCGAAATCATACGGAAATTCATTTCAAAATAAATTAACAAAAACACGTTCCCATTGTTTTTCTTAATTTGTCAAAGTAAACATGGAACCAAAACACAGCATTACTAATACGCTAAACAAATAACTTTCTTTTATAGCATAAATACTTAAAAATGATCAAGTTATTAATAAACATAATTCTTAGAAGATTGTCTCATCATGTAATTTTACTGCCCTTTTATCGGATTTATGCACAAGTAATGCGAAGACTATGGGAAATGGTTTAGAAAACTACTTCTAACGTTATGAAGGGTTCAAATATATGATGATTTTTGATAGTGAATGGATTTCTGTAACCACCTTTAAAAACTCGTATTTTAAATTAAACCTTCATTTATATCTAAAATTCATAACTCTTCTCAAGATAAATTATTCCTCGTAATAACCACATTGTCTAATAAGCGGATTAAATTATGGAAATCTTTATAACGTCTCTCAACGACACGTGCATATTTTTACCGATACTCTAATAGGAACCAGGCTCTATAAACTGTTTACTTAATGAACTTTTCTTGAATAATCGATATTTCTTTCTTCATTATGAAAGGTATCGATTTTATTTTTGGAAGATATAGTCACGATCATCTGTGATTTTTTAAACGGAGAGGAAGTACATTTTGATCTAAGTTCTATGCTCATTCACATTCATTTATATTATGATAATAAATTTTTTCAGGACAATTATTTCTCGTGAGAATTAAAGCATATCTTTAATTAGATACTCAAGATAGGTATGAAAACTATAAAACTTTAGTTAATAAACTAGGATCAATCAGAAATAAGCAACGTAGTAGTACATGGCACATATGTGTATCAGCTCAAGCTTCGACATAGGAAGATGGAATCATAAAGAAGTGAAAGTAATAACAGAGAAAAGAGTAAGCATTGAGAAACTATTTTTTCGGGAAGAAAGAATGAAGTCAAGGAATAAAAAAATATCAAATCTTAAAACTCAAAATCTAAGGGAAGATAAAGAGTAAATGTATCTTCACTATTCGAATGAATTCTGAGTTATTTCGCTCAATGTCCCTAACCATTAGTTATGATAAGCTTGTTGATTCCAACTAGATCCATTCAATTATGTCAAATATGGAAAATTTTCAATATTTATAGATGTGTTATTTTCTCGCTTTTAGGTTAGGCGAATCAAGTTTAGATTTAGGTCCAAAGATGATTAAATGTAATGTAAACCAACTATTAGATGAAATGAAAATATCAAATCAAACGAACTTAGTTAATCCATCACAATTATCACTACCAGCTACAACAGCAACATCCATAGCATCAGTTAAATTATCAAACTTATCTAATTCATCAACCTTAAATGATTCATTTCAAGATAATCCCTCAATGTACAATAAAATTTCACATTCTCTACAGTTACCTACTATTGAGAGATATAAAACTTTTATTAAAAATGATTCACAAAAATTAGATCAAAACTTACCAGAATTTTTGGCAAATCTTCAATGTGACGAACAGATTGAAGAAGAAAATGAGGATATGAATAATTTTTTTACAACTCAAGTATGCTTTTGGTGATTTTTGTATTAAAGTAATGATAATAATAATAATAATCATAATTAGCATTGGATGACTGAATTTGCCTAGCTAATATTTCTGGTCATGTGATTACTATCCAAATGTTGTTGGAATACATTTTAGAAGACAGGACCACAAGCTGACTGATTGAGTACACGAATATATATTAGGGAGTTAGAACTATGGAATAGATGGATTTGTAGTTGACGGTGTTGTCATAGATGGGAGTTTTGTCCCATCAAGAACCTATCAGCTGGATCTAAGTAAATCACAGTTCTGATGTCTATACCTAGACTCGAACCCAATACCTTTCGCTTCATATACCCAATTTGTTATCCACTGAATTACTGAGTTCAGACAGCCGCGAGACAGGGTAACGGATATGATATTTATGTAATTACTAAAAATGATTTGAATTATTCGATTGTTGATTTTCTTGACTAAATTTTGATTACTGTTTGTTGGCGTATGTGAATCTTTTGGAAATTACCTCAATATACCTATTTTCACAAGTTTTTATAGAATAGGTGTTATATGTAGAACTTGGATTATTGCTATACCGCGTACAACTTGGGCACTCAAACGCTAGAACCCTCCAAGACACAAGTTAGAAGACTGAGACGAGTAGGAAAGAATCTTATTTCAAATAGTGTCAATTATCATACAAAACACTTAGATATTTATAGTTTTTAGCGAAAATAAAATCATAATTACAGTACTTTTTAGTATTTGTTTAATCGAGAAGCTACACATCGAGATTCTTGAATGTTCTTCTAAACGATGATTGGATGGAATGTCTTCGACTCTTTCAGAGTTTCTTAAGGGTTCCTTGAGTTCACTGGGAACCGTCTCCGTAATAAGTGAAATTAGAAACCAAGTGAATAACGTGTTCGGCTTTAGAAGCAAAAGGTACTGAACTCGAGTCTCAGTATTGACTTTAATCCTAATGTCCAGGTACATCCAGATGACGACTCTCAAATAAAACGAAACGTCTGTACTCGATTCTACTGATAGTCACATACGAAATATACTAAAATTCACAATATAACTATATATCGAGGCACTCTACCCAGGATGATAATATTTCAGCAGAGGTTGGTCAGTTGCAATCCTGAATATCAGTAACGCGAAACTACAAACCCTTACTAATTTCGGCTTTAGTATTAAAATATGCCAATTTGGGATTAAATGCAGCAAAACCAACCAAATAGCAGTAGTGCGCAAATTCGCCAACTACTAGTCTAAGTTCCCAACTGAGCGCAGTGGACTCATTACTTTAAATTTCTAAGATGACAAAATGAGGTATCCAAGGTCTTTATCTAACATTTCTCATGATTACTTTTATTGTAAATGTAATTTATTCTGTAGTTAATTTCAAACACTGAACACCTAATTGTTCTTAGATATATCTTCATAAATAAGATTATTTTGTTACACCGATTATTCACTCATTTGTAATATGGCCAGTTAGTCGCTAACTCAGTTATAGGTAGCTTAACGCCTGGATAAAATGAACTTCAACCGAGGTCTCAACATATCACGTCACCAAATTGATATAATGTTAACACGAAATTCCAAAATACTTCACTCCATATAGTCAGTTTAGTTACTGTTGAAAATAGATCTTAAGTTATACCTTGCATTTAATGGTAGAGTGACCATTTCTGCATAGGCACTTTCGGAGTTCATAAGATTTTTACATTTTACTGGTGTCTTTAGTGAATAGAACCAAAAGTTATGCTAAGGTGACGATATAGTTAGTTTTTGAAGAATGTCAAAGTCTTGCTAGTAAGGATAATCACGAGTGCTTAATTATTAAAACAATTTTTCGCATAACTTTTGCCCTTTTCTGGTTGGTCGCCACTACTGTTAGTTCGTTAATATCTTGTCTGCATCTAGATCACGTATTCGTTACCATATATATCGAATTTCACTATTTCAATTTTCTCTTATTGAATATCAAGTTTTTCCTACTATTCGTCTTCTTCCTGTGTTAGTATTGTGGGCTAACTATCATCCTACCAGCTCCGTAACAGAACCGTCCGTATTAGAATAGTCCATTCACTGCTTGATTTGCAACTGTCATAGGCCAACCGGGTCGCAAAATACCTAATCAGTTTTACAAAGATTGACCACACTAACAAATCCAATATTCTAAAATACTTAGTAATATAATTGCTCATTTTTAATACGAGTGCTTGATTTCTTTTGATTCTCAACGAAACTGTGTTAAAACATACATGCACATGTGCCTCATTTATTAGTTTGTTAATGGTTAAGCTCTCATATTTGATCTCCTCCATTTACATCTAATTCATCTACTTCCATTAAATTAATGTTTAAAAGTTGACAGAAGCGTTTACTTTCAACACATTTATGAAACATATTCCAGTCTCTGTAAAGATCGAAACAGTTATGAATTCACTCTTACAATATTTACAAGACTATGATCATTAATTCTATACATTTTGTTTTGAAATACCTTTCCGTTATTGATTTACAATATCTCACTGATTGTTATTTTTAACTAACACTGATATCGTTTCACTTACAATACGTTTAATTAATGAGACAAAATTAATTAAATTATCTTAATTCATTCTTATTACAATCTATCTGGAACAAGTTAGATGATTTTGTATTGTTATGATTTACACCATGTTATAACTGTATATTATAATATTTGGATTAAGACATTATGTTCATTCACTGGTTACATTTCGTCGTAGAACTAACATTATTACATTTAAACGTAAAGTACTTGAAACATGAAGTGATTTATATAAATCATATAATAAATCATGGTTCAATTTAAGTCAATGAAATTGAACTTTACAAAGCCTCATACATAAAATTGGTATATTTGAACGATATTCGGTAAAGTTATACTACACTGATGTCCTTTAGCGACTTATCAACCGATCAGGTAACACTACTTAATTATAAAACAAATAGTAGTAAAAAGCAATTTAACCATAGTGGACTAGTGGTTTTGATATGATAAATGATCCATTCCATGTTAAATTATCCATTATGATAATAATAATCACCTGCTCACTAGTGACTGACTTCAGGAGACACTTTTGGAGTTCTAGTGAGAAGTCGTTACCAGTGGAGTTCAACCAGGTCTGTTGTGAGATAGGAACTCACTGAAGACAATGGTGTACGGTAGCGCAACTTCGTGGATTGGTTGAAGTTAGACATTAACACCGTTGGATGCCGGCTCAGTGGTCTAATGGTTAAGTGCTCGCGCGCGACCAGTAGGTCCTGGGTTCGAGCCCCGGGTGGTGCGGGGTCGTGGATGCGCACTGCTGAGGAGTCCCATACTAGGACGAAACGGCCGTTCAGTGATTCCAGGTTTTCAATGGTGGTCTAGCTTCAACTGACTCATGAGTTCAATCTGTGAAAAACGTTAAAGTTTATATAAGTTAGGCTAGCGTTGTGAGTTATGGTTAAAACGTCATAGGGTTTTCATCACCGATTAACATCAACTTTAATGCATAAAGGATTGAGTTAAGTAATAGGAGTTAATTTAGATTTATTTGTTGGGATAATGAATTAAGATTAGGGTTTTAATCATGAACTGACATTAGCTACAATCTAGTGATACTTTGAAGCCCTTTTTGTTTATTTAGCGTTGTCATAAGTTGGAGTGGAAGAATAATATCTACTTACTTAAAAACCCTTGAGCATTGATTAAATCACACCAAGTACTTTAACACACTACTTGGTATATTTAATCAATTACAAGAATTTTAAGAATTACATATTACCAATTCTCAATTAGTTAATACTCCACCTGTAGCTCTCCTAGAGTTACCGCCGGTCCCAAGCCCGGGTAAAGAATGAGGGTTGGGCATGGGGTTAGCGGCCCCATCCCGTGGAAGACTAACTCGCTAAAAAACGCTAACCATAAAAAACAATTCAAACCATTTAAACTCTGCTCTTGGAGTTAGAAGGTCTTCATTTAGAAGAACTATGACACCTCATGGTGAAAGCCGAGTTTCCTCGAAAGCCACGAGGTCGATGCCCCTTCTAACAACTAGAGCAACAATTTTTATAGGTACATGAAACGTCTGAACAATGTGGGAGACCGGGAAGATCAGTCAAATAGCAACGGAAATGAGGAGATACAACTTGGAAGTACTGGGAATCAGCAAAACCCATTGGAACCAAGCTGGACAACAAAGGCTAAATACAGGAGAGATGCTGCTATACACCGGCCACGAAGAGGAAAATGATCCACTCACTCAGAGAGTTGCTCTAATGTTTTCCAAAGTAGCACGAAATGCACTTGTAGGATGGAAATCTCACGAATCCAGAATCATCAAAGCAACATTCAAAACAAAGAAGAAGGGGATCACAGTGAATATTATCCAATGTTATGCACCCACCAATGATAGCAACGACGACATTAAAGATCAATTCTACGAGCGGCTGCAATCAATCACAGAGAAGTGCTCAAGAAAGGACCTCACCATTCTAATGGGAGATCTAAATGCCAAAGTTGGAATAGACAACACCAAATATGAAGATATCATGGGACGACATGGACTGACTGGGAGAGAGAAACGAAAATGGGTAAAGATTTGCAAATTTGTGTGCATTCAACAAATTGGTCATAAGAGGCACAATATTTCCACACAAACGTACACACAAAGCTACATGGATCTCACCGGACCACACAACAGAGAACCAGACACATCATATTTGCATCAACAAAAATTCCGAAGGACAATGGAGGATGTGAGAACCAGGAGAGGTGCTGATATAGCTTCAGATCACCACCTAGTTGTGGCCAATTTAAAACTGAAGCTAAAAAAGAACTGGACAACTGGGCAAACAGCACTACAGAGGTTCAATACAGCCTTCCTTCGAGATACTGACAAATTCAACGAATTCAAGATAGCTCTCAACAACAGGTTTCAAGTCTTACAGGATCTACTGAAGGAAGAAGAAACCACTATGGATGACAACTAGAAAGGTATCAAAGAAGCATTAACTTCAACGTGTCAAGCGGTTCTGGGTCTCTAGAAGCATCATCATACGGAATGGATCTCTATAGAGACACTGGACAGGATCAAAGAAAGGAAGAACAAGAAGACAGCAATTAACAACAGCCGAACACGAGCAGAGAAAGTTCGAGCACAAACTGAGTACATAGAAGCAAACAAGCAAGTGAAGAGGAGCATTAAAGCTGACAAGCAGAAATACGTGGAAGAACTAGCAACGATGGCGGAAAAAGCTGCAAGAGAAGGAAATATGAAACAGCTTTACGATACAACAAAGAAACTAGCAGGGAAAAATAGTAAACCAGAGAAACCGGTAAAGGACAAAGAAGGCAGGCCAATCACTGAAATTCAACAACAGCGGAAAAGATGGGTAGAGTACTTCGAGGAAATCCTGAATAGGCCAACTCCAATGAATCCACCGGACATAAAAGCAGCACACACAGACCTTCCTAAAGATGTCAATCCACCGACGAAGGAATAATTCAAAATGGCCGTCAGACAAATAATGAGTGGAAGAGCAGCAGAACCCGATAATATACCAGTTGAAGCACTGAAGTGAGACATCGAAGTAACTGCAAACATGCTTCACCCTCTATTCAAAAAGATTCAGGAGGAGGAACAAGGGCCGACGGACTGGAAAGAAGGACACCTCATCAAGATTTTAAAGAAAGGAGATCTGAGCAAATGTGAAAACTACAGAGGCATTACACTACTGTCAATACCAGGGAAAGTCTTTAACAGAGTGTTGCTGAACCGGATGGAAGACGCAGTAGAAGCCCAACTTCGAGATCAACAAGCTGGATTCCGTAAGGATCGATCGTGCACTGACCAAATTGCAACACTACGGATCATCGTCGAACAATCAGTTGAGTGGAACTCGTCACTGTACATCAACATCATTGATTATGAAAAGGCATTTGACAGTGTGGATAGGAGGACGTTGTGGAAAATTCTTAGACACTACGGAGTTCCTGAGAAGATTGTCAATATTATCCGGAACCCATACGACGGACTACAGTGCAAGGTCGGGCATAGAGGACAGCTGACAGATGCATTCCAAGTAAGAACCGGAGTCAGACAAGGCTGTTTACTCTCTCCCTTCCTCTTTCTTCTGGTGGTCGACTGGATTATGAAGACCTCGACATCTGAGGGAAAACATGGCATACAATGGGCAGATCAGAATCAATTAGACGATTTGGACTTCGCAGATGACCAAGTCCTCCTATCGCATACACATGAACAAATGCAGATAAAGAAAGACAATGTAGCAACAGTCTCTGCATCAGTAGGCCTCGAAAAACACAAGGGAAAACCAAGGTCCTCAAATACATCACGGAGAACAGCAATTCAATCACTTTTGATGGAGAAACTCTGGAAGATGTAAAATCCTTCAGATACCAGGGAAGCATCATCGATGAACAAAGAGGTTCAGATGCAGACGTAAAGGCGAGGATTGGCAAAGCAAGGGTCGCATTCCTACAATTGAAGAACATATGAAACACAAAACAACTTTCAACCAATATCAAAGTCAGAATCTTCAATTCGAACGTCAAGGCAGTTCTACTGTACGGAGCTGAAACTTGGAGGACTTCAACAACCATCATCAAGAAGATAAAAGTATTTATAAATTGTTGTCTACGCAAGATACTCAACATCCATTGGCCGGATACCATCAACAACAGCCTTTTGTGGGAGAGAACAAACCAACTTCCAGCTGAAGAAGAAATTAGGAAAAGACGATGGAAATGGATAAGATATACATTGAAAAAATCATCGAACTTCATCACAAGGCAGGCCCTAACTTGGAATCCTGAAGGGAAGCGGAAAAGAGGAAGGCCATAGAACACATTACGTCGGGAAATCGAAGCAGATATGAAAAAGATGAATTACAACTGGAAGGAGCTGGAAAGGATTGCCCAGGACAGGGTTGGATGGAGAATGCTGGTGAGAGGCCTATGCTCTTTCACGAGGAGTAACAGGCATAAGTAAGTAAGTAAGTTAATTAGTTAATAATATCATATAAGCTATCTTTCATTGTACTTTCAATTTCGTGTGAAAATCTACGAGTCGCTACCTTAATTCTTCATGGTTCACTCAAGGTCATCAGTATAATATACTTTTATCGAACACCTTTATCACTCAGTGAATTGTCCTATGGGCTACTCATTATTCGTATGAGAAGTAGATTTCATACATTTTTAACTATGAAAGTATACTTCAGAGTCTATATACTTCCATTTCACACTCTATAAATTATCATTCATTTTAAACGGGAAAATATTGAATCATCGTAGATTATTTAATCTTAATTTTCTTTTCTCAATTTAGTTATCATCAGTAAATACAACAAATCCAACAGAACATCATACTTCAAAGTTTAGTCATTCTGATTATAATCAATTTCATCAACAAAATAATACTGAAAATGACAATGATCAATCAAATGAATATTGTGAGGATAAAACACTAATTAAATGTCCAACAACTTCAGGACCGTTATTATCTAATTTAGAATGGATTATTGATGAAAAACGTCTTCCAAACAGTAAGATTATTGTTATTATTATTCTTGTAAAATGTTACAACAATATCAAATATGATTCAGTCAATCAGTTTGCCATAAGCAATTTTATTTTATTTATTTACTTGAACACATAAATATTTGTACAAAGAGGCACCGAATACATATGCGCCACACAAGCCATTTGGTTTGTGTGCATACTGTGATACTGCCCGGGTGCCCAGACACCGGTGTTACGAGAACGCAGTGAATAGGACTTCCCTGGACGTGGCTGTGTACGCGTGGTTATGTGAGAGCATTTCTAAAGAGAAACATGACTCTCCCCACTCTCGGCCGTACCAGAGCATTTGGGAGCTAAATGGAATGTCATAAAAAATGTACAAACTGGCACATACGTGTATCAGTTCGATTTGCTATATTATGTCGGTACATTGAAATGAAATTATCAACACAAATGTGAGGACAGGAGAAGTTGTAACTGTATCAGTGATAATGGAAACATAGACAATATTATTCGAGAAGACAGAATAAATTCGTGGAATGAAAAGTACAACATGATCATGCAACTACCTAAACGACTCAGTCCAATATTTACCGACTTCATGAACTGATATCACATTTTAGTTTGTCCTCTCATAGCTTTCTTTTGTACTACTACTTCTATAACAACGAACATCAATTATCAAAGTACACAATAGTTACGTATTTGTAATAATAATAACCTGTGAATATCCTCTGTTTTTTAAAGGTCATATTAAATAATCATATAATGAGTAATTGGATTTAAAAAGTTGGATAGAAGGTAAAATATCACAGACTCTGGAACTTTTTTATCCCAACGATGTTTCACGGATGATCTATGATGTAATAATTGAAGTGATGACGGTTGTGTTGTGTTTCTCCAAGTTGGTTGACTTGACTGACAGAAATTTCATTGTTATTCAGGGCGGCATCATTAACGATTACTTGATATTATAAACAAACTGTTTAGTTAAATCGACCTGTTTTGACGACTCTGTCAGTGTACAATTTTTTTCGAAGATTTTGTCGATTTTATTTGTCATTGTATTCCTGTTCAATATTTTGTTCTGTTGATGCAGGTTTTTAGTAGTTTAAATAGTAATAGTTTAGTATTTTGTAGTAACCCCAATGTTTTCTTTTGTTAAAGTAGAACTTTTTTTGCTTTTATCTTCATAAGGTATGCAAGCATGTTTAAGAGAGCTACGTTATCTTTTACAACATAAACCTACAGTTCATACACATAGTTATCAACATATCATCCGTCCACCATTAACACTACCTGGAGATAATCATCAGTCTATAGAGTACTCAACAGCATCATTATCATCATCATCACCCAAGTTGATAGAAAATGTAATCAATTCTAAGGTTCAAGTTTCTTCAGAAAAATCATGTAATCAAATATCATCTAAGAATAAAATACCTCCAAGAAATACCTCGTCATCATCGTTATCATCAATGAAATTGGTTCCAGTTTGTAATGATTTAGAAATTCTTCCTTCAAAACTTAATTTAAATCAATTTACAGGTTTCACTGAAATCCCATTGACAAAAGTAAGTATAAGTAATTAAAGAAATGTATAAATTGAATTGTTAATACTAATATGTTCAATTGCTGACCTTTCTACCTTGATTATATACTTACTTACTTACGCCTGTTACTCCTAATGGAGCACAGGCCGCCGACCAGCATTCTTCAACCCACTCTGTCCTGGGCCTTCTTTTCTAGTTCCATCCAATTCTTGTTCATTTTTCTTATGTCTATAGTCACATGTTAATTTGTAATTTTATTTAATTTGACCTTAACACTTGATAAAGTGAACAACATTAAAGCATAGGCCAATTCATTAATACTTTTAAAACATGCCATATCATTGAAAGGTTATGTTTATCAATCTATTTCTATTAAAAAAATTGTACCAAAAGTATGAATTTCTAAGTAAAAAGTAAGTAGACAACTTGTTTTAAACCAGTTACAGTTCGAAAGTTGAACTTATTTATTGTAAATGATTATCAAAATAGGTTATTTAAACTATTGATCAGTCATAAGCAACGTAGAATTTGTCATATCAATCAGTCAGCTACAACTTAGGACCAGGTACATATATGCATCGGTCCAAGTTGCCATACCTCATTAGCATAGTAAGATGAATACCGGATTCATAGAAGCAGTTAACTCAATGGTGGTAATATATAAAAGAAACATTTTTTGTGAGAATATAGTACAGTACAGTCATATACATGCATAGATTTGATTTGTTACATTATATAAGTACATTAAAATGAAATTATCAATATAAATGTGAGAATAGTAGAAGTAGTAATAGTATCATTAATAGTAGAAATGATTAGATACAGATATTGTGATTCGTAAAGTAAGAATGGTAAAGAGTGAATTCATTTGCAACATTCTAAGTAATTCTGATTCATCTCATGCAAGATTTCCAAACACGGATTACAATAATCACATGGATCTCAATCAAGTAGTTTGTACTTACCAACATGGCTTAATCCAATAGTCAGTGACTTCATCAAGGATAAAAGTTAGGTTATAATTGAAATATACTTTTTTTGATAGAGCATCAAATTCTTACAGAATATTTCTATCAGAGAAAAAGAATTCTAAGTTTCTGTGAAACTAATTGGTCATATGGTATAATAGTAACAATTATGAACTATATCGTATATAGAATTCTTTTATCTTGAGCATTGTTTTTTTTTTCAACTTAAGAGAAATTTTTCAATGAACTTTAACCTAAAACGAATCAGTCTTTGCTACTGTCTATTCATTCATAATAATTTGTAATAAATAATAATAATAATGGAGTAGATAGATTATGACTAGCTGAGGAATTCAATGAGCTTCTCATTTAAGTGTAATTGCATCCCATTGTTACTGTTCACGCTGAAACTCGAACACAATACCTCTAGCTTCAAACATTAAAACATCACCCACCCAGCTACTAAGTGGATATAAACACTAATATATCGAATGAGTATTATTTTTACATTATTGAAAATTTTGAATTAATTCCATAAACATCAATACTAGGTTGCAGGTATATTTGGTTAGAGAATTTTAAATAGGAAGAAACTTATGTCCAGGATTTTACTGCTATCTACAGTTCATCTGTTCTAAAAAAAGAGGCTTGTGATAAAACATTTATATCGATTTAATCCACACAATAATAATCAAAATTGATTCCTGAAAATCAGTAATAGGAAGTTAAGAACTCTTATTAATAATGCGAATAATAATAGTAACTTTACTTCATATTCCATGTTTAGTTACAATAAAGAATTCTCAGTATAAAATATCCGATTTTATTAAAAATTCGACTTTACCATATGTCTTAAGTTAAATCATTCAATTATATATGGAGTTCAACCTTGTTGAGTTTAAGGAATATTGTGAATTGATTGGGGATAGAGTTATATACCACTGGGTCCAAGTTCAGTGGTCTAGAAGCTAAATATTTTCACTCAAGGCTGAATGTCCTGAGTTCAGATTCCACTAATGGGGTTGTCAGTGTACACTCCCGAGAGGTCTATTGCTAGAACAAAACTACCGTCATTACTTTCAGTTTTTTAATCGTTGTTTAACTTGGATCGGTTCATGATGTTAATAGAATGCAACAATCTGTACAAACTCAGATTAATATAATTGGTTTGTTATTAATCAATTTAAAATAAGAAAAATCTATTCCAATAACTGAACAGTTTAAAATAATCCGTGTTGGGTAGGGACAAGTATCTACCTCAGTACAATGGAAGATGGTCGTGCAATTTCGTGGGTTGTTTGATGTTAGACAATAACACCACTGGACGCCGGCTCAGTGGTCCAGTAGTTTAAGCGTTCGTGTGCGAGACTGATAGGTCCTGTGTTCGAATCCCGCGAGTGGGATCGTAGATGGGCATTGCTGAGGAGTCCCACAATAGGATGAAACGTCCGTCCATTGCTTTCAGGTTTCCAACGGTGGTCTAACACCAATAGGTTCATGATCTCAATCCAAAATAAATGACCTAAAACTGAATAAGCCAACATCATTTTTACTATTCTCTCAATCTTTAAACAAAAGTTATTAAATGTTCTTTAAAATAGTAATCTTGTACGTTATTTTCTTCTCTCAAGATCAGTGTTTTGATTGTTAAAGTTTCACAGTTGTTATGGACATTATCAATACCTTTTTATTATTACCACTACTCATTAGCATTATCCTAAGGATTGTATATGAAATTAAATAAGGGATTATATTTCATTCACAACTTTTATTACTATTAAAGTCAATGTAAGAGCTAACATATCTGTTTTCTTTGAAATGACTCTTTCTCTAAACAGTGAGAGATGGAGAGAGAGAAATCTGCCATCAATTCCATTTTGATTCTACATTTTTATATTTTCTTTTAACAAACAGGCTTTGAAGGATGAAGAAATTCAAAAGAGACAATTGGAGAAAATAAGAGCTAAACAAAATCCTCTTGCTAGAAAATTGAAATTAGTAAAGAATAGTAACCAACCAAAACGTACAAAATTAAAAGGACCTAAAGAATTATTCGAACAAGTTAGTTGTTGTTATTCTTAGTAGTACATATTACCGCATGCAATATCCAGGTTTTGTTAATTATGAAGTAATTTATTTCGAGAGGATACATAAGTCTTTTGGTGATAGAAAGGGTTAGATACTTATCTCTTTACCACTTGAAACCTCTTAACAATAGACAATACTGATTTGTCGTATTGTCACATTTATGTGACATATGTTTGTATTGCTGTAATGAAAGTTTTTTTCTTGAACAGTCAGTTTCTGCTATCCAGATGTGGAATGGATAAGTCTACACCTATAATTAGTTAGTTAGTCTGTTAGAAATTAGGATTATAAGCTATCTAGGACCAATTTTAGTTGAATTTAAATATTCTTCCGGATCAATTGGAGAAGAGGAAGCGTCTCCAAAGTCATGATATACATACTAGTCTATAGTGAGATTTATTGAATCATATAAAACCAGGGTTTCATCCACGGGTTGTGTAATAACCACATTTGACGAAGAAAACGAAAAAAACACATCAATATGGGCGTGAATTGATGATCCATGGGCTAGGATTAGAATTTAGAAGCTCCCTCAAAAAACAACGTCTAGAGAATGTAAACTCTGTTAAAGAACTGTATTTACCGAAAGGATTAAAGATCCAGAATTTGATCTATACTGTGAGATCCAATACTAGTACAGAACAGCTGTTCAAAGATTTCTGATTTCTAATTGGTTGTCGAATCAAAAATCAAAACGTGATATAGAGCTACAGTCAATAGTTGCTTCATAAGTGTTTGAATTTTTTTTCATTAGTTAATTTCCTTTCTTGTAATTAATAACACAGAATTTTTTAACATTAAAACAAACAAGTTATCTTCTTTCCTAAGAGTGGCATATAAATTATTTCAAGTTATTATGTATAGATATATCTATAAACTAGGTTATTTATTCTCTGAAGAAGTGGCTTACACTGAGTCACGAAACGTCAGAAAATATATTACTTATCACAATTGATTGATCACTGAGTGGTGATCAATGTCATGCGTGTCTAGTCCTTATTAGTGCAGATCGAATGCTATCGATCATGTTGCAATGTGGCCATCAGTCTAGGTGACTCGACACTGATCGATAGCATTTGATCTGCACTAATAAGGACCAGACACGCATGACATTGATCACCACCCAGTGATCAATCAACTGTGATCACATCTCAGTCTTACAGGAGGTTAGTCGCGGCTAGGATAGCTCAGTGGTAACGTCTCTGACTGTGAAGCTGGGTGACACGAGGTCGAGTCCGCCAGGGAGCACCAGTTCCCTCAGGATTACAGGTACACCTTGCTGACTAGTGCCAAGTAGCACGAAACCCGGGTCCAGGTTTCCTGTTGACTACCTCCAACCACCATCCAAATATATTACTTATTTATAACAATCTACCCAATGTTTAATTTATTCGAAATTATCAAATGAAACCTTGGTAATGATGACTATAAACTAGGACTGTTTGGATAAAATTCATAAATGCCTTATTCGAATCTACAAAGCCAATAAAGTTGATTATTTGTGAAAAATATATTTAAAATATTCTCAGCGATTGAAATTTAAACAATTCCAGTGTTTCGTCCAGCAAACTTGTCTGTACTTCTTCAGGCTAGTAATCATAATTAAAATTATCAACGAATATATAATGTTTATTAATCGAGGCAAATTTAAACGTTAGAATTATTTAGATTTCAATCGTTGAAATTATTATTCAAATATAATTTTCACAAATACTGTCTTCTATAGACTTGGCGTCCAATTTCTGTCAAACTATTCACTCAATTATTGACTAATGTACGTATAATATTACTTGCTTGCTTACTTACTTAATTATGTCTGTTACCCCTCGTGGAGGGGCGTAGGCCTCCCACCAGGATTTTCGAACTAACTCTGTCTTGGGCTCTTCTTTCCAGTTCTTCCCGAATATTATTCTTTTTTTTATTTTCCTTACCAATTCCCAACATAATGTATTTCTTGGTCTTACTCTTTTTTCTTTTTTCCTTCAAGATTTCAAGTTAGGACTTGCCTCATGATGCATTCTAATGATTTCCGCAATGTGTATCGTATCCACTTCCAGCATTGTTTCTTGATTTCCTCTTCAGCTGGAGGTTGGTTTGTTCTCTCCCACAGTAGGCTGTTGCTGATGGTATCCGGCCAACGGATATTGAGTATCTTACGTAGACAATTGTTTATAAATGCTTGTACCTTTTCGATGATGTTTGTAGTAATTTTCCAAGTTTCAGCTCCGTACAATAGAACTGACTGTCTTAACGTTCGAATTGAAGATTCTGACTTTGATATTGGTTGACAGTTGTTTTGAGTTCCATATGTTCTTCAATTGTAGGAACACTGCTCTTACTCTGCCAATCCTTACTGTTATAACTTGTGACAGTCGATTAGAGGGCAGTGACTTATAGATCGGATCAAGGACGTGTAATTCCATATGAGCAGCCTAGAGTCCTGATTGGTCCTGTTTTCTGTCTAGCCCAGCCAGTTAAGTCCAGAACACCAATCCGAGCCTCTGCGATATGAATCATTATATTTCAAACATACTAAGTTTATATACCAATCAAACAGACCACAGCATACCAATAAAATATGAAACAACATTTGTACAAGAATTAGCCGGATGTGACTGTGAATGACGGAGGTAGTAATTAATATACTGGGTATAACTCAAGAATGGTAAAACGTATAATAATAGTTTATGGGTCAAAATAAAGCTTATAATAAGAGGAATATGAACATGCATAGTTTAGTTACTTAATAATTATACAGTAGAAATAGACGTTTAATATTGGTCCATAAATGGATCCCGAAAGTTACAATTCATTATTTTTGTCGGGACATAACACTTACCTTTACGTCTGCATCAGATCCTCCTTGTTTATCGACGATACTGCCCAGATACATGGACGTTTCGATCTCTCCCAGAGGTTCTCTATCAAGTGTAATTGGGTTGGTGTTCCCTGTGTTTTATTTGAGGATCTTGCTTTTTCCCTTATGCATATTGAGGCCTATATACGTATAATATAGTCAAAGTTTATTAACACAATTATACTAGTGGTTTTGCAATTCAATTTTGTAGTTTAATCGATAAGATGTTAGAAATAAGTAACTTAAAAGTGCTTGATTTTTATACAATTCATACTCAAGATTATTTTTTCCCCATAATTTCAATGATCATTTCTGTTAAGCTTGATTAGCTCTTCAGACTGGTTTGTTTTGAAATTTTATCTTATTCATCTCTTCATTTTGTTTAAATATATTATAGATTCAAGTAATCTATTCAAATGTACGTGAACAAGCAATTACAGAAGCATTGAATACAATAAATCAGGATTTCGATAAGAAAACTGAACAAATTTGTCAAAATATTTAAATGTTTTAATACCGCGTTAAAAATATTTGAATTATATATTATAATGATTGTGGTTTACATTTATTTTAATTAAAGATTTTATTTCAATTATAATAAACTATCATATTTCTAATTTGTTGTTTGTCCACAAGATATTTCGAAAGAAATTGAAATAGGCAATTGTATAGTGAACGAAGACTAAGGTGGAGACAATCTTATTGTTTCATACAAAATTACGGAATATCTTCGTAAAATATAAGAACCATACATTAAATGCTTTATTAACTAATCTTTCATGAACTGTCATATACTTTGTATGATTCTTCTAATTGACGATTCCTTTCTATTTCTGTTTACTTTAATTTGATTTTCTTAGTCTTCTACTGCCAGCCATTCATTTTTTGATTAATGTTACATACGACTTATGTTGATAGACATAAGTAGCATGCACAACACTCGTCCCTCCTTTAAACAGTTGCTCTTACAGTGGTTCTGCTCGCCGTACCACTTTCTCCTCTGCCTTAGTCTCTGCCACGCTCTCCTTCAAAATATCGGGTTCGTCGGTATGCTAATCTTCGTAGAAATGTCGACCAATCGGACGATCAAAACCCAATGCCCGTCCAGCAGCCGCACGTCTCACAACTCCTCTCCATCGACAGCAACCGCTACAACCAACACCGCCCCACCAGAACATTTCACTTGACATCACATTCCCTTGACAAACCGCCCCAACTAGCACCTCCACTCCAGGCCCTGCAATGGCGTCCTCAAAACTGCACTCTCTCCGCATCCTGGTTAGCAAAGACACCAAATATAGTGAATGAAGACTCGGGAAATAGAAAGGAATCATCAATTAGAAGAATCATAGAAAATGTAAAGGACAATTGATGGAAGATTCGCAAATGAGTCATTAAGTGTATGATTATATTTCACGAAGATATTCCTTAAATTTGTATGAAATAAAGAAATTGTTTTTCCCCACCTGAGTCTCGTTCACTACAAATGGGATTAAATATATCTGTATAATTGAATATATAATTATTTTGTTTAGGATGTTTTTGGGGTTCGTTCGATTCAATAATAGTCAGTATCTTATTCATTCTACCCTGATAATAATCACTGATTTTCACAACTGACAAGGTTTAAGAAGAGGCTTCTCTGTTTCTAGTAATTTAATTTGGTCAATAAAATTTAATCAAGTTGGGCATGAGATAAATATTAATCATATCATTTAGTTGTAAATACTGATAGATTGGTTGAAGTTAGACATTAATACCGTTAGATGCTGGCTCAGTGGTCTAGTTGGTTAAGTGCCTGGCGCGAGACTGATAGGTCCTGGGTTCGAATTTCGCGGGGTGGGATCGTGGATGAGCACTGCTGAGGAGTCCCACACTAGGACAAAACGGCCGTCCAGTACTTCCAGGTTTTCCATGGTGGTCATGATTTCAACCAGTGAAATTAGAATAATGAATAATTCGATATTTTAAATTTTTCTTGTTTCCCTTAAAAGTATTATGAGAGTTATGAGATTTTAGACAGACTTAACACACTGGTTAAATTATTAAACGTTCATATGTTTTTTTTCGAATTATATCTGACTTTAAGGCTGTCGGCGATTTAAAGTCGTTATTTAACTTACTTAGCCATGTCTTCAATGGACCTTCCGTTTAATACAAAATATTGATCACCATTGCAACAATTCATAAAATACTTATAATTAGTAATTCAATGCTTGAGAAAATTAATCTAATAACATCAAGCAATATACAGCTTCTATCCTACTTTTGGACTGCCTGCTACTTTAAAAATGAAAATTCAGTCCATCATCTTTGAAAACCAATAAACTAGGCCACTTGGAAATTTGTAAATTTTTTAGTACCAGAAGGGGTTTTGTGAATATTATAGTAATTTCAATAGTTAAGACCATGAATCGATTAAAGCTAGACCATCATGGAAAACCTGGGAGCACTGGACGGCCGTTTTGTCCTATTGTGGGACTCCTTTTTTAGTGAAACCTTGCAACACCTAAAAATTGTAATAAACCGCCCGAAAATTGAATGATTATTTTATGCTACTTTTAAATTTTCAAGTAGTACAATTATATTTACTAAACTTTGGGTGTTATCAAAGTGATTGCTGGTTAGCTGTCGAAAGTCATATATAAGTACAATAGGCTTTATTCATTACATTAGTACCTCCTATTTCCATGCAACCCCATAGAAGTGCTGAACATTAGAAAATTCAGAATGATGATAATTCAAGGCTGAATTTCAAAATGTTAGAATGTCGTTTGTTGAAATTATTATTTAGAACAAGCGACTGATGATATTTTAAATTAAATCTTTGCTAAAGCTTATTCCATCAAACAGTAATATTTATAGGCACAGATGAGAACAGTAAACTAAACAATACAATTCATGTGTAAATGATAGCAATGAAAAAAACTTTACATAACCACTCATGATAAATAAAGAGTAGAAATCAATTGAGAATGACGGATGTACTAGTAATGATATGAATGATAAAAGGTAGAATAGATACCTCAAAATAGGAGGTAGATCAAAACTTGGGAGAACTGACATAATAACAACACTCATGGAATCCTGTTAGAAATGCGCAAATTATTAGTACAAACACTCAGATATTGGAGAGGAGATACGAAAGAGTGTCAAGACACACATATGGTAGACGGTGTCGCGATTTTGTACTTATCACTGTCCTTTTCAAAAGCCATCACGTTATCCACTTAGCTACTGAGTCCTGATAGCCACCTGCTTGTGCGACGGGGTACATCCAGCTGACGAGACCCAAATAGGGCGAAACATGCGTCCTGTATTTCACTGCTAGCCACTATCCATCTTTTCTCATAAAGCTTGCGACTTAAGGCAATATCGAGGCAAACCGCACAGAATGCACATATGCCAACAAGATACTGATCAGTTGCAGTCCTAAATAACAATGGGAAGATGCAAGTAAACAACACCAAGTAATCAGATTAAGATTATGAAATATTCTACATGATATCCATAAATTTACGAAATGAATATTTATGATCACTGACTTTTGTAGTGTAGAAATGGTGGAAGTTAATGGACTACTCTTATGAATGATGTATATTATGACTTTCTGTTTATGTTCACTAAAATTAAGTCAATATATGGCAAAGAACCTATCAAACCTGAATCACTTTAACTATCTCTCCTTCATGTATAGACAACTTTCCAGTAATCTAACAAGATATCCTTCTCATTACAAGTTATCTTATTAAAGAATCGTGATTTGGTGTAAATTCATGTCGTTAATACTCATCCACAAAACGAATCGGTGGTTAGAGCGAGCAAGAAACTACATGAATGCGATATATTAACAGAAAACAGAGAACATTGTTCATCTTCATTTTGTATCGTGCTTCAAGCATTTACTGCTCTTACTGAACCATCTGATTCATTTGTAAAGAAAAATTCTTCTGTACATCATCTCTATAAAAAATTCTTCAACAATTCATCGATTTGTAACTAAAGATCACAAATCCATCTCATTTAGAGTACTAAGAATACTAGGGATTACTGGACAACTGTTTCATCGTAGTAGACACTTTATCCTCAAGCTCCCATCAAACTATAATAGTTATCTCAATAATGAATTGCGTTACAGCGTTTCTTAAATTCTAGTTAAAAATCGTTACTGATAAAGTTGACTCATGTTGTGAGTGAAACAGTTACCACTATTGTTATTAGATAATAATTGCACTATATCTGAAATTTATTGAAGTTGAAATTGTATCACTGGTCCTTGACTAAGCAATTCTAATGGTTAATCGTTCATCATGAGAACCTATACATCCTAGGTTCGATTGCTGGTAGCAATGCAGATATTCACCAATAATGAGTCTTATCCTAGAACGAAATGTCCATCCAGTGTTCCCTAGTTTCCAATAGCACCAATATTGAGATTAATCTGTAATCTATACACATTATCAATCCCTTTAAAACCCAAATTTAATCAATTCATGAATTTTGACAGTTGAATCCATGAATAGATCTCAGTAAGACCACCATTAAAAACCTGGAAGCACTGGACGGCCGTTTCGTTCTACTATAGAACTCCTCAGCATTGCGCATCCACGAACCCGCACATGAGACTCAAACCTAGAACCTTCTGTCTCGCGCGCCTAACCGGCTTCCATGGGACTGCATCTCCTTACGGTGCTCCACTGCCTTGTGGATCAGACCTTCAGGTCGAAGGCCCGGGGTGTGGCCCCCTAAGAAAACCACCTGCTTCGGTTTGGGCACCCGGGCAGTATCACAGCCCTCACACATATCGAATGAGATTTGTGTGTCGCATATGTATTTGGTGCCTCCTTGTCTATGCGTTAAAATAAATAAACCTCTAAACCACTAAGCCGTCATGCAACAATGCTAATGTCTAATATATTCAACGGTAGTCTAGCTTGGATCGACTCACGAATTCAACTATTAAAATTACTACAATCTCCACAACTCCCTATTCCGAATTTATGAATCCCCTTAAAATTCTATCAGATCTCATTAAAAGTAGCTCAGTTAACTTGTTATTATTAAAACGGGTCATTTCTGTCTATAATTTTTTTTCTCTTTGTATTATTTGTCAACAAATAAACTTGATACCGAAAATGTACCAACAAGAAGGCAAGAAAATACAAACATGATAGTTTATTTATCAAACTAAAAAACTAATAATAACAAAATTGAAATCATCAAAACTTATGATAAACAGTTAAATATCACAATTCATAATTTGATACTATTCTCTAATGACAGTTAGTTTCTGTATTATAATATATTACACTAATGTGATTTCTCTCTTTAATATAGGTCATTGTCGGATAAGTAAATAATTAAGTGGAAAAGGAAGAAAAGTGGAAAACACAGTTGTAATACTATCATAACTACTCCTATTTCTTGAGTAGTGTATGTATGTGTGTTTATATGTGAAAGTGTACATGAAAGAACAAGTTATATGACAGTGAGAAAAAGTCATCATCATCATCATCATCATATCCATCAGGTCTTATTCCAGTCTCTTTCATGAACTTGTCTGGTTCATTTCAATGATCAGACAAACGAATCCATGACGGAGATTATTTCATACGA